GCTTCTGCTTCTGCTTCTGCTTCTGCTTCTGCTTCTGCTTCTGCTTCTGCTTCTGCTTCTGCTTCTGCTTCTGCTTCTGCTTCTGCTTCTGCTTCGCCTACCTCAATGTCCGTTCTGCAACAATCCTCCGTCCGAAACCACTCTCACATCCAGCGTCTCCGTCCTCCTCTCCCCGTCGTACACTGGCAGCGGCGTCCCCATCTTGTCCGCCTTGATCTGCAACGCCACGAACCTCGAGAAATACCGCGCGTGCCCGACCGTGCCGCCCGTGTACCACAGACCGGGATGTCTGTTCTTCTTGAACACGCCCTTGAGCTCGCCCTCGCTGTCGAGACCCCAGAAGTCGTCAGCCCTGGACGCCACCTCCTTGCCGAAGATGCGCGCCACGTCGGTGCGCATGTTGCCCACGAACCCGGTGCTGAAGACGATGACCGCGGCGGGAATCTCGGTGCCGTCGCTGAACGCCAAGCCTGTAGGTGTGTAGTGCGTCGGAAGGGCGTCGGATTTGATCTTAATCTAGATGGCAGAGTAGTGGTCAACACATGGGGATCAGCCATCCACAGAGCAGGGAGGGAAATGAACACACAGGCATCCATGTGTCCACGAGGCATGAGACTGAAATTGACAACAGGGATACAGACACATACCTTCCCCTTGGCGATCAGGTCTGAGCATCCCACGTCCATGTAGTGTCCTGCAAGGCTTGTCAGCTCCACGCGCCCATCTGGTGCATCTGAAGGAATCTGCACGCGAGCCTTACCACCCAATTTCTCACAGATGTGCCACATGATGTCGCCGTACCTTTCCACCCGGAAGCCGACCCTCTCGAGAGCGTCGAAGCGTTCCGGCTCCCGCGCCGCCGCGGCATGCAACGCCCTTCGGCTCAGCAGCCGCGTGACCGCGTACGGCATCGTGTAGCCGTCGCGATCGGCGTCGACGGTGGCGACCTGCGCATTGTATGACCGGTCGGAGATGACCTTGAAGTATTCGCACGGCAACACGTACGTGCGCGACCGCTGCACCATGGTGACGTGCGAGAGCGCCGCCTCGACCATGTCCTCGGCGACGTCGTGCGCCGTGTTTGCCGTGCCGATGACAATGCCGGGCTGCCCGCGCCACGGCGCCGCGGACTTGTAGTCCGCCGAGTGTAACACCGTGCCCTGAAAGGTCTCGCGGCCCGGGTAGTGCGGCATGATGGGGATCTGCCCGCCGCCGCCCGTGGCCATGACGACGTGGTCCGTGGTGAGCGTCTGCACGGAGCCGTCCGCCCGGCTGACGTGCAAGGTCCAGGTGCGGGACTGCTCATCCCACGAGCCTGAGTCCAGCGTCGTCTTGAACCAGATGTGCCGGGCAACGCCGAACTTGTCCACCCACTCTTTGTACCCCTTGGCAAGGTCGTACTTGGTGAGAAATTCCTGGTACGGGAGTGGGAACGTGCGGTCGAAGGGCAGATGGTTGTATTCGCGCGCCGTGTGTAGTCGGGCCGAGTCGTAGCGCGTCATCCAGTTGTCGCCGACTTGGGCGTTCTTGTCGAGGACGACGTACGAGAGACCGAGCGCTTGAAGACGGCCCGCTGTCCCCAGGCCTGCTTGACCCGCCCCCACGACGACACAATCGAAATGGCCCGCCGAGCTGGTTGCCCCGGTGGTGGCTCCGGTGGCTCTATCGTCGAGTGTATGATTGCCATTCACTTGGCCGGTTTGTGTCGATGTGTGATGACCGTTGACACCGTCCAGTGCCCTCTCGACAGGCTGCAGCACGTCGACGTTCTCGCATCCCTCCAGTTGTTCGAGAACCGTCCGGATCATCCAGATCTTCCACTGTCCGTCGTCTTCGAGGATCAGGGACAGATACCCACGACACGTCGCCGCGGGGGTTCCTCGGTTGCGAAAGCTGAACGAGATATTGACCCAGCCTGTGTTCTTGTCCAGCCGCAACGGCTGAGCTGACCCTTTGACGAGGGCGAAATCTCCTGCCTGTCGAGATTTGCACGTGCCGGACCATGCCTTCACAATGGAATGTGGCGAGTAAATGGTCCGCATGCTGCCGGTCAGGGCGAAGAGGTCTCGCCATATCGACGTCGACGAGAGCTTCGAGGCTTCGATGTTCCCAAGAGACTGTATGATGGGTGTGGCGATGCTCTCGAGGTCGGCATCGACATCGAAGTGCGACTGCGGCAGGTGGCAGGGGAGAGTCTCCAATATACTTCGCGGCGCATAAGGGGCGACGTCGACTGCCATTTTAAATAGGAGATCCTGCCTCGGACGACGGTCTACCTTTTGCGCCTGCGACTAGCGGTACAGGGGATTAAGCATGATACGGTTGCAAGCAGACAGGGCGCTGAGTTGATGACGTTCATGAGTACTTTAAGTCTACTTCAAGCCTAGGATAAAGCCATGGAGGCGTTTAATCCCACTGCCGTGAAAGACCGTCCGAGGCGATCGCCGTATGGTTGTACGACCGCTTGTGGACATTGGACGACCCTGGCCTGCAACTGCCGGAGACCCTGATCCGGTGGAGTTGGAGTTGATGAGATTTCCTTCCTGGGGACGAGAGATGGGCTTTTGTGGGGTCGTGCATTGTGCCTGGACCTCTTAGCCACCTGCTTAGCTTGGTAAGGTCAGCTTGTGGCGAGAGACGAGTGTGTGGACAAAGGAGACATCATGGAACGTGACCAGGACGAGATCCAGATCAATGTGGTCTTATATTGGAAAGTACAACCAGATATCTTGCGGATTTGTCCGGTACCAAATGACCAGTGCAACAAAAACGCTCACAAAGGTCTCCAAAGGATCGCGTCTACTGACAGTTTTAGGCCACGTCGTTGACGCCCACAGGAGCATGATCTCCGTTGACATGAGTGCCATTCGTACTTGCCTGCTCCTGCTCCACGGGCGCCGTCAGCGATTTCTGTGGCCTCATGCCCAGCAGATTCGTGGCATCGACCAAGCGTGCATTTGGGTTCAGTTCGAGACCGAATCCGGGCTTGTCCAAGACGCTGATATCTAGGTGCCCGTTTACAGGGATTGGCTCATTGAGGAACAAGTCGCCGAAGACGGGAAGCACGCTCTTTCCGTCTGGGCTGTTGGCAAGATACTCCTGGAAAGGAGAGTTATGCTGGCTGACCACAAAGTGGTAGGAGTAAGGACCAGACGCGTGCGGAACCACGGGAATGTCGTACGCCGCGGCCATAGCAGCAACCTTGAGGAGCTCGGTCAGACCGCCGAGCCACATCACGTCGGGCTGGATGATGTCGACGTTACGGCCCTCCAGAAGTTTGCGAAAGCCGTAGCGGGAGTACTCGTGTTCCTAGCTGAGGTCAGTACCCACGATAACGGCAGCTTGAACGTGGTTTCTTACTCCAGTCGTGAACTTGGTGTCTGGGTGTGCTCTCTTCAACAGTTCAAACCCATCAAAATCATCCGGGGACAAAACTTCCTCCCACCAGTCTATCCTGATATCTTGTCGTTTTGCCTCTGCCACAAGTTCAATGGTGTATTGGACATTCAAACTCATCCAGCAGTCCACACGCAAGGGAAAGTCGGGACCGACATCTTGTCGGTGCTTCTTCAAGAAAGCAATGTTTTTTTTGATACTGTCGGGCTCGTCGGCGCTGTAGGGCAAAGGAACCTTGCCAGCAACAAAGCCCATCTTTTGTGCGGCAGCAGGTTCGGGACCCGTGCAATAGAAATTCAACTTGTCTCGGGTCGCGCCACCGATCATCTTGTACACTGGCTCGTTCCTGATCTTGCCGAGCAGATCCCATAGTGCAAGGTCGATTACTGAGATGACTGCCACGGGCAAGCCCTTTCTACCGTAGAACATCGAGGCTTTGTACATCTGCTCATATATATCGTTCACGTCTCGCGCGTCTCGGCCGAGCAGGAAACGCTCAAAGTGTTGCTGGACCAGCCAACAGCCGGGCGGTCCGCCAAATCCAGTCGCGAAACCTTTTGTGCCATCCGTGGCCTCGATCTCGACACAGAAGGACCCGAGGACGTTGATGCCAAAGGAAGTCCGGGAACTGCGGTACTGCTCCCATTTGGACATGGGCGTCGCGATCTTGTTGTCGATCAGCCAATGGCCGCCTTTGACATTGTGGTAGTCACCGCCGGAGCCAACGCCTTCAATGACGAAGGTCCGCACGGCCTTGATAGTAGGGAAGGACTTGAGTCCAGACATGTTGAAGTTTCGGTCGCTGTGGGTGGCTCGGTCTAAGAGGGAGGGAGGTGCCTGCGACTAGGGCGGACGATGGTGTGAGAACAAGAAGAGTACAATCAAGGCACGTAATGCACCGGGCAAATATAGGACACAAGAGACGGACTGCGCCATGATTGTCTGGAGGGGTCGCAGTGCACAAATAAGAGAAGTCTCGAAATCCTCGACAAGTGGGTTTCGCTCATCGGCACAGCTGCCCCCGGGCTCGGAGCAATGATGCTCTTCACATCCATTTAGCCTCCAAGCACCAATGAGGGCGGACTAAGCACTGTGTAGATCAAGGCAAGCGACCGATCAGCGACGGTCGCTGAATCTGATTTTCCTTTGGCCGGCCAGTCGCGGGGTAGCGGCGTCTGAAGCATGGAAAGTCGAGGGAAGAAAGGGGCACTGAGTGGCGCGAGAGGAGGTTGGATGCTTGGAGCTCTCACACGTGCCCAAGGGAAAAGGAGTTGTCTGGCAGCCTTCATAAACCCTGGGCGGGTTGGATCTAGGCATGGTAGGCAGCGGGGTAGGCACCTAAACACCAAGGCATCCCCTGTTGCCACTCGGCTATTAGGCTGTCAGACAACCATTGGCGCCGCCTAACAGAAAGTGGCAGGCCTGCCGTGGCGCGGTGGGGTGCCCAGCTCAGTCGCCGTACCCAGTCCGGTGCCGCCCACTCTCCTTCCCCAGATTTTTCCTTCTGTTTTACTACTCATTTCTCCATCGCTCGGCCTCTTCTCAACCGACTGCTCGGACTACGGCGCAATGCCCTCGCCCTCGATGCGATTGTGTGCCGAAGAACACTGCAACTGAGCATCATGAACGCGGCCAAACTTGAGTTATACGACCATCATGCGGGAAATGAGGGCGAGGCCAATGGCGCGTCCACCCATCTACCGCCGTCCTCCAATTCGCCATCCGACTATGACTCCGGCGGAGACGACGACCTCGATGGCTCTCTTAGTAGGAAGCGCAAAAGGGTCTCCAGGCCTATGAATGTCACGTACGTCTCGGCCTCGTCTCGATGCGCACTCTCTTCCGTCTCTGCTCCCCTCGTTCATAACTATGCCCATGCTCGCTAATGCCGGAGCTTGATAGCTGCGAAGCCTGTAAGCAAAGAAAGGTGAGTTAGCTTCGGCGCCAAGGCTGAGCTTGAAATAGCTGAGAAAATGCGCTTCAGGTGAAATGCGATCGCCAACAGCCCGCTTGCGGCTGGTGTACTCGGAACGACCATCCATGTGAATACAGGGAGCGCAAGAAGCCTGGCCTCCGGGCTGGCTACGGGAGGGAGCTCGAAGGCAGACTTGATCGCCTCGAGGCCTTGCTGGAAGAGCAGGGTCGGCAGTTAGCGGCCCACCTTGCAGAATCATGCTCCATATCTGGGGTGACGACCGCGGCCAGCAACAGAAGCAATGCACAAGGCGTCGGGCCAGAGACCGCACGGCCACAAGCCTCCTACGACGCTCCAGGTATCAGCGTTCCAGGCGAGCTTCAACAACAAATCATCGACCCTAGTCTGCGTCCACCGGGCTCGCGACATGGATCTTTGCAATATCAACAGAGTGTTGCAGACCAGCAAATGGCTCAACAGAGCCACTATACACCCTCCTCGCATTCGCATGCGGCACTTACCTCTCCTCATTCTACCACCGGATACCCTGCGACTCAGGTGTTCAATGAGTACTCGGCCATGCTGCCTCCATACGACCTTCTCTATTCCCTTGTCGACCTCTATTTCAAACACATCAATATATGGCTCCCCTTGCTGGACCGGAAGACCACACTTGACACTCTCTTTGGCGCTTCAACGCTGGATGAAGCCGACAGAGTGCTCCTGCACGCCATCGTCGCGACAACTTTGCGCTTCTCGCAGGATCTTCGATTGACTCCGGAAGCTCGCCAGCACTATCACGACACCTCCAAACAACGGGTCCAGTTATTCGGCCTGGAGAATTCAAACGTCCGAGCTTTGCAGGCACTGGTCATTCTGGCATTGGATGTGACCGGCACGACCAATGGCCCGCCAGCCTGGAATCTCCTCGCGCTCATTAGCAGAAGTATGGTCCAACTCGGACTGGCCGTGGAGTCAGGCTCAGTACTGGCCACGCCCATGTATCCCTCAATTGCCACCCTCCGAGCTTCCGTCCTGCCCGAACCAAAGTCTTGGATTGAAGACGAAGAACGACGCAGGCTGTTCTGGGCCGTTTACTTGCTGGACCGATACGCCACCATTGCCACCGCCTTTGAATTCGCGCTTGACGAGAAGGAGGTCGACCGTCGTCTGCCTTGCCGGGACGACCTATTTGCGGCGAATAAGCCTGTCGAGACCAGGTGGTTTCGGCCGCCAGAACACCCGCGCTATGCTACAGGGATGGCGGTCGGCGACACGCATGGTTACTTCTCGTATCATTGTGAACTCATGGCTATTCTGGGTCGGATCCACCAGTTCCTGAAGCGGCCAGTCGACATTGGGTCGTTGCCCGACGTCGAGCAGTGGCAGGGCTCATACCGTGCGCTCGACAGTGATCTCAACGCATGGCACTTTAGTCTGCCTGACGACTTTGCCAACATAACCCGGCTGCTCAAATCAAACGTGCCCGCTAAAAATACAAACTGTGGCTGGATCATGCTGCATGCGGCGTACTGCCTGACTGTCATTCGCCTGAACTCGTCGGCGGCGTACCCCAGCCAGACTTCGCCCATCTTTTGCTCATCCTACAGCGCCATGCAGAGGTGTTTGTCTGCAGTGGAGAACTTGCGTAAGCTCTGTCGCTTCGTCAAGCTCAGTGGTCTCCTCGACAAAGTTGGGCCCCCTTTTGCCTTTGCGATTTGGGTAAGGTGCCTCGTTTTTGACCCCTCCAGCATTAGCGGGCTGATAATTATTCACAGGTGGGCGCTCGGGTTATGCTCGTTCACGGATCGACCATGGATCACGAGGTGGATCCCGACATTGACTTCTTCGTCACGGCCCTATCCGAGATGGGCGAGAATTGGCTAGTTGCCAGACGCTCCAGCGAAATCCTGAGCCGGGTGCTGGGAGAGTATCGACAGTCGCACCGGGCCACCGGGGTGACAGGGGAGAGAGTGACTCCATCGACGGTGAAAATCCTTGCCGACATGCGCCGGTAAGACTGTTCTCCGCTGTGATTGGATGCCGACTAAGTTCATGAAACAGATGTGCGTATGATCTTGACTTTTTAATATCTCGCCAGCCGCATGCTGCGGCAGTCAAATCATACCACCCGACACGTGCGAACACTCCCGCCCCCAACGAGCTGTGAGTGCCCCCCGGAATCCTGGTGTCGTTGCGCTGGGGTCCTTGTCGCAGCCTGGAATGCTAACGACCGAGTAGCGAGTATCTTGACGTCTTTGATCTCTTCAACTTTCCACGCATACCAATGACTCAGGAAGGAGTGGAAAACGGGAATGCGCAGGCTATGGGCCAAGCGGCTCCACCGGATCTCTCAGCCATGAACGCTGCTATGATCCCGAATTTTGCAGTGCCAAATCCCGAAGCTGATTGGCTTTACCATACAAACTAGGGCCAAGTTATGGCGGGGAGGCAGAGGTTGCTGGTACCCGTCTGAAACTTTCAGTATCAAGCGGCGGAACGAGGCGTTGTCGCCGGCTTTTGTCAGGATCCGAGTACTACAGCTGGAGATTGGTTAACCAGTCGTAAGAATTACACTATCTGGAATATCGCCGCAATCCCAGTGGCAGGGCTGAGGGAGGCAAAATTCCGCAAGCATTAGGGTGCGTAGGCTAGGAAACGTCAATGACCTGATGAACGACGTACTCTTGGCTGAAATGGATAATCTACGTACCTCTGCTGCCGTGATACGTCTGATGGTGTCAGCGACGAGGGGAGGAACGCGACCGGCTCACAGTCTTTTTGTAGAGGATACTCGAGTCAGCCTTAGCCGATACCGAATTGAGCCTGTGGTGGAGAGTCAGAAGGGGATAGGCTGATCAGGCCAGCTCCAAGACCGTGAGAGGTCCAGCCTGTGACATAGCGTGGCCTGCGTAACAACCTTTTCTAATATAGGGTTGCTGGACGAGTTACTCGCCGCACCCGTCAGATTACGAGCGGACCAACGAGGAGGGAAGGCGGGGGTTTGAACGGTCTCTCATGGGGACGTGATTCTCAGGTGAAGTGTCAGTGAGATGATGGAAGATGACGGGTGTTGCCCTCGCCCAACGATTGCCGAGGTGTCCTCGTGTGCCCATCGGGCATGCCTCATTGCCCCCGGATGAGTTTCCGTCAGTCCCCTGCGCCTGGAAGGCCAGGGTGCCTAGGTGCCTCGGGGTCACCCACGGGTTCCAGCCCTGCCGCGTCCACTTACCCTTGTCGCCAGCAGTCTGGTCGACCGCCAGTGTCGATGGCGGGGTCAGGTGCCCTCACATGACCGAGACTCCCGTCATCACGCTGCAGTTGCTCGTGCTATTCTCTCTCCCTCTTCTCCTCTCATTCGCCGGTCTCTCACGACGCTCTCACTGCAATGCTGACCTTCTTTAGCCATGTGGCGAAATACCGAATGCAGCAGCACTCGCTTGTTGAACTGCTACTGGGACTGCATGAGCTCTTCGGCCCTTTTGTTTCCACCGGCTGCCTCTAGGTGTGTCCTTTCCCATGACTGCATCATTCTAGGGCCTCTTCTTGCGTATTGGCGAGCTTCAGGCCCGTGGTGACTCGTTCTTGTGCTTGCGAACCTCTCAGCACCGCCCACCCTACTCCCAATGGGTTCAAGCCTTTTCAGCCTCAGACCATCCACCGCTCCCGCTGCCGTATCGAATCGGCAACCTACGCGGACGTCTCCGGTGACTGCATTGTAAGTGACGACGTGAGTCCCGCTCTGGGCAGCGGATAGCTGCTGCTTCCTGCATCCCGTGTTGTGCTGTGGTCGGTCAACCCACCAAGTTTCGGACCCAACATTTCATTTCCTGGTCACCTCCTTCGCAAGAACGCCATCCCCTTCCCATTTCCTCCCCTTTCCGCTCCATCGTGTACGGTCTGGGTCTAACACGCCTTATGCTCCGGTTGACTAGGCTTAGTCCTCCGTCAGGCCGGCTTCTGATTCAGTCGACTTCTCCGTCCCGGCCGTCTCATTGGCGCTACTCTTGGTCGCAAAACGTGGCAGACCGGGGGCTTTGCTCTTCCGACGACTATGCACCATCTATTCAGTTTTTGTCCCGATCACCACCATGCTTCCCATTTTTTTGGAAACTACCGTCTTTAGCTATGCCATTGGACAAAATTGGCCCTCGACACATGACTCCATGAGTCGCAGCCTCCCCTTCGAAGCTTCCTAACCGCATCAGGTCGACTGGTCGTTTCCTTCCTAAGGCTACAGCCACGACTTCCACGATATAAGACTACAAAACATCAAGTGCCCTGGCTTCATTCACCATTCAATGTTCAGTTGTCTTATGCATATCTGATTTTTCTTCTTCTTCTCTCAAGCAAGTGTTTTTCGCGAAGCATTAATCTTTGTCGTTGATTCACTATCGAGCCCGCCCCGCCACCCCGAACTATTCGAGAAACAAGCAGACATGTGCTATCAGATCGTGGAAAGGTATGCGGTATGCCGCTGTCTGTATCACAAACATTCAGTCGACCCTTGTCAACGATATGGTCAACGAGGCCATTCGACCACCGAGAAGACAGTCCTGGTCGGGTTCGCCTGTCCAACCCACTCTGCGAAGCAAAATACAAGCCAGTCCTCGTCAAGTTCCAAGCCATCCGGAGGACGCCCATGGCACGACTCTGGCTATTCTAGCGGTGGCTCTACGCGACGGTGAAGGAAGGCGCTCTCCACTCTGGCGCAGGCAATGACAACATTCTACGGAGGGTGTTCTTGACAAGGAGAGTCGGCATTCAAGGGTATGCCGGCTTGGTTCTCCGCTCAGTCTCACGGGGATCGGCTGGACCCTGCCCTGTCGCTCGTTCTATATCGATCGCAGTTCGACCAAGGTGACGCCCAGGGTTTTACGGCCGATATCTCCAGAGGGCGCCAGTGGTATGTCACCGTGTCCGAGCTCGACTAATGGCTCGGCGCTTTGGTCACGCACATCACGCGGCGCAATCTTGAACATCAAAAGTCCTTTTCTGGGATCTAACGCCGGGCGCGTCGATCCCCGGCAAGCTCGACCTTCGCGGTTTGTCGGGACCCTGAACAGCGCAAAGTCCGGCTCCAGATCCGGGCTTGTAACCGAAGGACACGACTTGGGCGCTACCGACACTCGACGTACGTCACACTACACTCTTTTTACCGTGATCACGGAACACAAGGTCGACTAAACTCGAAGCTGGCAAGGTCCATCGGGATCGGACCGCGTCGGCGAGGAGGCGCAGGCGCTTCCTGTGATGCGCGTCTCACCCGGGGTGCGCAGGGAACGAGGAGAGCACTATTTCCGGGTACTTCGCTGGGTTGGCGTCGGTCTCCCATGTGCAGAACTTTGGGCAAGATTGCATGGCGGAGCGGCAATGATTACTACGGGAATCGGCTATCTTGACCTGGGACGTCAAATGGGCGTATTTTGGGTTGAGTCATTCGTCGATATATGTATTACTCTGCGGTTCATGCATTATTGATCGGAGTGCCGGGGGATAGATGGCATGGGGAGAAGTCTCGACGTCTTGGCCCCGTCTGCCTAAACAGGCGAGCAATATTAGGCAACCCGAAAAACCCACTTTACTTTTAGATCTTGATGCCATCATGGCGGGTGGTGAGGTAGGCAGCAGCGAGGCTCCCACGGTTGGGGTCTGCTCTGCTCTGGATATCTCGGCCGAGGCGACGAAAGAATTTGGGCATTTTGGAATTTTTGATTCCTTAGCTCTGCTGCGTCTTGTATCACGGCGAAGTCGATGACGGCAAACCCCAGGTGACGGGCCACGATGGCGAATCCCCGGACCGGACCACATAAGCTCTCATGGGGGCACCAGGGGTGTGCTGGGTACACAGTCGGCGAATCTGAGATGGCTCTCGGTCGCCCATACCATGCATAGCCAGGTAGAGCGATGACCATGACGCACGTTGACGCACATGAGCAACGACAGCAACCTCGTTGACGTCGCATCGTGGATTTCAAAGACACGACACGAGAGCACGGGGGTTCACCACGTCCGACCCGCGCCGCAGCCACAGTCACGCTCCCCGTAGTCATCCAAGTGCATCTCATCACCCGCCAGCGTCATCACCTTCCAGTGTCTCGGGAGAAAGGAACTGCAGCGAGGCATTATCGCGCACGGTGCTACTGCTGCTGACTGCCTGTCCCAAGTCTTGGAAGCGAAACTACGCAGACTAAGTCCCGCGACAGAGTAAGATCCGTGCCGGTCGGCGGTACACGTAGGCGAGACGTCACGGACTCAAGGTCACCAGGCGGAGCGACAAAGGTTGCGAGCAAAGGTCCAGGACTTCTCTGACTTTTCCCCCATCTAGCAATGCTGCCAGGGCGCCAGGCCGGTCGGGGAAGGGATGAGATGGGGGCCGAAAATAGACAAACTTACCCAGTACTTGGATAGGGACGGATAACCCCAAGCGCACTATGGAGTTAGTACCTTCGCCATTCCCTTCAGCCGCAAATTCCCAACAGGGCTGGCTCTTGTTGCGTCCCTCGGTCTCGCTACTTGGAGGTGGTCCTGGAGGGTCCTGGAGGAATGAAGGAACAGCAGGGATGCCGGGTACCTTGCACTGCTGTATGTACGGCAATGTTTCCAGGCTAGATCCCTCGGCTGTTGGGGCAGAGTTTTTCCATCCTTCTCCCGCCCGTGCCCTGCATAGACGTGGCTGTGGCGGGCTTGGAACCTGGGAGGCTAGACGCTGGAGGCTGGAGGCTGGAACTTGGAATGTGACGACCACACAGTACCACAGTTAACTTGGGTGAGCGCCGCCACGGGCACGAGCACGTGCAGGAGACGCTCGTGTCAGCCAGCGAGCGAGATAGGGTTTTGGCCGGCCTAGACGAACGTTCCGGCGCCGACCGTTGCTATGTACGGAGTACAAGTCCAGTACGGAGTACCCTGTCCTTGGATGATCATGCGAGCTTTCACCACAAGAGTAGGTTAGCACAGCACCCTCGCACCTTGGCACGCCAGGTCAGCAAAGATGCTTTACTTCCTTTCACCTCTCAGCGACAAAACCACAACGCGCGACAGTCAAGTCACGGGATCTCTCAACCTGGTGCCAAAGCGTCTACTCCGTACATACAGTACTAATGTAGTAAAGAGTGCAACGCTGGCGGCTCCGTATAAAGGTTACAGTAACTGGTGGGTGCGTGTGCGCGCGGATGAGATCCCTATTCTGGGATTGGCGTTGTACCTACTTAGCTACGGCCTGCTGAGGGTCGATTACACATTACCTATCAATGAAGGGATAGTGAATACACGGTGAGTTGGAGGTGAGAACGAGGAGAGGAGACCAGACGCGAGGCCAAGCCCACAAACAAGCCTGTGAGCGAATTTGTCATCCGCTTGCGCAAGAGCAAGAGCAAGAGCAAGAGCAAGAGCAAGAGCAAGAGCAAGAGCAAGAGCAAGAGCAAGAGCAAGAGCAAGAGCCATGGCATGGCATGGAGAGCGGGATCCTACGAGGGCAGTACGGAGTACACAGTCACGACAGTGTCACGGTATTGCGTATGTGTTGCGTCCCTCCCTCGCGTCTCTTGCCTGGAGTACCTGGGTGTCTGTTTGATCGATTGGGGCATCGCTGCGACGAGTACTCCGTATCTGTGCCGTGACTGGCTGTTTCGAACGCCGTATTGATCCCGCCCCTTTGATCCTGATTCCGATTCCTCTTGACTCGTCAAAAGGACAGCCATGCCCCGAGAGATGGTTCGACTTGAACAGACACGACACGACACGACACGACATGACAGGACAGGATTCGTAGCATGGCAATTCACAGCACAGCGTTGCACAAGGTACAGTAGCATAGCATATGGACCTGTGATTCCGAGCCCCGCAGTCGCATCTCAATCTCACCCAAGGCACCGGATTGATGCCCTTGGTCGTCCAAGAACCGCATACGTACGGAGTACCATAGTAGCTAATCAATTCCCATTGTGGGGACGGCTTGCACTCGTCATGACGAAAGAGATCTCTGGCGGAGAGCAGACGACGAGAAGAGACCGCTGCGACACGCGTTCAAGGACCGTCAGGTACGAGTCCGTATATCGTGGTTAGTGTCTCGTACACGATACAGAGAAAGTCTCCTCTCCTCGTGCTGGGCTGGGCACACCGTCTCGAAAGGGAGGAGGTGGGTGTTTACAAGTACTTTTTTTCGTTTTGGTTTTAGTCTTGGATTCAATTTCAATTCAGTTTCGACTGGAATGAAATGAACAGCTTTGCGCAACCTTGGCGTACACGGGCGTATTGACGCGATATATTAGTGTCTGCCACTACGGACTACGTACCGGGTACTGTACATGCCACATCTGTGTCGGCCTCTCTCTCTCTCTCTCTCTTTCTGCAATCTTTGTCATGGATTACCTGGCTGGGTATGTAGTTACCGGCGCCGTGGGCCATGGCCGCCCGCTCGTCCGGCAAATGCGCGCGCGCCCGCGACAAACAGGGCAGAAAGTCATGTAACGTAGCCGGTACCCACTGCATCTTCGTCCCGATCTTGCCAGAGGAGTCAGGGTATCAGAGTCAGAGCCAGAGACCCAACCGCAGGCTGGTGGGCAGGCCGGCAGCAGCACCGACCGACCGACACCTACACCGTGTTCTCTAGTACCTCTCGCCATCCTGACACCAGACACCAATATTGCATCCCTGATTTTGGCAAGAGACGCCCAGTATGGCGACGGGCGATCGACGTGCTTCCTCCTGCACTTTCCCCTTTTCTTCTCACGTTGCAGAATCCCGTCGTGTCGCCTTTCGAAGTGCGCCTCAAAGCCGGGACAGTACTTAGTGGCAGACTACTGGGTACAAGGTGATACAGTATCCGATTCTTCGCGCCAAACCGCGAGCTACAGTACAGTAGCTGTATAGCTTGGAGGGTTTTAGCTGACGGGCGGTTCCCAATATCTGCCGTAATCCTCACTTCCATAGGGGAGTATCTTGTTGTGATACCGCGAGATTCGACCGTCATCGTCCAAACGTCGGGATTTACCTACCCTTCGTCTGCTGGTTCTCTGACGCTTGTCTCCTCACCATCATGTTCATCCCTCTGCTCCGTAGGCGCTCTTTGGTTCGAAGCGCAGCATGATCCTGTTGAATGATGAATGCCCCGTCTCAGCACAGTGAACCCGTCGGCCTCTCGATCGAGCAAAGACATGAATCCACCCATTGACTGCTGCTGACCAGCTGGGCATATTGGATGTCCCTGGTGGTAAGCACGTCGCTGGAGGAGCTTGGGCTTGATTCATTCTCGGTCTGCTGGCTGCTTCATTTTACTGCATACGTTGGCGACTTGCTCCATGCATGACGGAAGAAGGTGGCGGCTGTGGCGATCCACTGAACCGCGTAGATGCGAGTCCTTCTGTCGTCGACTCTGCCTGTCCCAGTTAGGATGATCGCGCGTTGTCGGGCTGGTCGGTGTATACGAAATGTGGTCGATGGTCAAGATCTAGTCGGCAGGGGGCTACAGTGGGAGCGACGGGATGGTGCGCTCACACGATCGGACGTACTCGACAAACCTATTATGAGGTATGAAAGAGCGACGGGATGGTGTGCTCACACGATCGGACGCATTCGACATCCCTAATATGAGGTACAGTATGAAACGTGGGCTTGCCTCCCGACTCCAAAAGGGAAAGGAGTTGGAAGATAGAATGTGGCATGGCGCCATGAGGCCGTCAGCACCCGATCAACCAGATCAACCAGGCCAGACAATGGTTCTGGACCTATGTCATCTACTCAACGATGATCAGGTCATCCCTCCTGGGCGAACATAAGCTTGATAACTTTTCGAGGTGTGATCGATGGTCAGATTCGACTGATTAATGTACATTTCAAGCGTTGTTCGCGCCGTACTGTAAATGATACTGTTCCTTCACGACGACAGGCACTCACATTGCTCCCTTACTCGCGGTCACAGTGTACTAAGACCGGCCATTCATCTTCTATCCTCTAGTCCTCCTAATGCGAACGTGAGAAGTAGAGGTACAACACAAGGATGGACACGGATGGAGTGAGAAAGTCAGCTCGGCGTGAGTTTACCCGAGCACGAACTCCCCTCGCTGGCAAACCCTCCGTCGACGCAAAAGCATGTGGGGGGTTGGCCGGATGAATGCTTACGAAGGCTGCGTTTGGCACTTGACTGCAAGGTGAAGAAGTAGCTGACGTACTATACTACCTTACAAAACAGACGATTGAACAAGTGACGGCTGTGCAGTGGACTAGCGAATCAACAGTTACGGCCAGAAGGACGGTACAGTAAATCATCCATCAGAAAGGCCGGAAAACAACTTGGCGGCTCAAGGCAGATCCTCGATTGTCAACGAATCCATTTTGGACGTTGGACGGTGTCCTTCCAGCCGATCCTAACAGACATATCTACTTCCACTCCTTCGCGACGCTTCACAACGCTTATAGGAGCTACGCGCCATGACCCTCCCGCCGCTTCTCGCCGGGCAGGTCTGCGCCGTAACTGGTGGGCTCACCGGGATTGGGAGAGCCATCACCATCCTCTTCCTGTCGCATGGCGCCAAAGTGGCGATAAATTACCTGGCTTCACACAACAAAGATGAGGACCAGCTCCTCACGTCTCTCCGCACGGACGCATTCGACGCCATAAAAGCCAGGAGGTCGGCGGCGGCGGCGGCAACGGCAGGGCTCTACAACCTCGAGGATGTGCCACTGTTGACCGTACTGGGAGACATCTCACTGCCTGAAACGGGCCAGTCTCTCGTGGAGCAGACGGTCGCCAAGTTCGGGCGACTCGACACCTTCGTCTCCAACGCCGGGATCTGCAATTTTGAGGAATTCCTCGACATTACTCCCGACCTGTACCAAAGCCATGTGAACACCAATTTGTCCGGCGCTTTTTACGCGGTCCAGGCGGCCGCCCGGCAGATGACCCGGCAGACACCACAGGGGGGCAGTATCATCGGCATCTCAAGCATTTCGGCGCTGGTTGGAGGCGCCCAGCAATGCCACTACACGCCCACCAAGGCCGGCATCCTGAGTCTCATGCAGTCGACCGCCACGGCGCTGGGGCGGTATAACATCCGTTGTAATGCACTTCTTCCGGGCACGATCCGCACGCAGCTGAATGATGACGATTTGAAGGATGGGAGTGACAAGAAGCAGTACATGGAGGGACGGATTCCTCTGGGAAGGCTGGGCAAGCCGGATGATCTGGCGGGGCCGGCGCTCTTTCTGGCACATGGAGAGTTGAGTGGCTACGTTACCGGCGCGGCAATTTTGGTGGACGGCGGCGCGTTCGTGAATTTTCAGTGACCGAACCCGATATGCAAAAGCTCATGGGCGGATCTGGAAGCCAGAGGTATCACCGGTTTTCTGTGTTGTCTAGAGTCAACTGTTTTAGAGGCGGATGTTATACGCTGCCACGGCCGTGCCGGACCATACTCGAGCCTTTTCGTCCCGCGTCAGGTTTTGTGCCGTGAGAATCTCGTCCACGAGGTCGTGCCAATGATGCCATGACTTCGCGGTGCCCGGGCCCCCGACGTTGCAGACTGGCCAGTCTGAGCCGAACATGATTCGTGACGGGCCAAACACCCTGAAAACGACGTCGACCCAGGGCTTCGTGCGTGCCGCCAATGCCGGGATGTCCGTGGCGTTGTTCTCCTCTTGCTCTGGCAGTTCAGAAAAAAATCCTGAAAGTTTCATGTACGTGTGCTGATGACCTGCCATCCGCTCGATGCACTTTGACCATCTCACAAAGTCCGCATGCCCTTGCAGTGCTTCTTCGGCGGGGAGTCGTAGGTTGGGCTTGCAGAAGTGGTTGATGATGATCCTGACTGTGCTTGAGCCGCCGACGGGGTAAACCTGGTCCATCATCTCGCATGCCTCTTCGAGTTGACTGAGTCCTCCCGAACGGGCATCGACGCCCAAGTCAAAGGTAAGATTCTGACTGCCTAGCCATTGCAACCCTTTGATGAACCGCGGGTCGAGGATGACGCCGGCGGGCTTGTCCTGGACTAGATACCGAAAGCCCTTGATCAGCGCCCATTTGTCCCCCGCGTGCTGTCGGACGTGTTGCACGTAATTTCCCAGTTCCCTTTCGCCAGCTGGGACGGGAGCCCATGGGACGATTCCGAGAACCAGCTTGCCATCGTCGGGATGGTGGCCTTCCCCGTCACGCGGTGTACCCCGTGCGATCCTGAGCAAGAAATCGACTTCTTCGAGAGCGTCAGTCCACTCGGTCTCCCTGAGGCCTGACTTCCGGTCTGTCTCGAGAAACACAAAACCAAGAAGGCGGTCGGAGTGTTGCGCGGTAGCTGCTCGGTACTGATCCACAGAATTCTGTCTGTTCAGGCGGTGCTGCTCTGGCAGGTCAGCTGTCCAGTTCAAGCACGGGATATGTGAAGCTGCGTAAAGGTGAATATGCGAGTCGACAAGAGACAAGGGTCGGGTGCCATTGTCGTCTTGTGAAGCCATCCCGACTTCTCCTGGAGTGATCAGGCTGTCAAGTCAGGACAGACAACGGAAAGTCAGAGAAGCACCCGCGATTGAGAAGAGAAAAGGTCAGCAATGGATACGATCTTTAAGAAAGCCACCCACCTTTGTCCGGTCACAGTGTCGACGGGATCAGCACGACGGCCTCGGTGTTTCGGGACAATGTTGTAAGAGGGGATTTCGCTCTCACCACGATGCCATGAGAAGCTGGATGTTGGGACGAGTCTCGCTTCTCTCCGTACCCTTGATTTTTGGATGCACGTATCATCTGGGAGGTCTTGAAGATGGTGATCGATCGATAACTACATAGATATCCATGTGTCACCTATGAGGAAAACAAGACTCGGATGATAATCGTGTGAGGATACTCACGATACTCACGATACTGTGCATGCGTCATTTGAATGCGTTGAGCTGATGTTCAGACTCTTATTCAAATTCAAGTCACTCCACGACCTTGGTCAACATTTCGCCTATTTCGCCTCCCGTCAGGATATCAAGAGAGCGTGATGTCTGCTCCTTGCTCTGGTGGAACTGATATGGCTTAATGTCGTGGTGCGCAACATCGAGCATCGTATGCTCTCGAGTTGATTGTCGTCGAAGCATCATTCACCTTGGGTGACTGGACTACGCACATTCATGAGCTACTGTATAGCCTGCCCTTGCTCAGCCATGGCTTATTCGCATCCTCAGACGCTCCCTACTCCTCCTGCCTCAGCCGCCTCTCCCACCCCGAGCAATTGGTCAACGTCCAGTCGAGTCTCTAGCCTGCCGACTCCTCGAACGCATCGCCTTCAGCCAGGCTCACAGAAAGAGATTGCGCTAATAATCTACCTAGACAACCACATTCTGAACATCACAAGAAGATACGCGAAGAAGTTCACTGACGAAGGTCTCCAAAACGATGACACCCCGGGCTACACTACGTACGATCAGTTCGTCGCAGATGTCGACCCTCTTGTCGATGTTGTTTGGATCAGTGGCACACCCTCCATTCAAATCCCATATCTGCTACAACTCGCAGGACTTGCGTGCTCTTACCTCCAGGCCTTTCCCTTCTCAACCTCCGTTTTCCCCCTGGTGAGCAAGATTGATCAGGGATTTGCCAGCTTGTTGCAACCTACGCAGAATGGTGGCATATCATCCATCCACCCTCAGGTCTCGGTGACAGAGAAGGTCCGAATCAAGTCACTGATCGAAGAAACGCGAATTGCGGCTGTTAACGCAGCCTCATCCAGTGGGCACGCGGCAAGTGTACAGGATATCACAGACACAGACACTGACGATGACGACAACGAGAGGGAAGAGGTTGAACAGGGCGACGAGGATGACGAGGACGAGCAGTCTATGTCGGTTGCTCTGGCATTATCAAGAATCTACAAGAGAACACTCGAGATCCTCGGCGATTCGCTCATTACAAGTGTATCGCCGCAACCTCAGGATGATGATATACCCATGACCTGACACAGCACAAGTGAGCTTTGCTGGGGAGTGTGCCTCCATCCAGAAATCTAAAGGCAGGCCATGCCCGCGCGATACGAGTCGCTAATTTCTCGAGGCACTTCTGCGCCCATGCTTGGGCTGCAAGTTCGTTCCGTACAGATGACGCAGGTGGTGAATGCAAGTCCCATGAGACGACGTGGAGCACCTCTCGATTTCTGCATCCCGACTCTACCATGTCACAATCTCGCCCTCCTTCAAGCTTCTGTCACTTGGCCTGGAGCCAATGTGGAGCTGAGAATTGTCCGAGCTGCAGCTCTGGGCGCAAGGGGAAGCTCTCAAGGCCGCCAATCAGAGCGAGCCACGCCGGGCCGCCTTGTGCTCACCGACATCAGCCACGCAGAAGCAGGTACCATGAACGGGAAGTCGACTCAGTGGTCCGATTCTCAATTGATGCCCGAGAAGCCGTCGAGGGGCGCACAAATCACTTTACTGCTATGTCACTCGGCATGCAGCTCCAAATTTCCAGAACCACTCAGAGCTCAGGTGACAGAAAGCTCCCAAGCTCTATTATACCTGAGGTCCAGCTACCTCCCGTGGCCTCCCACTTGCAACATCTTCACCGCGAACAAAATGGCCTGGTTCACAATCTTGCTGTTCATTCAAACTGCTCTCGGTTTTGTCGTCACTCCGCTACCTATCCAAACCGAAGAATTGTTGGTGCCGACCACAACAACAGCGACAGTAACTTCATTCATACCTACGACATTTTGGACGGCGACGTCAGAACCGACTTTGAGCACGTCTCAAGCCCCGTTATCAGCTCTCATCACTATCGCCCCTCTGCCACAGAGTCCCCTCGAAAAGCGGCAATGCTGCTGGAATGATCAGGGCTTCAGAGTCGATTGTGCTCAGTGGACCGGCTATTACTACACCTGGGGACCGCCCGGTGACCCGTATCAAGGAGGCCCTCCCGGATGTGGACAGTCTGGTGATGGGTATGGCGGTAGTAGCGGTGGCAGCCAGCCTGGAACCGTCGTGGTGTATGCGAATGGTGGAAGTCATATCGATCTGGCAAGTTGGTCCTCGCTGGGCGGGATGCTATGTCTCGTTCTCCTAATTTTCATCTGAGGCTGAGGGTCTCCAGAAGAGCTCTTTGGAAACGAGGATTTGTTGTCATTCCCAACAGTCAAAGGATGGTCGCTTTTTGCATCGAGCTTGGTGACATTGTTGAGGCCTTCATGACCAACACATCTGTTTATGTCACCCACTTTACGTCGTCACCAGGTTGTCGAGGCACCGGCTGTGGAATTTCAGAGGCGAAACACATGACCCGTTGTTCATGAGTGATGGGTCGCGTATGCACATAAAACTATCTTGCCACTACTTCTCTTGCTGTCTCACAATCCTTTCTTTCAAATGTTAGACATCAACACAGACTCATCTCCACTTCTGTATCAGGCCTTGGTCAGCTACATATCAAGATATCTTAGAGGCCAATCTCTTCAGGCACCGAGTATACGACACCTCTTCGACGCGCCGACGACCCCTGGTCGACTGGACCGGAAAGGAACTTGAAATCATCCATCCTAGTTTTGTTGTTTGGCTGTGCGGCTACCGAGATGCGTGGGTCTCGCAGCGGGCAATCGACTGCACAAAGATCTCTATTCCATGGCCTACACGGCGTGCTTGTACTCTGTGGATTTGCGTCAGGCCGGTATCTCACGGGCAGTCGATCCCAGATCGTGCCAACTGAGGCCTTGACTGGGCGAGAAGTGTCAACACTCACGGATCCACGCACCGTCAGATATGACCCGTTGGAAGTCATCCCTGCCAAAACCCTGTATATACCACCTCTGACGACCTATACCGAGTGGGAGTCTGTTACGAGTCGAAGCTTTTCTTCCACGAGGTCCCAAGTCAGCTCGGCATTAACAGTGGATGGCTCTCAAGCAGGTCAATCCCAGGATTGGCATCCAGGGAACCGCACCGTCAGTTGTACGTCGACGGACGTCTCTTTCTCTACGCATACGAGTCCCCGGATGTCATCGTCGGCTACCCAGGCCAACGCTGGACACGAGCCTGAACCCGTTTCCGCCACGATCGTGACGTGCTGCAATACCTCAATACCGCCTGCTCATGGGTTTTCGCTGCCGTCGTGGCCTCCGCCGCTGTTCTCTTTTGACATTTCCTCGTCGCTTAGTCCTACATCCACGACGACAGTGCGAGTGCGGACTACGATATATGTGACGCGCAATGTTACAGTCTCGGGACCACCTCCCATGCAGACACACTCGGGAGGAGAATACACCTTTATCGACAGTCCAGGATCCAGCATGACCAGGAACACGAACACGGACACGAAAACATCCTACGGCTCCATCGGATCCTTCCCTGTGTCTCCAATTCCACGCGCCGAAGGGCGTGTTTCCACGATATCTCCCCTACCGAGTGCCAATGCGACGCTTTCCACAACCTCAACCCTCGATATTGCATCGCCCGCCACACGAACTACCACCCTCGTCAAGGCGGTCATCGTGACGGCATCACCTGCCCTCCTGGCTACAAGTAGCTCTCCGGCACCAGTAAGACCCGTAGTCTTGACAGAATCGTCATTCACCGCACGGTTCCAGGCCGAGTCGCCACAGATATCAAGCACCCACACCAGCGACTCAAGTCCAGATACGACTAGAACTAGAAGTATGGTTCCCAGTACGATGCCAGATCCAATGCTCATTCCCAATCCCAGACCATCGGAAGCCCATGTTTCCAGTCCTTCCACCGACCTCCCAGAATGCAGTATCGTCTTCGGCACCTCCACACCCAGTACATGCACACTCGGACCACCCGCCGTCACGGTCCATGCCTCGCAAGGTGGTGGTGGTGGTGGTGGTGGTGGTGGTCGTCGTCCAGAACGTCGGGCAGAAGCAGAGGCATACTCGGAGGCGGGGCGGCGACCAGCCATGCACACCGTCGTGGTGGTGACGTTGTGGGGCGATGACGGACGTATGGTGCCTCAGGTGAGTACGTTGAGGACCATCCTCGTTGCGGAGACTGTCAGTGGATCTAAGTCTGTGCATTGATCTAGGTCTCGGTAGGTGTGACTCTGCGTCTGGCTCTAGCTCTAGCTCTAATTAACACTGCTCTTGCCACACGCACGGGCTGAAGCCTTCCGTGCAGTTTAAAAGTGGTACCGGTAGGAGAAATCCTCCATGTGATAGGAATAGGACGGGTGAGGTATCTACATAAGTACAGTATCTCAATAGGTCAAGCGAGGGTGGTCATGAATATACATGGACGTTTGCAACTGTTAACGCGATGGCCGCGTCGGGATATATGAGATCTTGCTGAGAGGGACGTTGACACAGTCGAAGAGTCAGGTATATATGGTCGACGACATGGTTGCAGAACACAGGGTAAGGTTGGCGGATCAGTCTGTACTGTAGCTATCTATGCATTGCCCTCTTCGGTTCGGCCTTCTTGGTATGCGTCGCTGGGAGGCTGTTGATTTATCACATGTGGCACCCTTGTTCCTTTTAAGCCCGTCAGTCCTTCTTCCCATCGTCGTCCTTCTTCGGCTCAAAGTTCAACTGATTGCCGTTGTAAAACTGCTGGTTCTTCTTCGCTTCTTCCGCCCTTTGGTCCGCGAGAGTGCGAATTCGCACGTTCTTGGCTCCTCCAGCACCCTGTTCCGCACTGGGAGTGCTGCTACTACTCGCGTCTGTTGTTCCCACTTGTGGGCCTCCATAGCCCAACAAGGACTTGACGCCTCCCAAAGCCCACCCTGCCGTCCCACTGACGATATTATAGCCCCCGCTGACCATCCCGCCTACACCACCCAACAGCCCGTTTTGCCCCATCAACCCGCCCGCACCGGTCGAATAGCTCTCCACATATCCCTTCACAGGCACCATGACAAAGGTGCAACTTCCCACGATACCCAAGTCCGAGAGAGAAGTATCTTCCTCGCCGGCTTCGATTGTGCGGTTTGGCAGGGGCGTGAGTATGAGCTTGAGGTTATAAGGGATGTTTGTATTCGTGGCTTCGTCGATCCACGGGCGAAGCTTGTCGGTTATACGTGCGGACGCGGGGAGTGATGTTCGCAATGTCGAGCCATCAAACGTGCGGACTTGGACACGCACGTCCGTGGTCGCGTGTGCTCGAGCGGTCCCCCGAACAGATGTAGAAGTCGAACCGGTGTCGGTGTCTGATGATCGGTAGCCACCTTGTTTGCGAAGCTCGTCCACTCGGCGTCGTTCTTCACGGTCAGCTTTTATTTGGGCCTTTATCCGTTCACGCTCGGCTTGTGCGGCCTGTTCGCGTTCGCGCTGCATGCGGATATATTCCTGCCGTTGGGCTTTCTGTTTTTCATCAGGTTCGGAAATTGGGGAAGATTGCGATGGGTTGGGGTGTGAAGGTGTAGGTGACTGCGACTGCGGTGCTGGTGCTGTACGGTTCGGTGTAGGATAGACTCGTTCTCCTGCCGAGGCTGTGGCAGGTGGGTTTGATAGGGCGCTTTGTTGCTGAGGCGGTTGTGAAGATGATGTCGGAGCACCTCTACTCTGGCCCGGTATCTTCAGGCCGACAGCCGGTAGTCGCAGGAGCCGTGACCTTGCATATTCTGAGAGTTCTCGCTTTGATTTGGTCCCTCGCAAGTTTGACACTTCTTCCTTGAAGATTGGTATATTGTTCAGCAGAGTTAATTGTGTTTCGAAGATATCTGAATGGGATTTCCCTTCATCGAGGAGTCTCTGGGTATAGTTTCTTAGAGCGTCGTAGGCATTGTTGGGGAGTCTCATCTGGCCCGGTTGTGGTTGGAGGTGTAGGTATTCAAGAGCCACATCGGAGGCGTCTGTAGAGGAGGGTTCACTGATGGACGATTAGCTCGTGTTCAGCAGATGATCCAATTGCACGGACCTGCTTTCCTGAGCTTGTCGATGTCGTTGTGTGTCGAATGTTGTCGTGAGCCTTGACTTCAACTCCTCGACAGGTACTTCGGCAGACTGAAGATTCATCTGGACTTGGGCATCCCTGCTCTTGTCAACCTGCAAATCCAACAGCTTGCGAACTGCCCTCTTACTTAATGACGACGACGGCCGGCGTGCTGTTTATTGAGCAAATCGGGGTGAGGAAGCCCGCTTCTGGAGACCCTGCCTGGAGTCGGAGTGCGACGGCCTGGTCTGCAATGGCGTGAGATATCTGTGCCGGGAGATCAGCTATGCCTCGCGACCATGGGATCGGAGACTTACGGCCTCATCTTCCAGGACGGCTTTCCACTGAGCGCTTGTTTCCGTGTCATCTTATCACCATGTCAGAGGGGATGGCCCTTGGCTGGGACGTACGGCTCACCGTCAACAAAGCACAGCACGGCCTTGGACTGCTGGACCGCCACTCCTATGCCGCTCTGCAGATCCCCTTCGTGAAACATCCTGAGTGCGCGTCTGTAGCCGTGGGAGGCAGATAGTGTGGGTGATGGGAAGAAGAAGTGAAGCACTGTCAACGTCATTTGGAGAAGTGCAAGTCGTTGAAGTCTCGATCAATTCCACTCCGAGAAATCTACTTTGTATAACGAGCTTCATTGCCCTTTCTTGTTACTGTACTGATCCCGTAAGATCGGAAGGCCCAGCGATGGCCAAACATGAGTTGAAGTTCCTTCGCTCACTACTTCCACGTCCTAAGCCGTCCCTTCGCCGTCTCAATAGACAGCAGTCTCGTCACCACGCGAGCGGAAAGGAATCCTCTCCAGCACCACTGAACAACAACGCCGACTTCGTGTCAATAGTCGACGCCCCTCCCCGGCTCGTCCGCATTGGAGAGAAGCACAGCAAGATCGGGATTGCTCTACTAGCCTTGATTCCTATCACTGCATTCGCGCTGGGATCGTGGCAGGTCCAACGTCTCGACTGGAAGACCAAACTTATTGCAAAGTACGAGGATCGACTCGTTCGACCTCCTTTACCACTACCTCCGAGAGTCGACCCCGATGCGATTCACGACTTTGACTATCGCCGAGTTTACGCAACGGGACGGTTCAGACACGATAAGGAGATGTTGATTGGGCCGCGGACACACGATGGGAAGGATGGGTATATGGTCGTTACGCCCTTTGAGCGAGAGGATGGCAGCACCATACTCGTCAATAGAGGATGGATCAGTAAAGAGAAGAGATTCCAGGTCGACAGAGATCCGGAATCTCTGCCCAAAGGCGAGATCACAGTCGCAGGCCTCCTAAGAGAGCCCTGGAAGAAGAACTTCTTTACGCCCAGCAACAAACCGGAGAGCGGAAAGTTCTACTTCCCCGACGTGCATGAGATGGCCAAGGTCGCCAGTGCAGAGCCCGTCTGGATCGAAGAGACCATGACTCCGGATCTGTTGGTCAGCTACCATCGCGAAGCTAAGGGAATTCCGATCGGAAGAGCACCGGAGGTGAATTTGAGGAACAATCATTTACAGTACATCTTCACTTGGTAAGTGGCCTTCGACCCGAGGAGGGCGCATTTCTCATCAAAGTCATCAGGTACTCGTTATCCGCTGCCACCACGTTCATGATGTGGATGTTATTGAAGAAGAAACCAGTCGATCCGTCGAGAAGGGTCCGTCATGTTACCAGTTGGTAAAACCGCAGGTTTCCAAAGGCCACGACGTCTCAAGGTGGGAATGGACCGATCAGTGGTAACATACACTCAAGTCTCGGACGTTGTCTCGAGATCTAACTCTTCCACAACCTCCTCTGGAAGAAACTCCTCTGCGGCTTTCAGAAGCTCACCCTTTCTTTGCAGAATACGCTGTCTACGCATCAACAAGAGCACATCGCTCTGATCAATGCGCTTCTTGCGCCGAGCATGATTCGAGTACGCCTCAAGGTCTTCCCCTATTTGCTCGAAAAACCACTCAGTGGCTTGTTCAAGTGCCTTCATGTGGTCTTTTCCAAGCTTGGGGCGGCGATTGCCCAGACGTTCCTGGGCCGCAACTGCGACGTGCTTGATCAGGCTGGACGGCAAGGACGGGACCATCTCACCATGGCGGGTTATCTTCATCTTTGGCCGGCGTGTTGTTGATGCGGGTGTATTACGTTGTGCTGGTAGTGGCTGTGCCTCGGCCAACGCCTCAGCTTCTGGCTCCTTGTCCAGGTCTGACTCCAGGTCAACCTCATGCTCTTCATGATGTTCATCGTCCGACTCCCAGCCGGCCTCGAGTTCATGCGGGTCGTGCTGCAGGAACGATGCCTCTGACACTTTTGCTGCTGGGCTGGCTCGCGTCTGCTTGGAAGTGGCTGCTAGATCCGGCTCGGGTAACTGGAAGTTCGTGTCGTCGAAGGTGGGCATCTCCACATTGCTGTCGTCGGGCGGCCCCAAAGACGGGGAGCTGTGAAAGGCCTGAAGATGTCGCAGCGCCTCAGTTTCGTTACCTCCATCCTCAACGGGTGAGTAGCTTGTATTGAAGTCTGCAAGGCCAACTTGTGTCTTCTCCGGACTCTTTGACTGCTCACGATAACTCGCTTCTTCTATGTTAATCGTGCCGAAATCGTAATGCGACAGTGCTTCTGTAGGCTCTTGTGTAGGTGCCCTCCTCCCTCTTTCGGAGAGAAACGTGGACTCCTCTTCACCATGATAGATGACCGGATCTGATGCGGGAAAAGAACGTCTTAACGAATGCCGCTCAGTTCTAGGAAAATGTGCATCGCCGGCATAATTGATAGACTTGAGCGTAAAGGTCGGATTGTCCTTGTCAATGTCGCTGCGTTCGTCATCTTCGTCTAGCAAGACAGACGGTGTAGGTGCCAGTGGAAGGTCACTATCTTCTTCAGACCCGACGTCAGGCGCATCCACGCTCTCAAGGCTCTCGTCAATGTCTAAAGTCAGGCGTGGCCTCTTCCCAAATCTTTCATCGTTGTCTCCATTTGGCGGCTGATTCTCCTTCCCCTTGACCGTTCCAGGCGTAGGCACTATCTTGTTCGTCGTCGGTGCAGTGAGTTTAGCTAGCTGCCTTAAGATCCCCCTCGCCGACTCAGGCCTCACGGTGGCACTATATGCCCGCCTGTTGCGAACCGATCGTGTGTGTGCTCCGCTTCGCTGCTGGAGAGCGCGGATCGCGTGGGGCGTCGATGGCGCGTATCGCGACGGTGTTTGGGAGGGTTGTGGCTCTGTCAGCGGACCCTTTCGAAAGGACATCGTGATACCACTGATAGGTGAAAGTCCTGTACGGCCTCGAAACTGTGCTCGACCTGTGACGCGGATAGGGACAACGCTCTCGTGGGTTCATGGTAGCCGCGTTGGATGCGCGTCGCACGAACAACACGAAGACGTCACCTAGTCACATGACCAGCGCTTCACTTGAGTCTCATCGCTCTTGTTGATACGCTTTCGACCATGTGGTTGTTACTGAACAGGCCATTCAAGTACATCTCCTATGTCTCTTTCGTCCTCATCAATACGCCTACCGACTCGGAGAGCTTGCTTTTGGAGACGACAGATCAGATGCAATCGAGTGATCAGCTCGATCCTCTGCCGGGATGTTACCACAAAAGCTTCGGACGATGCCAACACCAAGTTCATGCAACAACTCGAGGACATGAAGAGCCGTATCCTGCCGGTTGAAGAAGGGTTATGGGACACCCACAATATCCAAGCCTTGCGTAGAACACTGCAGAGCCACCTCTTGTTGCCGCAGTTTTCACATCCAAATCACATCCCTCCGGGCTATCACCAGGTGTCATTTAACAGCCTACCTGATGAGCACGAGCTTTCCCATGATGGCGCCGAACAGCGTCATGCTCCCAACGACGAATGGAAATTTCGCGTATGGGCGGGAGGTCACCTGGACTTTCAAAAACCTTTCCTTTGGACAGAGGGGCGTGATGGACCGGAGTCCGTTGCAGTCAACGAAAAGATTACCGATACACGACTTATTGGCAATGCCAATGCGCACAATTCGAAAGTCATGGTCACAATAACAAAAAGTCTGTTTGCGCCAGAGCTAGATGCTCAGGGGCAACCTGTCCGTGGCAGTCGCAACCAGATTTCTATGTCAAAAGCCAAAGACAACATCCTGCTCAGAGAGCAAAAGTACCTATGTTTCATGCGAGAAATTCCGGATAGCCTCAAGTCAGCGTCTTCAGTGCGCAAGATAGCGTTCCCTTCAGACCCGGACTACTCACAAACCATGATACCCTCAGCAACGCTGCTCTTTAGGTTCAGTGCTCTGACGAGGAATGCTCATGCCATTCATCTCGATGGCGATTATACCCGAGAGGTGTACGGCCTTCCCAAACCTCTGGTACATGGCCCGCTAACATCGGTGTTAATGTTGGATGTGCTTGGAGAGGCTCTAGCACTGAAAAGTCATGGACAAGCATCTGCCCTCGCAATTCGAAGTTTCCAGTATAGGAATCTCCTTCCACTCTTCGTGAATGAGCAGATCACGATAGCCTGTAAGAGACTCCACGATACGAAGGCTGATACGACGAAATACCAGACAGAATCTGCAGCACCATGGCAAAAATGGGATGTCTGGATTCAGAAAGGAGAAGGCAAAGACGCGACTTTGGCAGTTCGTGGTTCGGCTTTGGTGTCGCCAGAGCCTTCCCCTACCTCTGAACGAGAACGAGATCCTTCTGAGTAACACTCACTACCAACGGGACGCAGTCGCGCAGGTTGACACCTGAACGAGATCATTCGAGCCGAGGTAATCAATAAAGACTGTCGGAGGCGACCCTAAGCATGTGTATAACAGGACCGCTTGCTGCTGAGACATCCAACTGCCGAGTAGCGCTGTGCCCTAAGAGGCGCTACATCTCATGATGGAGCTCCGCCAGCATGTCCAAACCCTGTTTGGTTAGCGAGCCATATCGAGATTCCGAAGATCATTCCCGCCACGACCTTGTTGAAGAAATTGTCTTCAACTTCTTGTTTATGGAGACCGTAAGTCAAGCAACCGCCGCAATCTGTCGAGCAGCGATTGGCAATTCCGATTACCCAGCCACGTATTGGAAACGCAATCAGCTTTCCGGCCTTTGCAGCTTCCCAGAATGGACAGAATGATCTTTGCGCATGCCATCTTCAGCCTTCTGTAAATCAAGCTATAAACCATGTTCGTTGTATAACTACTCACTTCTGTGCGTGTTCAGTCGCTGGGAAGGTTGCCCTGCCAAAGCCTGCCAGCCGCAAATCTGAATCGGAGAGAATCTCCGACTCGCTTACGATGACAGTGCTTCATCGTCTTTATATCTGAAAAGGTCGAGGTTAGCACACCCAGTCAGTCCAGATGGCAAGCCCCGGGTAGCAGAGACAAGTGAAACATGTCAACTGGGGATGATGATTCCCGAATGATTGAAAAGTCGAAGGATCATCACTAAGTATTTGATGCGTCATAGGTATGGAGAGATTAGTAGACCTTGTGAGCTACCAAAATGTAGCATTGCTGTGGTAAAGAGTCAGCAAACGAAGTCCGAGTAAAGTCCAAGTGAGGCCCGAGTGAAGTTGGTGAGTTGCAATCGCACACAAGGCTGAAACACTGCGCTGTGGCGATCCACCATTGGACGGCACTGATGTGACGTAACGGCGACGGTTACTGGAGGCGTGGGTGGATGTCTCGTCGCAAACACGGGCCTCAACGCGACCCGGCCACTGTCGCCTGTCATGGTGCTGTCTTCAGGTAGAGGTGGCGAACATTCACCCTTCCCTCACATATCTATGTCAATTTCTTAACGCCGGGGGAAAAGTTGCGAAGTGATATGAGATTGACTTGACTCTACCCGAGATGAGCATCACCGTCACCAATCAGGCTGAATCCATTCCAGAGGTTGTCCCTCTGCAAGTAACATACCGCTCTTGGTCAGCCACATTCGAGTACACCGAGCCTACGTCTGCTGGTACATAAGATGCCTACCAAGCACACTTCCGACATGGACGGTTCGTGGGTGGTGGAGGAGGAGGAGGACAGTGAGGGAAGTATCAGTTGGGACGAACGCTCTAGAGAGTCAGAACAGGAGCGTGACTACGAAGTCAGACAAGATCCAAACATGACTCGTATGGTGCGAGACCGACGCAAGTCTCCTAGGATGACACCGCCAGCACCACACGAGCCCCAATTTATCATGCCAACCATGTCGACGAACATACCCCCATCAGACAGGATCGCCCAGAAGCGCGTGCCTGCCGCGCCCACCAAGGGAACTCCTTCGAAGCAACCCACAACATCAGTACGTTCAAACCAACCGAACAGAGGACGCGTGCACAAGGTAGCCTCGTCTCCAGTCATCGATAAGGTTGTTCTCATCCTGGTTCATGCCGCTGAATGGCTCCTGGATATCCTGGGCCAAACACTGAAAGCCTTGAAAAGACCTATCTCATGGCTCTTGGCGGCCTATCTGTTCGCAGGCATATTGATGCTTGTGCAGAACCTCTTGACCACCTCGATATATACCGCCTTATCTCCTATCTGTCGAATTCCAGGGCTCTCGCTTCTTAACCTGCCGATTTGCCGCTATGCATCACCCAACCATGGTAGCCCGACAATCTCATCTGGCACCTCGGCCCCAGTTGAATTTGATGCGCTGATGAAGACACAATCTCAGTTTGAGGAGATATTGTCCGAATCCGCAACAGGCGTCACTCTGCCTCTCGACATGAAACGGTCGGAGACTTCCATCCGTGACCTTCGCCAGATTGTGCGATACTCACAACTCGCGTCTCGCAATGAAATGGTTCTCGAGTTTGATGGCTTTATCGAGACGGCTCGTATGGCCTCGTACGACCTGCAGAAATTCAACTCGCACGTCGGCAGGGGCGTTGACATAGTGCTCAGCACGGCTCGCTGGACACAGCGTGTGTTAGACGACATGGCACACAAGCAATCCTCACGAGGTGTTATCCCAAGCTTCATCCAAGACAAGGTCCTCGCCCCATTCAAACCCGTACAGTTCACCGAAGCAATGCTTCTAGACCAGTATATCGCTCACACACGCGTCGTTTCCGACGAGATTGAGCGGCTTATCGAAGAAGCACAGGCCTTACTGCTCGTCCTGCAAAATCTGGAAGATCGACTGGACGTCATTCACGCAATCGCCATGCATGACAACATCGCCGCACAGGCAGAGAAAGACGAGATTCTCTCTCACCTCTGGACCCTGCTCGGCGGGAATAGAGCTAAATTGGGGAAATTCAATAACCAGCTGGGATTGTTAAGACAAGTGGGTCAGTATAGGAAGGTCGCATGGGCCCATGTTAGCGCAACAATACTGAAGTTGCAGGCTATGGGGGCTGAGTTGGAGGAGCTGAGGTCTAGGGTCTCCAGCGCGGAGGTGTTGAGAGGACACAAGGAGATTCCCCTGGCTGTGCACGTTGAGAATATAAGGCTGGGCGTACAGAGGCTTGAGGAAGGCAGGGACAGGGCGAGAAAGCTGGAGCAAGGCCATGTTAGGAGGGTGCTTGATGGCGCGGAGCAAGGGAATCTGTTGGTGTCGGATTGAGGCTGAAGGTGTCATCTTGAACATTTGAGACCCTGGCCATTCGATCACATCAGCAACGAAGAGAAATGAGCGGGCAGGAGCGGGTCATTGGAAGGTATTTTTTGTCTCGAGCAGAGGTTCAGGCAGGGTTGCGAGCGTGATACCCAAAGCACATGGAAAATGATTTCTTTCAGCGCCTCTGTCGGCACCGGTATCGGTATCTTTGGTCACTGTCGACTTCTGACGCTGTTCCCATCTTCGCGTGCGGCCACATGTTCGAGCCCATCATGCACCCAGAACCCATTCTTCAGGCGCTCAGTCTTGGAACAGCCTTTGTCGCCCGCTGCCATCTCTCATTCTGAAATAAAGCCTTTGGCTGACTCACAGCCCTCTCTGGAGCAGATCCCTTGTCCCTCGTCCTTTAGATCATGAGCCTCTCCACGCGATTCTTAAGCTCCCGAATCTGAGGCATCAAATCACTGCTCTCGTTCGTGGTAATGCTCGCTGCAATGACCGCCCTGCTCACACCACAAGCTCGGCCCAGCGCGGTCTTGCTGTTCACATACACGTACGGCACGTTCTTGTCTTCGGCGAGGAGGGGTAGGTGAAGGAGAATGGCGAGGGGAGATGTGTCGGCGGCGAGGACAACTAGCTCGGCGGTGCCGCGGTTGAGGGTCTTGGTGGCTTCGTTGGCACCCTTCTTGAGCTGGCGGTAGTGAGAGGCCTGCTGGACCGTATCGAGAATCTTTTGCGACAACGCTTCGTCGGCGACGGGCCAGGCGGCACTTGGATTGTCGGCCATCGCTACTGTCGTGTGGTTGATAGAGGTATGGGTAAGTGACGGGCGTAAAAAGATTTATTAGCTCAGTAATCTCAGCAGCAAAGGGTTCCTTGCGTTGGCTCGCCCTTTGCTCGAAGAGTGACTGTATCACCTGGTGATGCGTATGTGAGTGTATCGCATTTCAAAAAATTCATTTCTGGCTGGGACAAAAAGTTTATGCGGAGAAGCGAGGATTCTCGGCAGACCTTCCATTACCAGCGGGCTGCCAAGCCGAAGGTTGGAGCTTCCCTTCCAAACTCGATCTTCGAAACATCATCAACCACTGCATCTCTCGCCAGCACTGCAAAGCCTTCATCTTGCTCGACTTCATCGCCTCCGACAAGCTCGCTCTTTGCAATCAGCCACCTGAGAATCTTACAAAAGCGGCTCAATCAGTCAAGATGTCTTCCGATCTTTGGTACGTTCGACCGTTGCCCCCCATACTGCTCGTTTCCCTTCAGCCTGCGCTCGTCACTGTCGATAAGCTGGGCAGAGCTTGCAGTGGACATACCGACTCAGGCCTGAGAATCCTATGTGTATATTTGCTAATACGAATGACCCTATAGTCCAGTGTATGCGGTATGTTCTTTCCCGTCCGAATCCTATGACGCACTGCAGGCGCCGCAATGAGCAGCTCCTCGCCAGAGACCAGAGACTAACCCGGACACTCTTCAACAGCCCTTCTTCGGCGCCATGGGCTGCACATCCGCCATTGTCTTCACCTGCTTTGGCGCTGCATACGGAACCGCAAAGTCTGGTGTCGGTATTTCCGCCATGGGTGTCCTTCGACCTGACCTCATCGTCAAGAGTGCGCTCGTCCCCGTTCAAAGACCAGAACAATTCAATTGACGCATTCTTACAGACATTGTGCCCGTCATTATGGCTGGTATCATCGGTATCTACGGCCTTGTCGTCTCGGTGCTGATTTCCGACAACCTCTCGCAGAAGGAGGCTCTCTTCACCGGCTTCATTCAACTCGGCGCCGGTCTGTCCGTCGGCCTCGCCGGTCTCGCTGCAGGCTTCGCCATCGGCATCGTCGGTGATGCTGGTGTGCGAGGTACCGCTCAACAGCCTCGCCTGTTCGTCGGAATGATTCTTATCCTCATTTTCGCTGAGGTGTTGGGACTCTACGGCTTGATTGTCGCGTTGTTGATGAACTCAAAGGCACAGACTGATGTCACCTGCTAGACGAGGAGGAAAGACGTGACGGCTGCGCTGAAGCGTCATGGCGAGAATGAGAGCTCAAGAGCAAGACAAAGCGAGAGGCACAAACGGCGAGAAGCACGACGGGTAGCAATTGACTGGGCTTCTCAACTACAATCGATCCCATGCCAGTCCAGCACGAATCAACACCCACAATCATCCGATCACACACACCACCACATCACACCCAGGTCGAGTTATGGGAAAAGCACTCGACCTGGAACCCGACGATTATGTATCAATGCTAGAACTTCTTTGATCACAGAAATGGCGGCATTGGCATTAATGGTTTGCTTGCTGCCTCCCAAGGCTTCGGAATAGGACAGTATAGTGTATTGCAAGAAACTTTAGGGCCACTATGGAGTCTACACTGTAGGCTTTTGACCACCGCCATGCCCATCTCTAGGTGCCGTCTTCACATTCACAAGCACATGAGCAAGGCAACTTGGGCGCCAAAGGACAAGGGCATCTCGTTTACCCGTGCTAAGTCTCAGCATGTCCAAGCACGACGTCCACGGACCTCCAGCCCTGGGGAAGACGCGAGACCACAGCTGGCGAGAGCGAGGATGCTGCCTGGCCAGAGGGCACAAGAGGCGCCCGTGAGCCATCACGATCGGGTAATCGTTTTGCAGCGGTGTCAATTTCAGCCCCCATTCCACGTGCGTGCGTGCGTGGATGCGTAGACGGGTGACCAGTCACGCATTCACCCCGAGTGAAGCCTAGGTAATTAATAGCGTGGAGTCGAGTAAGTAAGGTACCGAGTACGTAAAGTAGCCCGCGCACGTACGAGTACTGTAGCTTTCCAAGTCCGACTTGGCTACGAGTACCTAAGGTACCTAGGTATGTACGTACTACGTAAGTACTTAGTGTCCTGGTGACATGCGGACGACTGTGTATTCGTAGTACTCCGATCACACTACAGTACCTAGGTAGGTAGTATGCTCATGTGCCCAGTGCTGCGGCGAGCGCGACACAATGTCCCGCTCCGAGATCGGGCACCGGCGCCGGCACCGAGCTGCTTACAGTACAGTGATTTGGGGACAATGCATGTGGACTATCGGGTATGTACGTATGTACTCCGTACCTATATAGGTATGGTAGGTATAGTAGGTATGTAGGGGCAACAGCTTCACGGTCCCACAAATGCGACGACGGTACACTGCGGCGGGCAAAGGTATGTATTGAATGGGTTAAGTAGGGGAGTAGGGAGTAAGTGAATAGGTAGGTATTGTAGAATCTGTGTAAAAGACCGGGTAGGTTGCATATCCAAATGAAAGAGAAAGTATCTGTAACTTCGTGACCAAATGGTTGACTCGTTGCATGGCTGTTGATTGACTGCTGACTGGTTTACTAGGCCAAGAGAAGGAGAGACTTAGAGGGCTAGAGGGTGAGAGGGTGAGAGGGTGAGAGTGAGACAATGTGAGATGAGAACTTTATGAGACGATTCGTTCTACTTCTGCTCTGCCGACGCTTATAGTTGAGCAGTGCTCTCATTGCAGTGCAGTCAGTGCTATCAATCAAGACACGCATGGCAAAGGCGGAAGGTAGCAGGTGAAAGATGACATGCTGCCCTCGCTCTATAACACCATAAATGCAGACGCAGTCGCAGATGCAGTGCGCAGTATCATCCGCTTCTTCCGTCGACCACATCCCATGTAACGGAAATCCATCGCCTTGCGATGAATGCAAGCCAAGGCAAGGCAGTGCCGTGCAACGCGGTGGGAAACAATCCAAGACAGCCCAAAGTCTCAAGGTGTGGCCACTCCAGCACAATCAGCCACAAGCACGTTATATCTGTCCGAGCTTTCTCCTCAGATTCCTCGTCTTGCGCATCAACTTCTTGTACTTGTGCTTCTTCATCTTCAGCCGCCGTTGCCTCTTGACACTGATGGCGTACATTGTGCCTTGCGGTCTTCTCCGGCTAGGAGAGATATACCCCGTCCTCCGTCTTCGTCCGATGCTGCTTCGCCTGGGTTCCGTGTCTGGCACAGCCTCGCCAGCCTCGGGGGTCTGAATCTCCATCATTGTCGTTCCGCTGGTGAAGAATCTGCCATTCTGCAGATCCGCGTCGCGGGGCACATTGATGACAACCTGCTGGATGTAAGGGTCATGGTCGTATTCCTGCTGCTCGATCTCCACTTCTAGTGTTTTGGCCTGCATTTCCTCTTGCTTCTCGACTTCTGCCGCCTTGGCCTCCGCGGCGTCGATGTCGGCATCACTTATCGGTTGAGGAACAGGAGGGACGTTGAAGGGTCGGAACCGCCGTTGGATTTCCTGAATCACGAGTTTGACGTTGCCCCCGTTGAGGTTGATTGTTTGTGAGGGTGCGCCATCGAGGTGGTGCGTCCTGTTGGGATCGATCGGCGTTTCATTGCGTTGTGTGAGAGCTCTGATCAATGCCGCTTTTTGCTCAGCGCTCTGACTTTGGGAGGCGTGAGCGTGTTGTTTCTCCGCAATGTGTTCGTCGAGTCTTTCTACCGCAGACGCGAGCGTGTAGATGACGTCCTGAGTGTTATTGCGAGAGCGCTTGGGTTTCGGCGCGAAGAGCTTGTCGATGGCCTCGAGCGAGGTCTCAGTGGGGACAGCACCGGTAATGGACATAGGCCGGTAGGTCGAGAAGAATGAGGCGACGTAGACGTCTGCCGATATAGTTAGCTCCTGCCGAGGAAAGAAGGGTGGTGAACTTACCCTTGGGGTTCAAGTGCTGCAAGCTGGGGACAGCAGGTAACTTTGATGTCCAGTTTTCTTGAGCCTCTTGCTTTGCATCCAACTTGTCCTTTGAAGCTCTCTTCTTCGATAGGCGTGACTCGGCGCCCGGCCTTTTCGACTCTGATCGTGGAGCACCAACCTGCTTCACCTGAGCCGCCGGGATGGGTGGGGAGCCATTGTTCGGCGGTGTGGGAGGCTTGGAAGACGAATGCCGCCGCTGATGCGAGTTGGATGAGAAGGTCGCTATCGTAGGTGTACTCGGGCGGGAGGGTATCGGAGACCCATTGCCACAGTTGCGCGCCACTCGGCGCAGCGACGTGTTGAACATAGGTCCTCCAGTGCTGAGAAGTGAACGTAGGGTGGACTTGGATGTCCTGGATGCGATGAATGAGTCGAGCTGATAAAGAGTCGAATGATCGCAACGGCGGCAAACCGGCGCATCGCCAAGAATCCGGCGATTGTCTACGGTGGCGCATTAGGCCGAGAGCGAAGAGGGCGCAGATACGACAATTACGCAATCACCGTCTGTCTCCAACCTCAATATCCCCTCCACCCCCTCCGGCGAGCACGGGATGAGATGCGTGGGGTGGTCCCGTCCATCGGAAGCTGCCCATCATGATGTGGGACTTGAGTTGTCCTTGTTGTCCTTGCTGTCGGACTTTGTCTGATGTTTTCTCCTTATGTGAGACTGCCAGTACGGCTTGAGACATCCAGCTTCGCATTCAGGACGAGGAGAATTCGGACAACGGCCACCATGTCTTCAAAGACCGTCAAGAGAATTACACTCTTCAAGATACCCAAAGAAGAGGATATTGACGGAGCGTTGGCCCAATATGAGATTTTGAGGTCAACCGCACAGAAGGTACGGATACGTGCTTTTCGCAGAACAGGAGCCGAATCCTCCTTCGAGCCCTAGGATGATATACTGATGCCAGGGTAGGACGGGAAACCATATATCATCTCCAACGAGGCGACTCGCGTGACCAACTCTTCGGATGAGCGAGCCCAAGGATACACGATGCTCGCTGTCACGGTCTTCAAGTCACGAGAGGATTTTGACTACTATGACAAGGAATGCGCCGCGCACAAGAAGTTGAGGGAGTTCATCACTCCCAGGAGGACTGGCTTTGCTACTATTCAGTATGAAAGCGAGCTTGGTCCTTGAGGAGACCGACACGATGGAATGCCGCTTCAGAGACGTCTCTGCATGGACCATGTACGACCAGCCAGGTATTGTCTCTTTTGGCATATGTGCTGTTCCTTCCTCGCTGCACATATTTTGACAGGTCCTCACTGCCGTGGGAGAGGTTGCTCTCGCTGAACTCGGCTCGATTTAGATTCTTCTTTATTGGATGATCTCTGCTTGTCTTTATTGACAGTCAGTACCGTCCACATACGATCACATCTACAGTCTTATCGAGATTTCTCATTTACCGAAGCTTTTCTCATCACCCTATTCACATTATGCACCTTAGAGACATGATCAGAACAACGCCATACTCTTCGAACAACAGGCCACAGGTGAAGCCACCAGCCACAGGACCCGAGCGGTTTCACTCTCCCCTGTCATCAGGGAGCCTGTCTCAATCACAGCAACCTTCATGTATGGGTGCCTTTCGCATGATCTCGCCCGAGATCAGAATTATGATCTATCAATACTGTATGGATATACGCACGACTGCCCTGTTTCGGACATGCAAGGAGTTGTATCTCGAGAGCTTACCATACCTTCGCGAGAAATTCGTCCTTGGATTCTACATTGACCCCCGCGCACCTGGATCGATCATATACCTCGTTGACCCGCACAGCCGTCCCTGGGGCGACAACCGCAACATCATCAGTGTCGAGTCTGCACATGAAGAGAGCATGTACATAGACTTTATGCCCGCCGACCAGTTTGGCAAAATTCGAATCCGCATCGATGCACCGGACCCAGCAGATCCGCCCCAGCTCGTCCGGTGTTGGTATCAGACGAAGCGCCTTCTGTCCATCCTCTTACCACGATGGAGAGATCCTGACAGGTTTCCGGAAGACGAGGTGAATGATATAATCACGTCACCGGACAGGTTAACGACCAGGATGCCATCGTTTGAGGTTATGTTTCACAACGATGATCAGAGGAGGTGGTGGCGCGGGTCTACGCAAACCGCATTTCGATGGAGTCATAGTGCCCCCTGTTGTAAAGTGCAATTAATACGCAATATGCTCGAACAGAGGCGGTTGAGGTGCCCCGGATGTGTCGATTTCCGAGACATTGTCGACCTTTTCCAGAGAGTTCGCAACGCTTGTTCGATTAACATTCAGATTGATTGCCAGGAGCACCCTGAAGTACAGTCGGTTGTCGCCAAGCTAAAGCAGTCTGCTGTCTCAAACATCTCATTTGGGTTGATCCTGAACGAGAAGGGACGCACTGCGGGCCCCAAGAGCTGGGCATTTGACGATGCACACATTCTAGGCAAAGAGAACGCTCGCCACATCTGGCTTGATTACCTACTGGACCAGCTCCCTGGCAGCGTAGCGATCGACCTGGATCGTGAACGCTACGACAATTGGTGCCTTGGATACGAGGAGGCACTACGGCGTAGTGCCTTTGGATATCGGTTCGGTACCCTACAGCGCACCTTTGGTGGGGGGTTGGAAGTCCTGAAAGTACCCGGTCATATGTTCCGCTGGTCATAACAGCGAGGGCTGCGAGAACGATTTTGGAACTGGGCGCACTGGCACATCAATGCCACTTACCACTGCCCGTACGAGAATTATCTTGACAGGCACATGGATGTTCTTAAGAACCATACGGAGCACGTCAAGGCCGTCGTATCCCGGCAAACGAATGTGACATGCGATCTGATGCTCGGGGTGTTGCCAATCTTGGGGGAAACTTCGGTGCCTACGCCCAAATCGACCTACGAGCAGCTACGTTTAGATTTGGGATGGCAAAGGAGGAATGTGTACTTGCCGCAGCTGGGAAGGCCGATCAAGTCCGTATTCCTATGGGCGATGGCAGGTTGTTGTCAAAGATGTCCACCATATGATCTGGAAGGTGGACGGGCATAGTCGTGGCCATTGTCTTGTTGAGTGTTGTAATTCGAGTTGATGGAGGCGGCTCTTCTGCGATTCTCCTTGTGGCCATCCACTGTCTTTCCGAGGAGTCTACTCTAAGCGGTTCCACCAAGATTATTGCGAAATACAACAAGGCCGACAGTAAGTTGACCTCACCGATAACAAGAGAGAGTATAAGAGTATAAAAGAGTATGAGAGAGTATAAGAGAGTATAGTAGACGAGTATGCTTGTAACTTGTAGGCACCATCTAGAGCTCGAATCCTTAGATAGCCCTGGCTCAGAATCAATAGTCTGATACTACCTCATGCTCGATTGTAATACCAGAGGAAGCAGCAGGGAATGAATCCTTTTGTCAGTGTCGAACACGTCAGCGGCGACGTCGTCAAATAGTAAACCAGACGACCACAACGCTTTACCGGGTAGAGAGTATACCCGACGAACCTGACCTCCTACCTAGTAGAGAACGTACTTTTTCCCTGCGATCCAGTCACACAGCAAACGCTTCTTATATCTCGGCCAATGCCTCATTAGGCGACTCCCTTACCTCCTGTCACCCACTGGACATTACCACCGTTGGCCGTGTACCTCATAAAATCGCCGCTTCCTCCCTGGGTGCCACGGTGCTCCCAACTAAACCAGTTTCTGACACTTCATTTTCTGGTTCCCCCCTCCCCCCGGCCCCCCGGCCCCCCGGCGCCCCCAGCCCGAGGCCTCATGACTCTCTTTGGAGGCATTGATCCTCGCCTCATGAACCTCCCTCGTGGCATCAATCCTCGCCTGTAGCTCGTTGACACAGTTCCTAGCGTACACCTGTCTCTGGACTTCGAGCGGGGCGGCGCTCACATCGGGGGCCAGCTCGGCCATCGCCTTCGTGGCAAACCCTCGCAAGGAGACGGCGTTGACTTGGTCTTCCGTCCAGCCCTCCCGAAGCATGACCGTGCGGAGGACGTTGTCGAATTGTCGGTTCATGGATTCTTGACATCGAGGGCACGTGGACGTGTGCTGGGGATGGTTTCTGTCGGTCTGGATGCAGAGTTCAGGGGCCGGGTCCGTCGAGGTTGATTGTGATTGTGGACATGGACATGGACGATCGGGAGATGGGTCTTGCGCCATGGGTGAGAGGTGAGGTAACTCTCTGCAAGAGGTACCCGTGCGAGAGATACTCTTGGTACTGAGCAGTTGGATCTGTTCTCGGTTTCAACTCCGAGTTCGACGTGTTTGTGGTTGGGAAAGATGGTCTGGCCTCCCCCGGGACTGCTGTGTATACTTTAATTACTGCGGCGGTTGCTGCAATTGCATCGTCAGATGGAATGACTGTGGGGTATCAACGCTCATCCATGGTGACATGCCAGGATTATATAGACGTGGACTGTTGGCAGATCAAATACCCAATACCCAATACCTTGTACGAAGTGCCAGTACCCTCACATGGAAGCAATACGATGACGAAGAATGTGAGCTGGTACTCGTATCGATTTGTCCAATACAGGTCCCGCTGTGTCTTTTGAGCGACGAATCATACACAGATAGGGCCGATGATCTTCCCTTCGCGAGGAAGAATATCCGGAGATCTGGTTGGATCAATGATTTGCAGGACGCCCACAGACTCTTGGACCTGAAACTAACCTGTCTTCCGGGTTGTCTGCAGCAGTGTTTTGTCTCGGTCGATCATTGAAATGTATCGTAAATACGCGGAAATGGGCTTGGATAGGCATTCCTTTGGCCTCTCAATCTCAGTAGGGTCTGACAAGTGATAAACAGTCAGTCGTTCCCTGGCCTGAAACATCTCTAAAATTCTTGGGGCATCGTCATCCAAGGGTGTATCACTGAGACGATGTGAGAGATCACCTTTCGGATCTTAGCAGGGGAGACTAAGGTCGCATCTGATTGCAGAGTCCGGAATCATCGCTCTGAAGCAATCACATGGACTCAATTTTGCTCAGATCCTCCGTGAAGTTGGACTCAGAGAATCAGCAAATGCAATGACAGAGACATGGGCGTTTTCGAAACCTGAAATGATGCCCTTCACTCGTCTGGGTTCGGCCAATCGAGGCGGCAGATAGCAAATGAGTCCGATAGATGGCATGTTCGTCTCGAAACGCGTCGCAGGATTCAACAGCGAAGCATTGGGATCCCTCTCTGTCGTGAGGCGAAGATGTGTAATGTGCCGCTGCGACTGTTTCTCAGCTACTCGTGCCGACCCTGGCTTGCCTGCATCTCGAGCGACTGAGTCCCACCTGTCGAGTGTTCGAATATCAATACATTTGACATCGACCTTCTCAACCGGTGGTTTTTGTGACTCGGCTTAGTTTTTGTGACTCGGCAAACATATCCATCTTGTTTCCTTTCCACGGAGACCCAGCGGCCAAACCAAGTTCGATCATATGCAAGGAGCGCACGTGGTCTTCTGCTTGTCTGAGCTCAAGGGCCGACGATGACAAGGAGTGCATGTCATTTGTCACCGCCATTCTCTGTGGGGCGTTTCAGTGCCGTTGTATGCAGTGAAGTAGGGCATCGCGGGCTCGAAAGGCCGTAGAGGGCCTCGAGGGTGGCTCCCTTTTCTTCAGTATAACGCCCAGACCGCGCGAGACGTAGGCGAAACCACATCCTCCCTCATTTGACCCTAGCATATCTCGTAGAATACCGGCTGTTCTTGCCATGACCAGGACATCGACGGTGGGACCAGCAGGGTCGGTACCTGGTTTCTCAATGGAGATCATCCGCATATACCATGAGAGCAATAGACCTTCGAACTTCGAAGCAGCGGACGCGTAATTCGGTCGCATTTCGTCGCAGGGCAGAGAAATGTCGCAAATTCAAGCCACTGCGATTGATCTCATGATCATCTTTGCACTTTGGCGAGCGGGTGGATATCGTGGTTTGTCGAATGGCTGCACTGTTTAGAAGCCCGCAATGCTGCACCGCCACGAGGTTGCGCGCTTCAAGGCTGTAGAGGAGCGATGGTGCACGACAAGCTGACCGTATGCTCACCTAAACCTCTCATACGCCATTTCTTCAGCGTGCCTCTTCTTAACCTGTGCAAGGACATCGGCCTCATATATGCTGTCGGGCGAAGCGTCTCCCTTCAGAACCAGCTTCTCATGCCTCGAAGCTTCCTCTTTCGTCATCAGCACCAGGTCCGTCAGAGGGAGCTTGATCATCTTCTGTCCTTCCTTCTCGTATTCTGGGTCGACTTTAAAGCCACCGGCTGGCTTTTTCCATCTTATCAGAGCCAGCCGGGTGCCGAGGCCACTGATGACACTCTTGCCGCGGAAGACTTCTTCCACGAGGTATGCCACGTCGTCGCGGCTAACTGGTATTCGTAGTCCGACGGCGTCCTGGCCGTCTGTTGACCGGACCTGCCTCTCTTCCAGACCTTGCAGTGCCGACAGCATGGCATCGTACATTTTCTCTCTTCCTCGGTCGCCCACGCGATAGTCCATTGGGTAGCCAGCTATGCCGCAGATAACATGATTCGCGACGGTATATCCAAACACGGCCGGCATGGTGCCCAGCACAGGCAGAATCCTGACCCTAAATTCGGGCAGCACGCCGAGTTTGTCCACATTTCCCTTCTCGAACTCTTCATCCGTGATGGGCAGTAGCCCGGCCTTGCCCTCCCCCGGCTTTTCGGTGGAGAAGACGACCGGGATTCCGCTGTTGATTCCCATGACCCGCAGTCGTCGCCTCGTAGATTTGGACAAGGGATCCTCAAAACTCGTCGAGATGTCCCCGACCTGGATCCTCGTCGGATCACTCTTACAACCCGCGCCCATCGCGCTGATGACCTTGATGCCCTTGAGCGCACAGTAATGCAAAAGCGCCACCTTGGAATCGATGTTGTCAATGGCATCGACCACCCAATCGACCTCCTTGTCCTCCTCTCCCTCCCGCACCTCGAAATCCCACTTGGCCAGCAACCCCTCCATCGACCTCGACCCGAGCAGCTCATTCCGCTCATCGATCCTCACCCACGGACAAATCTGCTCCAGCCGCTTGCGCACACAGTGGACTTTCGGCGTGCCCACGTCCGCCAAGGTCGCCAGAGCATGTCGGTTCAAACTGCTCAGCGTGACCTGGTCGAAATCCACCACTCTGATCCGCGAGACACCACTCCTCGCCAACGCGGCAACACAGTGACTGCCCACGCCGCCCAGACCTACGACGATGACGAACGAATCCCGCAATTTTGCCAGGCCCTCATCCTTCAAAAACACGCGATTCCTCGCCAGCTGCTCGAGGATCAACTCTTCGTCGTACTCGCCCTTTCTTGCCCGGGCGGCGATCAACGCCGCCCTCTCGTCCTCTTTGTTGGATATCGTGGGTCGGCTCGCCCCACCAAACTCGTTCAGCGGCAGGGCTTGATGGTCGCTCGAGAGAGGAGGGATCGAAGCTTTGAGTTCGTCGGTTGCGCGGCGACGGTGGATCGCCGTGGTTGTCAAGATCACGGTCGCGGCTGTTATGGCGCCAAAGGTGGCGGCGAGCGTGAGGTTCAAGGTGCTGTTTGATAGGGAGGTCTGGCGTTGCAGCCATGCGGACATGGTGAACGGGGTTATGCTCGTGGAGGGACGTGGGAAGCGACTTTGAGAGAGCGCGTAAGGGAAAGCAAAAAAGCCGAATGGCTGAACAGCGGCGCCAGTCACTGCATTTCTGGGATTTCTTCCACCTGCTACAGCCTTTGGTAGTTTGCCTCGTTCGAGAGGTTCAGTGCCCGAAGTCGTTGCTGGTGTCGAGATCTAGTGGGAGCATTGAGAAGAGCTCTTTCGGGAAAGCGTCAACCGCAGCCACAATTCTTCCTCGGATCGCCGCCTCCGAGACTTTTTCTCCGCAACTTCGACTCGTGCTGTGCTTTGAATTTCAAAATCCGAACCCCAAACTCCCAGCTTCGTGCCCTCTGTATCAGACGCCGAACCTGTATGTGAGCGAGCTAGTATTTCTCCTCGCGCCGCCTGCTGCCACATCTCCGCCTCCATACTTCAAGTGGGACAAACTGCGCTAAAGCGCGCTCTACGTACCCTCCCACCGACGTCCTCACTGGCACCTCTATCCGTCGTATCGTCGCAACCACAACTGCAACCGCAACCATGGCGCGCAACTCGGAAAAAGCGCAATCCATGCTCTTCCGCTTCCGCGCCGCCCAAGCCGCCGAGTCGGGTCTCTTGCCCTCGTCGTCGCTGCGGCGACCGAAAGCCCCCTCGACGATCAACACGGTGCCGCTGTGCGAGAAATGGCGCGGCCAGATCCTCAAGGAAGTCAGCCGCAAGGTGACCAAGATCCAGGACGAGTCGCTGTCGGATTTCCAGATCCGCGACCTCAACGACGAGATCAACAAGCTGATGAAGGAGAAGTGGGGCTGGGAACGCCGCATCAGGGAGCTGGGCGGGCCGAATTACATGCGCGGCGGCGGCACCGTGTTCGACGACCAGGGCCGCGAGGTCCCCGGTGGAGGAAAAGGGTATCGCTACTTCGGGCGGGCCAGAGAATTACCCGGCGTCAAGGAGATGTTTGAGCGCGCGGCCAAGAGGAGAGTTCGTGGCGGTGGTGATGACGACGAGGACGCAGCCGCCAAGGAGCCCCGGCAGGAGATCAATCGTCGGAACCTCGACGCCAGGTATTTCGGCTTTGGGGCGGACGAGGAGGACGCCGCGCTGTTGAAGTATGAGCGGCGGAAGGAGAAGGAGGCCGTAGAGAGGCTGGGGAAGTTGGCGGCGGCGGCGACAGCGACGGCGGCGGAGGGTGGAGAGGGAGCGGCCGACGACGATGACCCGGACTGGGAGCCGTTACCGGGTGATGCGGGTGACGGCGTAAGATGGCGGTTACCTACCCTGGAAGAGGTCCAGCAGGAGCTGATGGATCGGCGGAGGAGACAGTTGCTCGACAAACTCGGGTGAGAGGCACCACCAAACATACAATATGGCTTGAATTGGCAGGCTACGGGTCTCGATGAAAAGCATATGGATGAGACTTTCTCTTGATTTGTGCCTGGTCATGTCCGCCTAGGAGCGGCATCGCTCTCGAGAGCAAGCTCGAAGCATGCCTCCTCTCGAGTTTGACAGTGTCCATTGTCTACAAAGACAACAACACCTTCCGCCGTCCTCTCATGCTATGACTTTGACGGGAATTACAACTACTCCTGGACAATATGCTTGTCTAGCATTTAACAAAGGTCGTCTTCACGGATCTCTCACATCTTCACCGCTCGCGACGCTCGATTCCAGCCCCGACTTGCCCCGGTCCATTCCGCCGTCACTAGCAGTAGATGAACTGGAACTTGGCCGTCGAACCGCTCATCTTCACCCCCAGGTTGACCTGCGTGCTGATGAAAGTGTTGTCCCCCTCATTAACGACTTCCAAATTGCTCGGAACCAACTGAGTCCCGGAATTTGCACCATTAACGGCGGCACTCGCGGCGATGTTGAAGATGAACTTGACGTCCCGCTCTCCTACCCCGGTGGCCGACCCTCCTGTGCAGGCAAAGATGACGTTGACGTTTTTCTTGCCGCTGTTCCCGCCGAGGTATTTGAGCACGTTCCGACATGCTTCGCTGAGGTAGAACGGATCAGGCGCGACCTTGACGTTGACTTGGGCCTCGTAGATCCCGCCACAAGCCGGGTTGCTGATGTCCGGGTCAATGTTCAGGGTGAGTTCGCCGGCCATGGCTGCGCTCTCGTTTCGTCTGGTGAAGCCGTGGCCGTGGTCCACTCGGACGGTGTCTTCTTGACGTGGTACTGAGAGGGCGCTTGCTGAACTCAACAGCACTGTGCAGAGTGCCACAATCTGGCGCCGCATGGTGAGGGATTGGTGAGGAAAACTGCCTCTGCCGCTGCCGGAACCGCACCAAAGTCAGCGCCGCACCACTTGCAGAGTGTTTGGTATTTTGGGAGGATGCTTGCCTGTGGTCAGAAAGTGGCTGCAGTGTCTCGATGACATGGGTCGCCTCAAGTGATGGTAGGACGAAACACGCTCACGGTCTGATATTGTCCATGGCACAGTCCCCGGCTAGATCAAGAGATTGAAAGCAGGAGCATCCTCGTTAGACTGGCAAGCGCAAGCCTGGTGTTTCCTTTGGGCGTGGGCGTGAGCGAGAGCGAGAGCGTGAAGAATCAAGCCCACTACTTAGCCGGGCGGTCAGTAGGATCTCCGGCCCGGCTGTTTGTCGTGGTCGTCTCTGAGCTCACCGTTGTGGAAGTGAAGGGCTGTTTGATCATTGGGCCGTGATTCGGCGCAGTTATACAAGCCCCTACAGCAGTTTTTATCGACGCCAATGTCGGAGTGTGCGCATGTTCATCTCTGCGGTGAAGCTGGATGAGATCCTGATCCTATTGAAATCCATAGAACCGAATTGGAAAGGGCAATTACCCGCGGGCTGCACAGCATACGCAATCCATGTTTGCTTGCAGGTCCGATTCTTTCATGGTTGGCCACCTTTGCATGCTGTGCCATGTGGTGGTAGTGCATGCATGCAAGCAGCCTGTATTGTCGCACCGACATTTGAGCTCCTGAGTATACGCACGTACGCACCCGTCGGTGTGTGGCGTTGTGCGGTTCTTTACTTATCCCTCAACGAAGAAGAGCTCATTTTGCTTGAATACGTACAAACGACGATATTCCCTGCCGCTTGTCTTGACGGTTTTGCTCCGATCGTGCTGATGACTGAGAGGAATGCCATACCAGATTGAGGCTCTGAGTCCTCTCAGGGCGGGCAGGTATCCGGTGAGTTTGCGGCACTCCTCAAGGTCTCTCCCAGGACTGTCAAGATACAGATGTGTATGTGTATCATGATCATGGTAACGACATCTCCGCCAAGGAATGCAATCTGATATCTTCTTCAGTGAGCGGCATTTGAAGGCGAGGTATGAGAATTCCCTATGCAGCAGCGTACGACGCTATCGAAGGGAGGACGCATTACTCAGCACGAGCGTGCAGGAGTCAGGCTTTGTTAAAGAAAGAACACCACATACATGAGCAAAAAGGTGGAGTAGGAGGAAAGACGGTATAGGGACATCCTGAGACACTGGAAGAATTGTGGACGAAGGTCGATCCATGCTCAAACTCGACATGAGGGTTGGTAAAGTCACCAGCTCGAACTGTATCAAGAATCTTCACTATCATTGATACTGTGGTGGCTGGAGCTCAGTGTATCTTGATGCCGGACGGTATCGAAAACCCTTCTCCACGTTGTTGGCTTCTGTGTCACTGGCACCATCAATTACACCTCCAACCTGGCAGACACGCCTCCTTATTTGCTGAGCAGCTGGTTGACTTCAGGTGGGGAGCTTTTCTTGCAGTTACAGCGACGGGAGGGCGTTGGCGAGTCGTACCTTGATTGATGTAGGCATTATCGGCGTTCTGCTCGGCGTTCTCGCCCTGCTTCTCCTTGCTCTTGGTTCTCGAGGTATTGTTCGTCTTCTTCGATGATGTTGTGCGGGAGGCGGCCTTTATCGTTGCATCGACTAGACATCCTTTACCTGGGCGTCTTCATAATCCGCCACATGTGATCACACGATCTCACCGTCAGTGCCTTTATGAGAACTGCCTTTCCTAAGTGTGACGTGACCGTCCAGGGCTTGATTGTGAGTGATCATCATCCCGACCACCCTGGCAGCGTGCTTTTCACAAGCCTTCCAAGCATTCGCCTCTCCAAAGACCGGGTCACCAAGTCGAAACCCTTGACCGCCCTAGTTTTGTCACGTGGAGCAGCTTGTTGGACCAACACAGGCTCGAGCTCAAGTCAGCTCCGAACCCCTGTGACCTGAAATCGAGAGGGTATGGGTGACAAGACAAGACGGAGGGGCCTCAGCAGAAGCTGAAGGCTTATGAAGAACCATGGTAAGAATCCGGTTACGAGAGTCGCCCTGGCGACAGACGTTCTGAACTCAGCCAGCAAGCCAGTTTGGTATGGCTGATACGCATTCCCCTCTGCATGCCGCATCCACACAGCTGGACAGACTCCCGAAATGTACTCCTCGTTGTACCATGCCTGGGGCGTAATGAGCATATTTAGCGGAGTTAGTCATGATATTGGTGGCATGCAGGGGAACAACTGGTTCGTCGAGCATGCACCAACAGGTGTCCGTGATGACGCGCGCCCCGAAAGACTCCAACGAATCGAGATATCCAGCTTCAGCAGCTTTCTCGCTAACAGCTCGACTGGTCGTTATGACGACTTCGACCCCTGCATGCTTCTTTTGACGAGAGCACAGCATCACGAGCTTAGCGAACTCTTCGAGGGAGAAGTGAGGGTTTCCTAGTGAGACAAGTCCGAGTGAACTGTCTGTAGCAGTATTCAGCTGAGTCCAACAGCTTATCAGCTCGTATTTGCCAATCTCACAGCAGGGAATCTCGAGACTGGGATCGCCAGCTTCGGTGATTTCTGGAGTGACGCCAGCCATATGGAACATTGGCGCCGACGCCGTTGTTGCGAATGCTGCCGAGAATGCTTTCAAATCCGATCTGCTTGGACTTGTGTCTTCGAGGCCGCACACCAGAGGGACGTCCGAACCAGCCAATTTGCCGACATGGTATCCTAGCAATGGCCAGAACGCATCATCCACGTCTGAGAGGGCTGCAACTTTGATCTTAAGTTTTGGTAGCCGCGGCTCGTCGAGATGGCATCCGACAGCCGGCGCTCGGCCAGTCAGAGCGATGCAGACGTCCAGAAAGTCCGGATACTTCTGGGTTCGAGCACCAAGGACACTGTTGGCAAAGACAACAGCGTTCGATTCTGCCCAGCCGATATTCTCGCCAGCCTTGGGAGCTGTTTCCAACAGGTAGGGTGCGCATGTGAAGCTCGTCATAGCGCCCATGGACATATACGCTTGTGCTAGTTTGCCTGCCTCCCTGGCCAGAATGGAGTCCATGCCAATCTCACGCCAGCGGCGTTGGTCGATGGAAATGGAGTTCAATGTTGTAGGGACTGCGAATTTGGCGCCGACAGACAAAAACCTCTGTGCAAACAGGAGGCTTGCTGGTCCAATATATATACAGGCGTCGATATGTGCCTGGGACACATCCAGAAATGCCTCGGCGCCTTGTATTCCAGCGACGTCTACCAAGATCTCCATGGCAAGTTTGGCTGCAAGACCAAAGTCTCCAGCTAGGAGACGCTCGTCTCGTGGCGACAACTTGATGTGCACTGGTCGAAGTATCGTAGATGGTGAGTCTGTCTTCGGGATTCGTGGAGGTTCATCGAAAGACAGCTCAGGGCCATCAACGCTAGCAGGTGTGCCGCTATACAAAGACGTAAAGTCATCCATCGATATGACGAGAACGGGGATTGAAAGCTCAAACAACTCCCTTGCCACCATCACACCCATTGTCAGGATTTCGTCGACGTGCTGAAATATTAATGCCGCTGGTCCTCGCTTCTTTAGCAATAGCTCCAGGAGAATGCCACTTCCAGTACACGAACCACGTCCTGAAGGAATAGCGAAGATTCTGCCTGTGACACATTCGCCTCGGAGCGGATGATGTTGATCGACAATTATACCCGTGTCAGGATTGATGCCACCCCAGAAACTGATGCTGGTATCCGACACCAGGATCTCTCCGGATGCTGTTCCGACGACGAGTGTACGTCCATGGATCCTCATCGCTAAAATCTGGTTCGCACAATACTGGCAGTGATTCGTACGAACGGTATTGTATCGCAATGGTGCCTCGACCACTTGCACATGTCCAGAATACGGTCTGGCTGCAACTCTGAAGGTAAAGGTTCACAGCTGTGGCTTCCGGACATCTGCGACCACGGATATGTCCTGTCTCAGTTGGATGACGGTGACAGCTGCTGTCATTCGAGACAGCAGCAAAGGTGCTATCCTAACCACCATGCTGCTTCTGACAGCCCCTCTGGAATAACGTGTACGGCGTTTTCGGATTCTCTGGTTGCTGAGCCGATTGAAAAAAAGGCCCATTAAGCGGCGTCGAATGTGTTCACGCTTCTCTTGGCTCTCTGCCAGGACAACCTTCCAATCTGTCCTTACCCAGAATGCTGGTTCATGGTGGACGATCGAGGCCGAGGACTTTGCCAGATGGTCCCGATGGCGCATGGATTTGTCCTTTGATCACTGTAGGTCAGTGTTCCTGGTGGATTGAGTGCATGATACCAAACATATCCAATCAAAGCTTGGTGATCACAACTATAAGCGGGCGCTCTCACCTCCCGTCCAATTCCAGGTGGTCAACGCTTGTGGTAGCGCCTTCATCCACTGAATGGTCACCTCGTCGTCGGTCTGGATGTAGATTCGACATAGTGCCGGGATTAACCGCATGGAAGCAATGAGCCAAACTTGGAGGAAGACAGCAAGCTCGTGAAGCAGCTGAGTGGTTTCCTCTCATGTATGCCGGCTGGATGAATGAAGCTTACCGGTGTAGTGAAATCTTCTCAAAAACTCCTGCTCTGGGCTTCCAAGTCAGAGCCAAAGTGGCTGACATATCTGGTGTTGTGCTTGCTGCCTCTCATTTATCTACTGTGTATCACTCACATCTCATTCATCTCGGCGTCAATTGGGGGCAATTTATTTAAGCCTCAGACCGCTTACATAAGCGTAACTCAGGGGCTCACGCTCCGCTCCAGACGCTCACCAAATTAATTGCTTCTAATTAAGACGAGTCAGACGGCCGGCCCAAGCCCACCAGAGCGCTTCGTTGCATTTTCCGTTGCCATCCACACCACTTTCCTTATGATGCTTCGAATACAGGAGCAGATGGATCACTCGCCCTCGCTGCCGTGATGCTCCGCCGTTCCTACCGTCGATCCTCGCTGCCACGACGTCTCGTCCGTCTACTGCTCTATTTGCTCTGCGCTCTCTTCGTCCTTGACGTCCTGACCATACTGAAACACCACCGCGAATTCAGTCGCAACCTTGTATCGCACACGTATACCTCCTCTGCCGTTCTCCCGACGCCCGTACGGGACCAGAAGATCTACATCGTTGCGCAATTTTGGACAAACGCCCGGGTGATATCAGAGCGATGGGGCCAGGCACTTCTCGACCTGGTAGACGTGCTAGGCAAGGAAAATGTCTACGTGAGCATCCTGGAGTCAGGGAGCTTGGACAACACGAAAGAGGTCCTCAAACAACTGGATGATGTACTGGTGCAGAACAACATCCCCCATGTCACAATCTTAGATCCGACCACACACGCCGATGAGATCAACGCCGGGCCTCTCGATGAGCAGGGCACTCCCCGCCAAGGCTGGATCCAGACCACAACCGTCGGGACGCAATGGGGCAAAGAGCTACGAAGGATTCCCTACCTTGCGCGGTTGCGGAATCGAGCTCTAGGTCCGCTTTTCAAATTCCATGATGAGCAGGGCCCGAAATTCGACAAGGTACTATTCCTTAACGACGTTGTGTTTCGGCCACAGGATGTCCTCACGCTTCTGGCAACGAATCAAGGCTCTTTCTCGGCGGCATGTGCGCTCGACTTCCACCTCCCACCTGCATACTACGACACCTTCGCTCTCCGTGATTCCGAGGGACTTGGAACGATCCAGTCTACATTTCCCTATTTCCGCGGCATAGATTCTCGTGAGACCATGCTTAAGGGTCTGCCCACAAAAGTGTCTTCGTGCTGGAACGGGATGATCGTGATGGATAGTGCTCCCTTTTACGAAGGTCTGCGGTTTCGTGCCCTTAGCGACAGTCTCGCCTCAAAGCACCTCGAAGCAAGTGAGTGTTGCCTCATACATACCGATATGAATGTCACCATCCCTGGAGCGGGGCAGAGGATCTACGTCAATCCTTCTGTAAGGGTCGGATACACTGTGGATGCATACAATATTACACATTCCGGTCCTGATGAGAATTTCGTATCCGCTACGCAGTACGTCACTGGAGTCTGGACGAATCGTCTCCGAAGGACCGTCCTCCCACGAGAAACGAAGACTATGAAGGATGTGGAGAGGAAAATGGCCAGATGGGTGAAGGAAGGCGAGAACTCATTGGAAAAACGGGAGGAAAATGGTGCGATTTGTGCCATTGATGAGCAGCACATTCTCATTTGGAATGGCTGGAAACATGTGTGAGGACAGACCACTGTACGACGTTCCGGAGCCTTCGAAGCATTTTCGAGCGACGACGAAGATATGGCCTCCTCATAAGGGTACGCACGCCAGCATCCCGCATTGGATAGCCTTTTATACCACAGCGTCGCTCAACCGTCTCGGGAATAAGAACACGAATGTCAACACTCCTGACACCACGGACACCCCCGTTCGCGGGGATTCTTACATGGCATGGATGCCGACCGCCGCTAGCACTACGGCTGTCACGAGGCAAATTGCGGCATTGACGAGAGCAGTCGAGATGTTGATCTGGATTCGGTCGTGCCTATCGAATGTACAGCCCGAATCGATGAACAAAGCAGGCCAGCGCCAATATCTTCGGCTTCCCCGAGCTGTTCCATACTTCATGAGCTGCAGGCATACAAACGAAGCGACCATGAGAGAATCGAAGTCGTGTTCGAGGAGAACATCCGCAAAGCACCACGCTAGGCGGGTCATGAGCATGAAAATCGTCACGCCAGTGCTGGCTGCAGTACTCTATATTCACCAGCCATCTCCATGGGACCATTATGTCTCTTTGCGTCACTGGGTACTATGACTAGCCGTGGAATCCTACTGGCCGAGAAGAACACATTTCTGCTTCTACGAGCCCACACTAAAGTCCGTTCCCAGTCAACCCTTGTTCGAACGTAGCTTGAGCACTGACATGGCAAGGTGGATGCCCGAAAGTCGATACTAGCTCTCATGTGCTTCGAGTCAAGTTCATATAACGGTTACACATCCGTCAAGTCTCGATCAGAAAGATCCACGGCATCTGATTCTCTGGTAAACTTGTGGCGCCGCCTTGGAAATGCTCGTCCTTCACACAGTGCCGCCTCATCTCAACCTAGCTGTTCCCCTGATTTCATTGAGTCCGAAGTATCACCGTGATCGCTGTGATGGACACAGTACAGTACTCTCTTCACGTGCAGCAATGTGTCTTGATGCCCTTCAACGATGCCTTGCACCGTGCTGCATATCTCGCCGAACACTTTGCAGTATGAACAAAGTAGGTACGACTACTCTACCGTACTCGTCTCTACCGTACTCGTACCACTTCGTACGACTGGTGCGACCGGCGGGCTCCGTTGCGTCATATGCTCAGCCTCTTCACATCCCCTCCTCAGCCTCGCATGACCCCGGACTTTCACCTGCCAATGCGCGATTAAATCTCCTTCGACGCTTATCACCCACCACCAGGCATCTTCGTTTCTTCTGCGCAGGCAACACGATCAATATCTTCGCCATATAAACGCCTCTCATAGCATTCACTCACATCTTTGCATGCCCATCATCGTCACCCAACGATCCACCACCCTCGCCATGTCCTGCGGCGACCTCTTCCTCGGCCTCATCGCCATCTTATTCCCTCCTATTGCAGGTTCGTAGCCCTTCTCTTTCTAAACCACACAAACACCAACTAACACACACTTTACAGTATGGATCAAATCGGGCCTCTGTTCCGTCGACTCCCTGATCAACATCCTCCTCTGCATGTTGGGCTATCTCCCGGGCCTCCTGCACGCGTGGTACATCATCGCCCGCCACCCCGAGCGCGACTACGACTATGAAGTGCTACCTGACGCGGAACGCCAAGGCGGCCAGCACGGCGGACGAGTCACATATTATTATATTCGGCATGAACCACGACGAGATTACGGCACGCAAGGGCAAGGCCAGGGCCAGGCACACAATCGACCTGCTCCGCCTCCGCCGAGTGGCCAGGGGAGCAATCGACCACCTCCACCGCCCCCGGCGAGCAACGGCAGCCAGAGTCAAGGCCCGCACGTGCCTGAGGGCCCGAGCGTCGGCGCAGGAAGTGACGAGCCTGGCGCGCCGCCGAGCTATTCAGAGGTTGTGAGGGGGGATAATAAGATCCAGACACAGGATTAAAATTGTGATACCACTTTGATACAGGAGTCTGTCGGGCACACTCTACATGTAGTTGTACGGCACGACCGGGGGCGCTCTGACCGGGAGCGAGATTTCATGATTGTTAAACCAACAATGGGGGGATGGTTCTGGGATGCTATTGTTGGTGGGCCACAACGGTCAGCCGGGTGGAGTGGAGTCGAGTTTTCCAGAATTATCATCTTTTGTGTGTGTAACAGTACTAGACACGGACGGCCGGACGGGACGGTCGTGCGGTATATGACGGGCTCATAATGATGAGGGACTTCCACAGACGTCCTTGGTTCCTGTTCGCAACGTCGGCATCATGGCCCCGGCCTGCTGTCTCGCTAGAGTCTTCTAGTGTCTAGCGTATCTTGTCCCACCCGGTAAAGCCAAAGTGACGGTCCTGCATATGCTATTCTACCGCAGGGATCTGCAAGGCTCGGGGTGGCACTCGAAAGCTAAGCAGGGGTAAAGCTCAATATTCACTCCGCAGCAATATGGACAGTCTGCCATTCCACTCCGTACCGTACAATGTACCAAAGAGCAGTGCGGAGAGTTGATTAAAACTTCCCTGCAAGCTGGAATGCATACTGTACATAAGTATCTAATGACAGACCGTTCTCCATTTCTTCTTTCTTCTAGTAAGTGGTCGAACGCCACTGTCGGGCACCATCACCGCCCTGCTGTGCCATGTGCCATGTGCTGCGGTCGTCCGCATGATTTGTCTTCTCGTCAAGTCATAAGGTTCGTGATGATGAACAATGCGCGCCGGCAGTAATGAGCCAGAGAGAAGGGACCAGGAAAAGACCAGCGAAAGCATGAACGAACCACCATCTTCTTTTTAAAACTCCCATCCGATCAACATGCCATCTGGGCCCCTCATCTCACCGGGATCACGACCACCTCCTTCATCGCCGTCGTGGGTTTCGTCCACTTTGACTTTCTTCTCCTTTTGCTTGATCGCCACGTTCTTCGGCGGTGGCTTGTGCCTGTCCACCTTCCGCAAGAGACTCGGAATATTCTGGCGTCGCGATAGACCGATGCGATAGGTGGCTTTTCGTGCAGAGGTCGTGAGGCTGGTGATCGGGGAGTGCTTCGTCGGGCCTTTCTCCGCCGAGCACGGTGGCGGTGCGGAGGATTTCGGCTTCGCCGGCGTGGTCAGGGGTCGGTTTTCTTTCTCTTCCACCGGTGCTCTTGTGGCCTTTGACTGTGGTTTTGATTCTGGCTCGGGGGACGTGAAGGGCGAAACGGTGGGAGTCGTTTTGGCGCCCTTACCGGTCGGGCTTTCGAGGGTTTCTGGGCCTGGGCCTGGGCCACGGACATTACTGGATTTTTCGGCCAATGCAGGTCGCTTTTGCATGTCATCATCCTGCGGCGGCTTGTCTTCCTCTTCGTCGACCGCCTTCTCTTCCTCCTTCTGCTGCACTTTCTTCGGCTTCCTGCCTCGCTTCTTAGGCTCTGGCACAGGGTTCTTACTCTCCGCGTTGCTGAGTACCTCAATTGTTATGTGAGTGTCCTTGCCTGTCGTGCGCTCGTGACTGTGTCTAAAGTCTTCGTCTTCGTGAGAATCCGGCACATCGGGCTCTTTTTTGAGAGCCTTTAACTCAGGGGGTAGATCGAGTTTCACAGGCGCCGGCTTCGTATCCATCCAGACGACATCCTCTTCGCCCTCGCTTAGCATTGGCTCCACTTGTTTGAGGAGAGCTGCGGCCGATGTCTTCGCACGCTTGACTTTGCTTTTGCGGCCTTTTTTGCTGCTGGATTTCGTCGAAGACACGGGAGGTGTTTCCACCTCTGGGACATTGATAGCTACGCTCCTGGCCGGCGATTGATGGTCGGGCTGTTCTTCTGGTGGCAGAAGACCGGGTACCTCGTCGACGACCTTCTTTGATCGAGATCGACTCGGTCGAGGTTTGTAGTTGTCCTTCGGCAGGCCGATAGCCGCTTCGTCGCTCAGATTGCTCCCACTGGATGTGGGCTTCACTGGAGATGATTCGTCGGGCCTTCGCGGTGGGGTTTCATCCTCGACTACCTTGGACCGTGAGCGACTTGGCCGCGGCTTGTATGCCTCTTTTGGTAACTCTATCATAGCTCCATCACTCAAATCGAGCTCGTTGCTTGGTAGTTTTGCTGGTGATGACACGTCAGCTTCTACTGCCGCGTCTACAGCGATGGGCTTTCCTCGTTTTCGGGGTTTAGTGGAGGAGGCCGGGCCTGACACCTCTGAAGCTTGAGACATGGAGTCGACAGTTGTCCGACGAGACCGGTTGGGTGGTGGCATACTCGGTAGGGCAAGTTCGTCAGCATCTTCACTGAGACTTGGAGCTCGCAATGCTGAGGTCAATGTTGAATTCTTGGCTTTGCGTCCACGCTTTTTGGGCGGCAGCTTTTCTGTGAATGGAAGAACGGTCTCCGCAGCAGGGTCGGTGACTTCGGCTGTGGCCTCGAATGCCTGAGGATGAATGATTACGTCTGAAGGGGGGGCAGGGTCGTCGGTTGGGATGAGTCGGGCCGGATTTATGGCCGACGGTTGAGGACATGACTGAGTCGTGGGGGACAGTAGTTGTGCCTCTGTCACATCAAGGTTTGAAGGATTTATAGAGAGGTGTGGTGGTTGCTGTCCAGCGGCTTGTAGCAAGCCTTTGCGGTTCTCAGTTCTCCCTTGGTTGGGCTCCCCTTCCTGAGATACCTGACTCATTGGCCCAAATGGATTGGCGTTGACGTCTAAGCCTCCACGAAAATCCAAGTTGATGGATTGATATTGGCCTATGGAAGCCATTGAAGTTGTCATGAGTGGTGCTGCTTCGGGTACGGGTCCTCCAAGGGCTGAGTTCACTCCAGTAGGTCTACCTGAACTCGACGCTGCCAGCATGCTTGGCTCAATCGATGCCGAGGGTGAGCCGGATACTTCTCGGCCTGCTGTAGTTGTGTCAGGGTCCTCTGGTCTTAAATTATTGAGTTCTGATAGTGATGCTAGAGAGGGTGCGAATAGGTCGTCGCCCAAGGTAGATCGCGACCTGGACGCTGCACCATATGTTTTCGACCTTTTAGACTTTGCTTTCTTGTCGGAGCCGTCATGTGACGCATCGTTGACAACTTCCTGTAGAGCACTGTGGGCTCTTTTTTTGGCCTTTACAGCAGGCGACATATGAAGTGAAAGTGATGTGAAATGAGTATCCGCACTCGCTCCATCTGCCCCAGCTCGAGTGCTGTTGTCGCCGGACCCGTCGACCTGGCTAATATTGTTAACTTGGTATGAAGCAGAAGACGACAGTCTTTGGGTCGGGTCGAGAAACTGATCGAAATCAACTTCAGATGGTGAGGCGAGTGGTGGGTGGACGGTCTCAGTTGTATATCCTGACATATGCGCTTGTTTGATGGGTGAACCGAAATCAGACTCGGCGTCAGAGTCTGCTATCTCTGGAGGCATTGCCACCACACCGTCATAGAGACCTAATCGAATGTCGCCTTCTTCAGAGTAGGATGTTGACTGAAGCCCGACGCGCTTTCAAATGACAGAGAAAAGACGCGTTTTCACGTGATTAACTGTCTTTTGAAACGATCACTGAGAGACCGAAGGGCCGACGTGATCGTCAAGTCAATTCTTTCTCAGACTAATCGGCTTCCAAGGTGCAGTGTTTCGTACGGGCACACCTCTCTGTTCGGCTATTTCAGACATTCATGGCGGAGAGAAGTTGATGTGAATCAACTTGCCAATACCAGTCTTGCACTACAGTTCAGCGGGGAGAAGTTTGGATATTTCGCATTGCAATAGTTTCGGAAACGGATATTTGCTAGGAAGGCGATGGTTGTGTCGTCTTGTCTTCACTTCTTGAAGTCGTCTCGTTCACACTGCCCTGCGAATCCGAACGCAGGTATTTTTCTGCTTATCGGGGTGCCCCATGCAGATACTTTTCCTCTGGACCTCTTAAGCCTGGCGTCACTCTTAAAGTCATGTGAAAAGTTTCTGACATTCATGATGTCTTGAGAGAGTGACATATTCGTTCGTAACGCTTGTAGTATGTTGGTCGTGGAAAACTAATCCACCACTGTGAATGTCAGCGACCATCGCCGTGACCACCCTTTTCATCAGTATCCTCCTGAGGATGCTCATGACGGTGGCAAAGCACTCTCCTGCCGGCTGTGCCAGGAGGGCCATCAAACCTCGGACGTCCGGTGCTCTGATCCGGATTTCGCCAAAAACGCTGACGGAGGAGCCTGGAGATGAGCGGACTAAAGTCAAAGTGACGGAAAAGTACGTAGTTGAACCCCAGCCAGAAGGATAAACAATCCAAACGTGGCGTATAGCCAAGCTGTCCTCGACGGAATCTAGGGCACGTCTACATGAGAATCTCGACATCGAATCAACGAATTTACATGCTGGGGTGATCGTGATAGGCTCGGGGAGGTATTACAGAACGACCGAAAGTCTTCGACACGCGCGTCGTGGCATTGGACTGCGACTTGCTGATATCGACTGGGGCTTGAAGAAACCTGTACCTTCAATGTCTATTTGTTGACTCCAGCTGCAGCCTGAGCTAGGAATTTTGCACTTCGAGAAGGCGGTGCAATTGACAGCGTTGCGTGAAAGTCAAGGTGGCGAAAAATTATCTGGAAAGAAACTGCAGTGTCAGTTCTCTGTTGCACATGCAGATATAGGGCTGGCTCGCTAGGCGTCTTGCCGTCGCTCTTGAGACTTTTAAGGATCTGATGGCAAGGAACACGGAAAGACGGGATAGGATTTCTTGGTCCGCTCTCTGAGATCTGACCAAAGTACCTGGGCATCGACGTCCGTATAAATAATGAAATTGTTACGACAGATGTCTACACCTCGTTCAATGCCACATGTGCCCAGCTCTTGAGCTCTTAATGGTTTACTTCGCTGTCTCATCGTGTCTGCATCCGAGCCTTACGTGGCTCAACAGTCGTGCTGAGCGTCAACTCGTACCGAGCTTGCACATCAACCTGTTCCGCGCCTGGGTGTCCGGGCCCTTCGAACTTCGACGATCAGGGTGGCATGGGGCAGGCCTCGTTTCGGACCGCACGACGTGGCTTCATATTGCTGGAGGATTGCGTTAATGCGACGCGGACAGCATCTTCCGCTGCCCGGCAGTCATAGTCGATTATGCACGGGAGCACAACGTGCTACAGCTGAGAATGAGGATTGGTCAGTTGACCATGAGGATAGCGTGTTCAGGGTAGATGCCGCACGCCCCTGGTTGAGCGGGTCGAAGCTTTGGTCAAGGGGCATTCTTGGGGAATAAACATTGTGAAGATCCTGGAGGTCAAAAGTGCCGTGCTCGGAGAGAGAGGGAGAGAGGAAGAGCGGAAGTTGTATACTGTGGGCTCGCGGTTTTTGACCTCGGATGCGTCGTCTTACTGGCCAACCTCTGACGGTGAAGTCCTTCGCTCAAACCTCAACGTCATCGCGTCGCACAAATGATCAAGGCAGAGCAGAAATAATATGGAGAAGTCGGAGTCAGCTTTTTGCGCTTAAGCACTCCGCTCGACACCTTCCCGTAGCTGCCCACTTTGAGGACCACAGTGGAAGTATGTAGTCCGTAGATAGTGTTCACACGTCAAGATGAGAACTCTGTAACGAGTCCATCATATCACATTGACTCCTTCCTGACTTTATCACACCTGGGATCGCCACAGGCACCGTGCGCCTGTGCTTTGTACATCCGCGAGAGAACTGGGCAATCAACACGACGCTACTCGTTCACCGAATCATCATTGATCTCTTCCTTCAGCCTCTCGCTCCTCCACGTGCGTGCTTGACGACTCTTGTCTGTCCCACCAGAGATTGACCGCCTATCCACCCTCTCCCGGATGCTGTACCTGCTCCGTGGTACATTCCCAGCACGTTGAAGTTCTCAGCGCTGCCCGACGTTTGTGCCTCCCTCGCTTCTCACCTTCCACCCATTTCCGCGGGTCATTCCTGGCGAATCACTGTTCCACGAGTGGTATCTTCCTGCCACGCACGTACACCGATCCAGGGGAGCCATTGAGACCCGATGTCCTCCCCATGTCAAGTAGCGCTCCCGCCGGAAGGCCGTCCGCGCCAGGCTCGACGGTAAATGGGCACTCGACTGTCCGCCGTCCCTCGGGCTCGTCTTCCACTACAACCAGCCTGAGTCCCTCGTCGAATACCAAGCCCATTCCAATTTCACGGGGAACAAAAAGAATATACCCTTCTACAAATACAAGGAATGGCAGAAATCCGGGTCACAACCTCCGCAGAGCAGCCACCGCGGGCGATCAGATCCCACAGCTATCAGAAAGAGACAGTGTCTTTGCTGAACACTATGTCTCCCCCCCAAGCGACCCTTCCACTTCCTTAGACGCTGCAAGGACGCCTCCTGCCTCGAATCCGCTCCGGAAGGTGCCCTTCAACATGTCCACCCTGGTCACCCATCCACTCTTCCCTCCCGAGACCGACAAGACGCCTCGCACCCACTCGCCTCGAACGCTGGAATGGATCCGAAGGTCAGAATCCTTTAGTGATGTAGACATTCCACCTTCGACTTCTTATCCTTCGCCAGGACCGCTCCACGGCGTGCGGCGGATAGCTTCCGACTCAAATCCGTGGGCCAACAGATTCAATGTCGCGATGGGGGATGCTCAAGAGACGGAAAACAAACGACATAGCCTAAACAGCGGAACTGCATCCGAGATCTCAGGCTTTTCCGACCGGGAGAATGGGCAACATGCTATGTACGAAAGGGGTGAATCGATGCGGACCGCCTTGAAAGGCCCACGTACAGAGCGTAGCGTCAGTCGAGGCCGGACGCTTGTCGACAAGAGCATTGAGGCGACGGTCAAGAAACCAGAAGCCGGGGGGAATGCACGGAGCAGAAAGGCCAGCCATATGATGGGTATTTTTAACCCGATGACCGGCTCTGAGTCTCCTGTACCAACTCTGGGTGACCATTTCGAGCCACCCTCGCGACCTACGAGCCCCGCCGAGCAAGACACGGTATCTCTGTGGGCAACACGTCGATCTTCGAGAGAGCCGCTTGATCCCCAAGCCTCTACACGAGATGCCAGCCGTTCAACAAGTGTGTATGGTTCTCAAACCGCCTCGCCGCTCAAGCATGACCATGATCCATATTTCCGACAACAAGATCTCGCTCAGCGGCCAGACCTGCATGAGAGCAAAGTCTCATACAAGGCTTCGCGTGCCTCAACTCCCGCTGACAACGCTGCAAGTGTGGACAAGGCAGAGGATCAGCACCCCACTGAGGAGGAACACATATCGGCCGCCGTCTACTATCCTCATTCCGGTCCGTCGATAGAAGAGATCGAGCAATACACTTCGCCCGGTGAAATCATCTCCCCAGCTTCCAATGTTGCGCGGCAACTTCCAGCTTCAACGGATGAAATTGTGCTCTCCACTGACAACAAGGCTCACGAAGCCCTTGGAGCTACCGAGCATATCGACATATCTGTTGTCTCGCAACATGAGAAGAAGATCTTCCACGGAAATTATCGTCCGTTGGATGAGGCAGCCAGAGAGGAGCCACCGCCCTTGTCACCGTTTTCAGAGGCTCCCACTACGGCGATCGTCAGTACGTCCGAATCGGAATTCGAATCTGGAGATGAAGCTGGTCTCCAGAGTCATCCGGAGGACGTGTCAACGACGCCCACCCAGCGGAGCACACTTTCTCGTAGGCCAACCGATTCTCAAGCACCACCAAAGACGAAGGCCAAAGTTGTGCTTGAACCCTACAAGCATCAAGTTGGTGGACATTCAACCATCTTCCGCTTTTCTCGTCGGGCCGTCTGTAAACAGCTGAATAACAGGGAGAACGAATTCTACGAACGAATTGAGCAAAGGCACCCTGATATGCTCAAATTCCTTCCAAGGTATGTCCCATACTCGCCGCTGTCGCATCAAAAGTCGAGGCGAAAGTGCCAAGGCGGGAACGTCGCTGACAGAAGTAGATATATCGGTGTTCTGAATGTCACCTTTTCTAAACTCCCGAAGCAAGCGCAAGACCCAGATGTCGGGTCAGACGAGAAGACAAATCCCAGCCCAGACCAGGCGCATGGTGCTGAGACAAATGGCGCGTTGGACGCTGGGTCTGCGCCCGTTGTGTCGACCTCGGGGGATCATCCACGAATAGTTAGCCACTCGATCCAACAAATTGGCAGCATTCCCGAGGTCATCCTTGAACAGAACAAACACATAATTCCTTCGAACTACTTTGCTCTGCCGGAGCGGCCAAAAAGTGCTGACCCAAACCATGGCCGTAAGCGCAGCCGGGACTTTGACGCCACGGACTCTATGGCACAGGACTCGCAATTGCCGGAAAGCTCGCCCAGCAGACCGTCAATGCCGGAACACTCCAACAGCTGGGGTCATACCACCGTCAATGAAGGCTTGAAGGACAAGATTCTCCGCGAAGTCTTCGGTCCACCACCTGTCCAGTACTTTCGCCGCCATCTACCTCCACATAGTTCCTTTCCACGAGTCAAAGGCTCTCACACACGTCGACGCAGAAGTAATCTCTCTGTCCATTCGTTCCCTCAAACAGAGGTGAAAGATCTGAGCCAATCCGATGGTCAACTTGATGCTCCAATGTCGAGCAACGAAGCGCCTCACATGACCCCCCTCAGCGAAGCGGTGTCAAACACTGGTGATACAGGCAGCATCTATTCTGCATCCGTTTCGGCCACTGATGACCTCAAATACAACCTCGAGCAAGTCAGAACAACAGGCAGCGAGATGTCCAGCGGATCTGGCGCAGAAGGCAGGACTCATATCAAGAGACGTCATTCCGGCATGGGTTTGCGACGTAGGCGGCCGTCGGTGAACACAAAGGAGACTCCTGACCTCGAGTACTTTGAGGACGAAGCCTACACGACCGATTTCGGACCTGATACAGGGAACGATGTCTTTGCAATGGACCAGGATCCGACGCAGTTCAAAGCCCATGGGATGCGCAGAGAACAAGATCCGGCCACCAGCCGCTCAGCGAAAGACAAATCCCGGCCGAATGGAGCGGGAAACCGAGAGAACAACTCGAACAACCGCACCAGGGAGCATTCTCAGACAAGCCTGATACCTTCCAACCCGAAAGAGGCCCAAAAGACCTACACTGCTTCCGGAGATCGAGTGATGTTCTTCATCCTGCTCGAGGATCTCACCAGTGGCATGGGACGACCCTGTGTACTCGATCTGAAGATGGGCACGAGACAATTTGGTGTGGAAGCCAGCAGAAAGAAGATGGAATCTCAACGCAGCAAGTGCAAATCAACGACCTCACAGCAATTGGGTGTCCGAGTCTGTGGCATGCAGACTTTCAATGCGAGGACAGGAAAGGTCTCGTATGAGGACAAATATTATGGCCGGGACCTCAAAGCTGGACAACAGTTCAGGGAGGCTTTGACAAGGTTTCTTTACGACGGAGTCAGCTACGATAGTGTGGCAAGGCATATCCCTACCATCTTGCACAAACTCAACAAGCTGGAGAGCATGGTGCGGAGGCTGCCCGGTTATCGGTTCTACGCAAGCTCCTTACTCATGCTGTATGATGCCGAGCCGTACAAGTCGCGTGAGGCGGAAGAGGCCGCGAAGAACGGCATCGATATCGCCAAGCAAAAGCAAAAGGAAGGCAAGAAGTGGCCTCCTCCGATCGACATCAAGCTCGTGGACTTTGCAAACTGCGTCACCGGCGAAGACGAACTCCCTCCGCATGCTCAAGCACCGCCTGCTCACCCGAAAGATATTGACCGAGGTTACCTGCGGGGCTTGAGAACCCTCAAGGCGTATTTTGGACGGATATTATCCGACATCAGAAACAACCAGGTGCTAGAGACCCACGGGAGGGGCGAGCATCCTACGGAAGATGAAGCTTCCACCCAGCTTTCAAGTGGTAGCAACGGTTCAACAGAGGAGGAAGGTGAAGTCAGTGTTTGATTTGAGCGACATGCACGGGGGTTAGAATTGTCGTGGGGCAATCCCAGAACTGATTTTGCTGCTCATGATCAGCTTTAGCGAGGAGTAGGGAGTTATCACTTCTGGCACGGTGTCGTGGAGTATGGTCTATCATTGACCGGACGGGGGCCGGGCACCTGCTCTTACGCCGGTCGAAGAAGGAATCTCGAGCTTGGAAGGCGGTCTCAGACAGCCTTGACCGCTCATGTGCAGAGCCTCTCTGGACGGCGCTGTCGCGGCGGCCATGGTCAATACCATCATGCAATGCACGACTTCGGCTGGTACACCTGTCATTCCGACCGTAGAAGTGTACAAGATCATCAGGATGGAGAATGACATGGAGGGTTTGTCTGGATCGTGCCAGCCGCCATGATCTTCCAGTGTAGTCGCAATGATCTTCCAGTGTAGTCGCAATGATCTTCCAGTGTAGTCGCAATGATCTTCCAGTGTAGTCGCAATGATCTTCCAGTGCAGTCGTAGGTATGGATGCAGCGACTGGACCATCATGATCCTTGACTGGGGTCATTGTCTTGATCTGATTGATAACCTTTTGCGCCTCGACCACAACAGAACGAAGGCTATTTTCTGAAGAACTGGATGGCTGCTGGCCCGTGCCCTCCATAGTGGGACCCGTGTTCCATGCATACGAGGTGGTAAAGCGAGTGGCACGGTCGATGACTGGCCAGGGTCAACCAGAGATAATGGTTGACCCAGATGATTTGTCCGGCTGCCTACTGTATGAGTCGAGTCGTGCTGTGAGTCCGTGGGCGAAGACCAAAGAGAAGCCGCAGCCTCCTTTCCAATCTCTCGAGCAGTCAGTCACATTTGAACTCGAGCAGTCAGTCACATTTGGAACACGAGCTCATACAACACAACACCACTCACGACGACATTTGACCCTTGACGACGACGACGACGACCTGCCGCATCAGACACTACAACACTTCATCTCTACCTAGGTATTCAACAGAGTCTACTGACCAAGGCACATCGATCGTACCAAGTAATGCGTGGGACAACCACGATGTCCGCCTTCACAACAACTTCCAAGGAGATGCTCCGACTGCTCACCAAACCCATCCGCTCGACTTGCGAGCGGGTGCGCGCCCGCGTCGATACCATCGGCAAGCCGAAATACGAGTATCAGCAAGCCAGGGCACCGCGGGGGACGACTCGCGTGTACGTCGTGCGGACGTCAGGCGGGTAGAGAATGTACCCAAGCGTGCGGCGTGCGGCGTGCCCGGTCTATACTACCTACCTACCTACCTACCTACCTAGGTACATAGGTACCTAGAGGACCAACCCACAGTAACAATCAAAGGTGCAGCATGAGCGGGGCCAGCACTGGATCAGCAATGACGGGTGCGATACGGGTGCGATTAACGGGTCAGCTGGCTCGGACGAGGGAATGGCAGGACAAGAGACGGGGAGCCTAGATGGGGAGACTAGAAGGGAGCAGCACAGAAGGAGCAACACAGAAGGAGCAGCACAGAAGGAGCAGCACAGAAGGAACAGCACAGGGACAGCAGTAAAGACTGAAGGCACCGAACAAACGACCAACGACAATACCTACTTATGACCACTGGCCTGCGCGACAGAGATCGTTGGTTTCAGGACGTCCAGCAGCCTCGACTCCCTTGTACTGCGACTCGACTACTCTTCATACACCTCAGCGCCTGCAAGTCGCCCCTACAGTGTTGACGGAGAGGTGGAATGAGGTCTTAGGACTGACTCAGACAAGAACAACACCGGTCCATTGTATTGTATTCTATCGTATAGTGGAATTCTCACCACTTCTGAGTTACCAGGAGTATACACGGGTTGCATGCCAGGATGAAGATTGGATTTCGTCCCAAGCTTTGGCCTCGCGAGGAAAACCAAGTTGGGCTGGCACAGGGAATACGGAGCGGATAGTCGTCAGTCAGTATTTCCACGCAGGAGAGATAGAAGAAGGGAATCTCCACAGCGTGAATGCATTAGCGGAAACGTCGATGAATGGAACCTCAGCGACGCGACGAGACGAGCAAGAGGTGGACGCTCCACGATGGACAGGTAGATACCTGTTTGCGGCGTGGAGCGAAGTATGAGTACATAGCCAAGCTCGACAATTGCTTCGTGGTAGACCTGAGAGCTTGTCCTAAGCTGCACCTTTCACCTGTCTTTCGATACTGGATGGGATTTGTCGTTGAACAGCCCCAGCTAGGCGAGCGTAGGATAAGGAGACGGTCTGGGGGAGCGGAGACAGAGTTAGAAATCATCTCGGGCTGAAACTCACGATCCCTCTCCCTCTCGCTCTCGCAAACACACACACACACACACACACACACACACACTCTCTCTCTCTCTCTCTCTCTCTCTCTCTCTCTCTGTGTGTGTCTCGCTTGGCCGAACATATCCCCAAGACTTCGCTTCTTATGCCGTCCAGTTCCTTCTCTAATTACCTCCTTCCTAAAGATAGCCACGTAAATCTTACTCGTACTCTGCCATGTTCGCTGCCCTCCGTCACCATGCCACCGCCACCATCACCGCCACCATCACCGCCACCATCACCGCCACCGTCGGATAGGCGGCGTGGTCGCTATGTTCTCGTGTACTGATGCCGACAGGCCACAAAGCGTTTGAAGTACGTGCGAAGATCGGAGGACTTCTCGATAAGAGGTACTCTGCGCGGTAGAGTACTGAAAAGCCAGCCCTGGAAGTCCAATGTACCACCGAAGACAAGATGGCGACGAAGGACAAGGATGACAGCGAAGGACAAGAATGGCGACGAGGGACAAGAACGGCGACGAAGGACAAGGATGGCGACGAGGGATAAATATAACAACGAAGCGTAGTCAAAGCTACGCCTTCTTTATCAATACCATATTTCCTCGTAGCGGTTCCTCGTAGCAGTCCCTCTACCGGTTCCCTTGTAGCAGGTGTTGACAATGCTCAATCAAAACGTGGCTAATTGATGCAATTGTACTTGGATGACTTCTTCGTTCACTCATCTATGGTGATATAGTGGCAGACCCGTGGCCGATCACGCTCTCCAACCCTGCACAAACTCATGTAGTCGATCAATAACCACCCCAAAAACGGCATTGACGCTGTCGGCCAACACCTGATCCAGTGCCCTTACCGCCTCTTCCTCACTGACGTCCAGGTTGAACCGCTCCCTGACCTTACCTACCGCTCCGCCCATGCCTCCCATCTGCTCTTCCATCAGTCTAATATCCGTCACGGAACTTTGAACCATGAGACTAAACAGGTTTAGCACTAAGGAGCTGGATTTCCGCAGCGTCGTGTACGCCGTGAAACAATACTGCTTGAATTGGGCGTACTGCGGCGACGTCGTTCCGCCCAAGCCTTCCACCATTTCCTTGCAGAGTTTTATCAGCGGGGCAAACGGTTTTGGGTCACGGCCGAGAATAAAGCCAAAGTCGATGTGGAAGAAGTGGCCCGAGGGTTGGAGGAGGAGATTGTCCAAGTGACGGTCTCCCACGCCCAGGATGTACGTGATCACACAGTATCCGGCGCACGAGCGGATGTACGTGTCCATGGTTTCCTTGCGCACACCGAGAGGTCCGGATGCGTCGGGATTGTTGGCTCGCAGGTAGGCTAGCACAGAGCCCTTGTACTTTGTAGAGACTGCAGAGATGGGCATCGACGGGATGAACTGAACGGCACCTGCGGAAGGTGATGTCGCCAGGATGCGATATGGCGTGAGCTTCAGGTCGAGGTTCTCCTTGAGGAGGAGGTTGTTCATGAGTGTGATGATCTGGATGACAAGTTGATCTTGTCGGAGATCATCGCCTGTCTTGAAAATGATAGGGTATTTGCCGTGCGTCTGCGAACGGTGTGCGGATGTGCTGGATCCATCTGAGGCGCTGGCAACCTTGAAATTGAGGTATAGTGGCGACAAGGACGACTTGAAGACATTTGCTTCATCAGGATACACGCCACACACTTCAACCTCTGGATCCAGGGGGAGCGGGATTGGTGGATCGATCTTCACGAGGTCGTTCTTCGGGTCAGCTAGAGTCTTCTTAAGCATCTCTATCTTTTGTAGACGGTTGGTCCTGCTAAACCGAATGTCCTTGCTGATGCTCGAGATGATGGTGATCAATTCACCTTGGCGCAGCAGGATCTTGCGCAAATCCGGGTTCCGTTTCTCCAGCTCCAGCATGAAGTAGAATTCGACTCTCGCGAAGAGCTGTCGGTTCGCTGTGTTGGTCTCTGTCCCCTGGTCAACACATTCGACCATCAGGAACCAGTGGAGGTAGTTGCCGAGCAGGAAGTTGTTGGCGGCACGATCGATCAAGAATTTCGCCAATGATGCAGCTGGGAGGCCTTCCTCGGTCTGCTCGTACCTTTCAAACTTCAGAGCCTGGACGAGCTGGAGAAGATAGAGTTGTAACTCGGCGTCTCCAGCCTGTCGAAGTCTGTCCACCGCATATGCTCGTACCACAGGGTTGTCGTATGTCGGGCCGAGCAATTCGAGGGCTGCATCAACGTCGATCTTCGCCCATCGAGGGATCAACTCAACGAGTTGACGAACTTCGTTTGGATTGGTGAAATCCGTCGCTTTGACAACCTTGGTCAGAGCTCGTTTATCTCGACTCAAGTGACGGCGGAAAGTCCAGATGACGTCCTTGTCTTGAGCACTCAGCTCTTGCGTGGGGCCATACGACAGAATCTCATTTAGTTCGTCTCTCATCTTTGCATTCGGCTTCTGATCGCTGTCAGAGAATGCGTTCCTGTCACTTCGCACCAGCCGTCGGTGTTTACTTTCACAAGGATTCTCCCTCTGGAACTGCTCCGGGTCGAACATTTGGACGACGGGGTATTCTTCGTCGTCCACGACAGATGTGCCGGGAGCAATCCCGGGCCCGTAGCGGACCTCTGGTGGAGGCTTTGCACCGAGTGCTGAGGCAGACATCGCACTGGAGAATTCCTTCATTATTCTTGATGGCTCATAACCATAGTCCTCAAAGATGATTGGAAAGTCCCAACGCGGAAAGTCCACATAGAGGGTGAAACGCTCTTCGTCGTCCGCGTCAAGGTCTGACTCGCTCTCATCGTCGTGAACCACATGCCCGTTCGCTTCGTTGGTATTAGCACTGGGTGATTTGCGCTTTGAGGCTTTCGTGATTGAAGACCGTTTCCTTGCTGCTTCGTCGACTTCACGTGCTTTCTTGCCCACCTTCTGGAAGACAAGTTGATCAAGCCAGTCGTTCTGTGGAATTTCGTTCATCTCATGCTTCTTGAACAATTGCTCCAACCTCTCGAGCTCCTCCTCTTCTGGAATGGAGGGAGGTGGCGACTCGTTCGGTTTTCGTCGCTTCGGGCGAGGAATGTGTGGGGTCTTTGTTGGTGCGTGTCCATCAGCGGCCCTGCGCCGATAGACTTTGCACTTTTGGCGCCCTTTCCTCAGAGTGCCGTCTTTGTCGAACAGTGGGATGGTGGTGCCACCGAACGGGATGGCATGGTCGAGGCTGCCATTCTCCGGGCACGGCGACAAGTCCCAAATTGTGATGGCGACTTGTGATGAGATAGGACAGTCCTTGACCAAAATAGGGAGTTCCAGCCATTTGTTCCACACTCTGCTGTTCTTGAAGAACAGATGAGGGGTCTGCATGGACACTCCCAGCGGTTTTGATTCGGCCCATAGCTGAGCGGTCACATATAGTTCCGAGTTTGGGTTCTGGACTGAGCCAACATGCCGTATCTCCGGGTGTTTAAGCAGAACTGTGTATGGAAAGGTGCTCTGTTTGCCTTCTAAGTTGTTTCTACTCAAGTCAGTAACAACACAGGTGGACTGCCTTGCACGATCATCTCGATGAAGCGGGTGGCTCGACAATGGTGAGCGGAACAATCAGCAACTCACATCCTGACACAGACCGGAAAGTCTATCTGACGGGACGTTGCAAACGTGTATGTGTCCATGATCGTTGCACGTGAGAGACGGCGTCCATTGCTGGGGAGTAAATGCGAGGCGAAATTAGATGCAGTATGTGCAGAAGAGCAGATAATATTATCAAGAGGTCAAACAGAGTGAAGCCTGATCGAGTGACCAGCCCCGTTGGAAGGCTGAGCCACTAAACCAGAGTAGGTCTAGCGTTTCCATGACGCGTTGAGAACGGCGCGCCACGCGGGCACAGGCGCAGGGCGCGTTCTGTAGAGCCTCATTTCATCATTCTGTCGGCGATATACATTGAGAGCCACTGGTGTACTTTGTACTGGGTGTTGCGCATCGGGTCAGCTCTCAGCCCTCGCATCTGCTCTCACCCCTCTCACAGTCAATCTCGCACACCAGTGGCCCTCGTGCGCACAGGATGGCTCGGCTCAACACCCGACCGGGTTCTTCTGATAATGACAGCGCGAGAACCCCCGGCTCACCGGGCCGCCAGACGCCCGAAACATTGACTACCCCTCCTTCGCCTGCTCACTCCGACTCAGAGGATGAACCGCGGAGCCGAAATAGTAAAGAAAAGAGAAAGAGTGCAGCTGCAGGCTTGTCAGATAGAACACCCGCCCAACCCCGGAAGCGGGGACGAACTGGCGGCGATGACTCTCAAACGCCGTCTGCGCACCAGTTCTACGATCCCGAACAAGCGCCCGAAGAACGACGGCGGCTGCGAAAGGGCTTCCGGAATCTCTTGTCGGAGCTACATGACTCGCGAGCAGAGTACCTACAGCCAAACTCAAAGGGTCTGGAGGAGACTTTGAGAAAAGCAGACGAGCTCTACAAGGATGTCAAACAGACGTCAGAAGCCACCATCGACTCCCGGCTAATTCTGGAGGCAGCAGACTTGTCATACAGGAAGATCAACAACATCACGCTTGGTGATGGCACAACTGGAATCGATGTGGATGATTTCGTCACGAAATGTATCGCCTTCATGAAACAAGGCGATGAACCGGGCAGACGAGGCGCGCCTCGTAACACACAAACACAAGGCCGGCGAAGGAATCAAGACGACGACGACGACGACGATGACGCTGGTGACACCATGAATTGGGATTATCTAGGGAGGAATGCTTGCTTCTTGTACAACTCTCGCCCCTGTCTGACCGGTTTTCTCCTTGGTCCGCTGTCGGTGCAGAAGAAAGTCCGACAACAGACGCAGAGAAAGGCCCGCGAAGCCCGGACACAACCCGGTGAGGCAGTTCGGCCCGTTCAGTTGGGTCCAGAAGACTTGGAAAAACAAGAGTCAGCCAATCTTACAGAGATATGCACAGAGATTGCGTTTCTCTTGAAGAAGGCAATCCAGAAGAACAGTGAAGCTGCGCAAAACGAGTTGAACGACCTCGAGGAACTCGAGGATGATATCTCGGAAGAACAGGCACGCGAGATTCTTCGGCGACACTGCATTGCTGACAATGAATGCATACCGTTGTTCAACTTTTGTATCAACCCCAAGTCATTCGGACAGTCGGTGGAGAACATGTTTTACGTGAGCTTCCTAATCAAGGAGGGAAAGGTTGGACTGGACCTTGATAGTCAAGGGTTGCCAACGCTGGGCATGGCAGAAGTGCGGTCGATGGAGGAGAGACAGGAGACACGCCGGAACCAAGTCATTTTCACCCTCAGCATGGAAATTTGGGAGGACATCATCGAGAGCTTTGGTATCAAGGAGAGCATCATTCCCCATCGAAACGAGGAGGATTACGACGACGGGACTCGGGACTATGCGCATATGGAGGGCGAGGGCGGTCAAAGAGACGAAGAAGAGGAAGACTCGGATGCCTACGCCTAGGTCAACGGCGGCTGGCTTTCTTCGACATGGACTGTCTGTGGTTGCGGCTGGTGAATGTCCCAAGCTGAACTGGGGAGAGTATTACCAGATTCAATACACGGAGTATGGCCGGCATCATCGCCGACGTCGTCCCCAAGAATCCCCACTTCCCTCTCTCTTAGCACTGGACGTGTCCCTGCAGATACCCTGTCGATCCCCGACGACCCCATACTAGCCATGCACCCATGGCGCCGTCCTGCCTCCGCATCTTACTCCCCGCCTTTCCCCTTGCTATCTCTGGCTCCTTCTCAGCTGATCTTCATACGGCATCCTTACAATGCGATGTGCCGGGATGCAGAAGTCCCCTCCGTTGCAGCTTGGCTAAGCTTGGTGCCAGTAATACGAGAGACAATCTCCAGGATGCGAGAGACGGGCATGACGGGCTTGTGGCCGGTCGGTGGCTGGCCGTGACGGTCATTGTCACCTCGAATGGCATACCGAAGGCTATGACATAAACCCAGCATCATGTCTATGCCTGGGGTGCTCAGTCCTTTTGTTCCTCCCAGTGATCCTCCAAAGTCCAGACTCCAGAGTTCAGAGACCCCTGGGACATTCACACCTTCATCATGGAGAAAACACTTCCATCAGAGCATCACGAGGATTCGAGCCGTGAGGTGAGTAAAAGCCCCAGCCTTGTGGGATACCCCGAGTCTCATGTCGCAAAGAAAGTCGTCATCGCCTCGCCCAGCGACGAGAGCACCAATTCGCTCGACCAAGTAGAATATGAAAAGCGAAACACGCGCTTCAACCGGCGACTCGATCTGCGCATTCTGCCGCTCTGCTGCTGGGTCTACCTCTTGAACTTCCTCGATCGAGGCAACATCGGAAACTCGAAGGTGTTGAACGCAGAAACCGGGGATGATCTGTTACAGCAGACCCGCATGACGGCGGATCAATATGCCATTACCGTCACGCTGTTCAGTTTGGCTTACGGTGAGTGTTTCCTGGAGCAAGCAGCAGCCGGGAAGGGTTCTATCCCCGGTCCTCCCTGCCGTACCACTACGCCCTTCTGACCAGCGACATGGACTGACGCTGTCGGACAGCCCTGTTTGAAGTCCCTAGCAACTATGTCATGAAGCACTGGGTGCGGCCAAGCTTGTGGCTGGCATTCCTGCTCTTCGCCTGGGGCGCCTTTACAATTGGAACAGCTGGGGTGCACAATTACGCGACAGTCGTGTCGCTGAGGTTCCTCATCGGCGTCTTCGAAGCTGGATTCGTGGGTTCCCCCTTTGCCATAAACGCGCAGCATTGTTGTCGGAGTGGCCATAGCTGACGGCGGTTGATTTGTGGTTGCAGTTCCCTGGCATCGTCTACTTCATCACCGTATGGTACCGGTACAACGAGCGTTCCGTGAGAATCGCCTGCGTCGTTGGCTCTGCTAACTTGGCCGGCGCGTTCGGAGGAGCCATCGCGTACGGAGTGGGCCACATCAACGGCGCCGCCGGGCTGCAAGGGTGAGTGTTCTACCAATCTATGGGGAGCAAAGAGAGAATATAAGCCTGCCAATGACTACGAAGCTGACCATGACCCGACACAGCTTCCGATGGCTCTTCATCATCGAAGGCATCATCACCATCCTCAGCGCGTTGTTGCTCCTGTTCTTCCTGCCCGACTATCCTGCCCGTGCGAAGTGGTTGAGTCCCTCGGACAAGCAGTTCGCCGAAGATCGTCTCACGGAAGGAGGCGGCGGCTACTTGAGGAACCACGCCTCGCGACCGGAGGTGCTACAGACGTTCTTCAGCCCGCGGATGCTGTGTCACTATATCGCATACGTATGTGGCTCTTTTTTCCCCTGTCCCGGAACGTTTCCACCGACTGAGTGCCCCCCGCGATGACTAGATTGCCGACGTCGTCCCGCAAGGAAGTTTCACATTCTTCACTCCGACGATCGTCAAGGGGCTCGGATACACGTCGATCCAAGCGCAGCTCATGACCGTGCCGCCGTGGTGCGTCGGCTTCTGCGTGGCCATCACCCTCTCCTACTCGGCCGACCACTTCAACGCCCGCGGCACGCACATCGCCGTGGCCTCCTTGGCCGGCGCGGCCGGGTGGCTCGGCGCCGGCTGTCTCCCCGCCGACGCCTACGTGAGCCGCTACGGCTGCCTGTGTCTCGCGGCGTGCGGCGCCTTCCCCGTCGCGCCCAGCATGACCAACTGGGTGGCGTGCAATACGCCGTCGTTGCTGACGATCCCGTTCGCCATCGCGCTGAACAATTCGTGCGCGGGCATCGGCCAGATCATCGCGCAGTGGATCTGGAAGGCCAACGAGGCCGACCAGGGCTATCCGACGGGCAATTTCACCTGCGCCGCATGTGGCTTCTTCGTGGCCGTCATGTCGCTGGCCTTGAGGTGGCAGTATGGCCGGATGAACAAGAATGGCGTGAGGGATGCCGGGGGAAACGAGCGGGTCTGGGCTCTGTGAAAGTTGCACAAGTACACTGTCCTGTCCGTAGAGTAGGGGGCCGGAGGGGGAATGGCAAGAAGAAGAAAAGTACGAATTGTACTGTACTTGAGAGGGCGGAATAGGCTGGACAGTACTGTAGGACGGTGGAAGAAAGCATGTCACCCATGTGATGCGACGCGACGCTTGCTCTACGTGGTTGGACTAGGTAGATACAGTTGGGCGCAGGATAACTGTAGCCATGCTGGATACAGTATGACGGGCTATTCCCTCACGCGAGACCCATTCCTCAATGTGATATGCCATGATGTGTCGATTTACTGGGTAGATCAAACGAGCCGTTCTCCTCCCCATGCCAACCAATCAGTCAGTCACCGTATAAATCGTCCCAGTCTATCGAACTTTCTTGGTCCCTGGCAGAGATGAAAGCCCATACAGTACAGTACCAGTTGGAATCCTGGCATATACAAGAATGGCACCCGGCCATCTGTTTATCTATCTATCTGTCTGTCTATCTATCTCATGGTGACCAGCTCTTCGGCGCTTGTCTGTGAATACAATCTGATTAGCATGTCTCGGAGTCAAAGACGAGCAGAGCTGTCAGAGGGGGAGGTGATAGAGACGATCTAAACGTACCGGGTGAATAGCCACGCAGCTGTCAAAATCCTTCTTCGTGGCGCCCATCTTGACAGCGACGCCAAAGCCCTGCATCATCTCATCGACGCCCCTGCCTAGGATGTGCAGCCCGACGATTTCTTCCCGCGGGCCCTGGCACACGATCTTGAACTCTGTGGGTTCTTTCTTTTTCTCTTCGGGCGGATATCTGTGCGTGATGGTTTTCCCGTTAGCTGGTTCTGCGAATTCTTCCCCCACCATTGGATGATCCGGGAATCAAAAGCCACAGGGCAGGGAGGGAACTTACACGTCATAGAACATGGCCGAGAATTTGGTGTGATAGACCTTGACGTTCTCCTTGCCGTATTTTTCTATCGCCTGCGGTTCTGTGAGCCCCGTCGTGCCACACTCGGGATGCGAGAACACGACGGACGGGATCCGGTCGTAGTCGAGATGCGCGTCCTTGAACTCCGGAGGCCCGAAGAGGCGGTTCCCCAGCTGGCGACCCGCGGCGATGGCCACGGGCGTGAGTTCGGCCTGGCCTGTCACGTCGCCCAAGGCGTACACGCCGCTGACGGAGCTGTTTTGGTACTTGTCGACCACGATGTGTCCCTTCTCGTTGCGCTTGATGTCGATGTTTTCCAGGCCAAGGCCCCGGTCTTCCGGACTGCGGCCGATGGCCCACAAGAGTTCGTTGGTTTCCATCTCCGACCCGTCGTTCATTATCACCTTGAGTTTCTTCTCGCGCGGGTCTGACCCTGCTTCGTCGCCGGGGTTTAACTGAATGACTTCCTTGATGCCGGGGTGGTTGCGGTGCACGTGCACGCCAATCTCCTCGTAGTGTTTGGTCATGGTTTCTTGGATCATGGGGTCGAATTTCCTCAGGAAAGTGTCGCCGCGGATGAAGAGGTGTGTCTCCACGCCGATGGCGTTCATCACGCCCGCCAGCTCGACGGCGATGTAGCCCGCGCCGACGAAGATCATCTTCTTGGGAAGGTATTTGATCGCAAAGTACTCGTCCGACGTGATGCCGTACTCGGAGCCCTTGATGCCTTCGGGCTTCGTCGGATACGATCCGGTCGCAATGGTAATGTGCGGCGCCGTCACTCTGAACGCTTCCGACCCGTCCTTGGGCTTGACCTCCATCTCATGCTCGCTGATAAACGTCGCGGTGCCGTGTATCAGCTCGATCCCTTCTTTTGCCCAGTTATTCTCGTAGGCGCCGTTGAGGACTTTTATCCGTGCGTCGCGCTTCTCGACAAAGGTCCTGAAGTCGAACGAGTTGTTGTCGCCGAACGTGTACCCGTAGTGTTTGCCCGCCGCGATGGCCTCGCTGATGGAGGCGAAATTCCACGTCATTTTCTTGGGCACGCATCTGGATCGAATCGAGTTCAGTCAGTCACTGTGTGTCGACACTGCGAGCCTGAGGGTACCGTTCGCATACCCGACGTTTACGCAGCAGCCTCCCGATACCCCGGCGTCGATGATACACGTCTTTGCGCCGTACCATCCACTGGCTCTTCTGGCAGCTCCGCTACCACCTGATCCACCTCCGATTACTATGTAGTCATACTGCTTCGTGATGGGAGCCATCTTCGAGGCCGTCGACGAGAACTGCCGGGTCAGACTCGAAAGTCTTGAGGCAGATGCGGATGCGGAGCTCGACCAAGGGCTCGCGGGCAACGACTCGAAAGCAGAAGAGGGTCTTGTGGAAGCCAGAGCCAAGGTAGGACTGGGTGTGCACGCAGCAGAGAGCCTCCAGAGTCGACGGGACGCAATGGACATCACCGGGAGGGAGCGAGGTAAAGGAACGTCGGATGGGCGTTTGGATTCCCTTTATCGAGAACGAGGGCAGAATGGAATATCTCAATCGGGCGTGCGAGCCGGCGAATTGATGATGTGATCCATGGTCGAGAACGAGTCTTCCTCTTCCCCTCGTCGACGATTCCGCCAATGGCTGACCACGGACGACGACAAACCCCGATTGCTTATTAAAATCGTACCGTGTATACGGACCGTTTTCGCTAAGGACTCCCAGCGATCGATGACTGAGCATACGCTCTACTGGCAGTTCCAGCCACATGGACACCCAACATGCAAAATGAGTCAGACCAAACAATTCTACGACGCTGGTATCTACTGTGTTCAACCTCGTCAAGGAGATGCGGAATCTACCTAGATCACCTGAAGTCTACAGCTTGGGCTTTCCCCGCGGGTCCGCCGATTTCTGACCGATGTCGATCTGGTTCCACCACGGATAGCCATCTGGAGCATCCTGAGGGACTTGTCCAGTAAAGTTCACCTGTCTCTTCTGCAGGAAGCTCTGCACGCCTTCAACGTTGTCCTTGCTTCCAAACAAACCATGAATGATTCTTGAATCGAGAAGGTGCGCGCCTTCAGCACTGTCAGCTCCACGGTACATGAGCTCCCTCATCATCTTAGTCGAGACCGTCGAGGTGTTCTTCGCGACTTCGTCTGCCAGCTCAAGGGCCCGAGCAAGGGTAGCCTCGGGGGAGGGGAGCAGTTCAGAGAACAGTGTGCCAAAGAGTGGAGACTCCGCAGGATAGACTGCGCCGGTCGTCGTCAAGTGCAGTGCTCGAGAATGGCCAATCAAGCGAGGCAAAAAGTATGACGAGCATGCCTCCATGATAATGCCTCTTCGGCTGAAGACGAAGCCGACCTTGGCTTTGGCGTAGGCGACCCGAATGGCTGCTGGCAAGCACATGGTAATACCAACGCCCACAGCTGCGCCTTGGATGGCAGCAATGGTGGGCTTCGAGCAGTGGTGGATTGCCAGTGATATACGACCTCCACTAAGAAACAGGTCAGTGCGATTGTCCCCATATAGTATGCATTTTCCTACCCGTCTCTGTGATCCACGTCACGCTCCGTCTTGGGGTGCTTGATCTGCCCAGTCTCGTCTTTTGATCCCAAGAAACCAATCTCTAGGTCAGCTCCGGCACAGAAGCTTCGTCCCGCGCCAGTGACGACCACCACCTTGACCCGTGGATCGATGTCAATGAGCTCGTAAACCCTCTCCAGATCTTCCCGCATCTGGTCGGTGAAGGCATTGTGCTTCTGTGGTCTGTTCAAGGTGATCAACAGAACTGGCGTTGGCGTAGGCGACGAGTCGGGCACATAGGAGACTTTGATCTGCTTGAGAGGAAGGGATTTGTACGAGTCGGGAACCTGGAGCGGCGGGTGAGGAGGAGGAGGCATCTTGACGGCGGTGACGTTTTGCTAAATGAGAGTAAGGAGGTACAATTCAAGCCACTGTGGTAGGATCAGCTGTCGTTGAAGTATTGCTGCGTCTGCCTTTCAGCGTATATCTTCAGGTACCTGTCCTGTGTTTATCCTCGGCTCAAGCCTGCGCTCACGCCGCGGCCTGCACTTTCACCAGCCGGTGCGGAGATCGGCTGGTAAGCGGTAAGAGCTCGGTTCCCGGCGGATATCTAGTACGCTGAGTCCGCAACGGGCAATGTCTCGTATCTGAAAGCACCCTGTTCGCCAGTCTCAGAAAACAATGTGGTTCTCGGTGTGTCTGCAGTCAGTCGATCTGGAAACGTGAGTTAGAGCAGAAAGGAAGTCCAACCACGTCACGTGGAACGGTTCACTACACGCCCGAAAGTAGACTTCTCAGATGTGTACGGAGTACAGCCTAGCCATTCTCTTTCAATGTCGTCTAGGGTTTGTCACAATAGCTTCCTCAACGCGCGTGCGGATGTAATTCGAAGCTTGGTGGGATGTTTCGCGGATCGTAGAACGTAGGAAGCTTGCCTGCTGACCGACCGATCAACCATTGGATCTATTGTGAAGTCGCCCCGAACTTGTTAAGGGAGTAGTGCTCATCTCTAGAACAGCCCTTGCTGAAGAAAGATGTCAAGCTTGCAAGAATGGGAACAGATGGAAGGAGGAGCTCGCCCTCGTTTAGTACTGCGAAGTTGGTCCTACTGGAGCCTGACTCCCACAACAAAAATTCGGGGGTACTGCCTGCGCCATATCGAAATTTCGCAAGGCACAGCGTTTCTGCATGCAATGGAATGGATCGAAACTCCAGCAGCACATTCAAGAGGCTAGAAAAGACGTGTTTACATGGTCCAACGATTGATCTGGCAACCGCAATCTTACGATACCTCCCACTCTCACCAGAGTTCGCTGACTAGAGTACAATTACATTCAAATACTGCGACCAACTAGTACGAATTCTCTTCTCCAAGGCTTCGCGCAAGGCAAGGCAGTGATGAAAAGATGATCCCGAGAACAGGAATGAGCCAAAAAATACGCGGATAAGAGCCCCGAAGGACACTTAATGGCGACATCCACCGCGATGTGCAATGCAGGGACACCGCCATAGCAAACCCAATGCTTGAGCTGGGTCGCTCCCACAAGGTCTATCAATTGTTAGTCAAACACGAACACATTACGCTGGGTTGGGGAGGACTTGCAAGTATGAAGAATTCCAAAACAAAGAGCGCGGGCGAGCGAGGAATAAGTAGTCGAATGGCTGCCAAGAAATCACTTTGGCAAACAGAACAAACACTGCAAACAGGCAGTATTGGCATGAGAGTGAAGATTAATGGTTGGCCAATGGGGAAGGAAGTCGGAGGTCGGAGCTGGAAGCACCGGAGAAATCCTCCGCACGCTTCCACTGAAATGATTACCTCTGGAGAGGCAATCGCTGTGATTCTTCAGTCTCCATTGCAACAGCACCAGGTACGTTGGAGAACAAGGGCTTTACCGCGATGCTCAGTGGCCGCCAAGTCCGATTCGTAACCCTGGTCAGATGATTGAGCGACAAACTCCACCTAACCCGAAACCCGGAAAATGAGTCGCCAGAGTTGTATAGACCACAGGGCTGTCGGCACTGGCGAAAATGGTGAGAGTGAGTTAGGTTGGGACGACCGCTTCAAAAAGAATGAAACATGGGTCCTGGCTGAGTAGGGGAATAAACTTCAACTCGGAACGAGTATCACCGTATACAACATCACTGCGAAGTCGACACTCTAGATTCAGATGTCACGGTCTCGGCGCTGGCACCTGTACAGGTCTTTATTATGCAATACCGTAATGGTGTACGTTTACGCTAATGAGACTCGTGTGAATGCGAAGAGGCAGACAGCCTATTTCGCTTGTCCGCATTTGCTCCACCTGCATTTATGCTTCTTGGTCCCAGGGCACAAGCGCATCCTCCCCAACTTTCTCCCGGATCAACTTAGTACTCAATGTGTAGAGAGCGTCGGCTAGCTTGGGGTCTGAAGCTTGAGATGATTCCTTGCCCGGTTGTCCCTACATGCGATGTCAGTGCTTCCGAATACAGGTTCCTTAAGGTACGGTACTCACTGGATCCACAAAGTAGTAACCCTGATAGTTCTTTTCCTCGACCTCTGGCGCAGTGGCGGCCCACAATGCGCTGTACGAACCCTGCTCAATATCTCTTCCCACAGTCGTCATTGCCCAGCTGAGGAAGTTGCCAAAGACACCGGGGTAAGCATCCTTCCACTGCTGCTGCATGTTTGTGTTGACAGTTCCTGGGTGCACACTCAAGGAGTATACATTGTCGCCATTGGGCTTGATGACCTTCTCGGGAAGGATGAACTTCGCCAATAAGATCAAGGCCAGCTTCGTACGTGCGTAGAGATGCGTCGCGCCGAAGTTCTCGTCGTTGATCTCTTCAAGTGAGCCGAAATGGATGTCTGGAGGAGATGCACGATGAACTTCAGAGGCTTCGAAGACGATTCGGGGAGGAACGTCTGAGACTTTGGATGCCTTGCGAATGAGAGGGTAAAGCAAGTTCACGGCATAGAATTGGCCTAGGAAGTTGACGCCGAAATGCCGGTCGATACCATCGGCATCAAGCCCGTAGGTGTTTGTGTTAATGCCAGCAGACAAGATCAGCTACCGAAGTCATCAGTCTCGCGTTCTCGTAAGAGTTGTCGATCACCTGGCACTTACCAAATCCACCCGATCGAGCTTGTTGCGAAGGTCAGTGAAGACCTGCTTCACCTCCTTCAGATTGCCCAGATCACAGCCCACCCAATCCACATCAGCGTTGGGTGTTTCCTCCTTGATCTGCTTGATTGCTTCATCTCCTTGCTCTTCTTTTCGGTTTACCATGATGACCTTGGCTTTGGCTTGGGCAAACTGCCGTGAGATCTGAAACCCGATCCCATTTGCCCCCCCTGTGACCACCGCGGTCCGTCCAGAGAGATCGTGGAGTTCCTTCCTGGGTCCAATCACGCTGTGTAGTGCTGACTGCATGTTGATGGCTGTCGCGGCGGTGACGATTCAAGTTTTCAGAGAGTAATAGGTAGTAAACTGGCGTACTTAGCAAGCACAAGCTGGGCTTCAGCGACCTAAATCTTGTACTTGAAGGTCAAGCGCCTGATGTTATGAGATCATCCTATCTGCCGGATCAAGAATCCGTGAGTGAGCGGACAGCGTGACCCGGAGACGACATCTCATTGAGCTGGAAGCGCTTTCCTAACATCATGTTTACATCATTGCGGAAGATGTCTACGAGAACACCTTCACTTTGTGGTCTCCGTAGCTGGTAATAGTAACTGCTTTGCTGAGATCATGCTTGTTTTGAACATGTACGACGACGACGGGAGGAGGACTGACTCCGTACTCCGTTCGGACAGAGTAGACATTTCTACCTATGGTACTCCGTACGGAGTATCATATAAGCGAATAGAGCTAGCAGCGCTTGGCGCGTGAATGAAACTCACTTGATCGTTGCCGCTTTCATCTCCTCGCTGTCCTCTCTCACCTTCCTCTCACACTCGCACTCAACCTTGATCCCAACTCTGCGGCCATGTGAACTCCTAATTTGAGGTGGGTAGAAGCTATGTATTGCCATCTACCTATTGAACCCAAGCGCCGTAAAATGTCGTCGCTTGGGCATGATTTGGAAACACGCACGTGGTGATGCTGAATACGAGGCGTTTTGTCCGGTCGTCGGCACATATCAATTACTTCGGAAGCTTCCAGGTTCTTACTACAGTCTTGTTGAAAGATCCATTCTCAGCTGGCGGAACTCAGAAGGGTACCCAATGGTACGCTCGAGACATCAAGCCTCAGCGATCCATATCCTCCGCAATCACATGGATGAGAAGGCCATTAAAACTCCTGTGCGCTGCAGTACTGGCGCAGTGTTTGAAGCGGGATCGATCGCAATCTTCCCTCGAAAGAAATAAGTTGGAATTCTCCTGTACAGGAAGAGTCGACGCACATGGACACGCTGCCGCTTTCGGAAACACAGCAAGCATTCCAGTTCTGGGTTCTTGCAACTTCACCACGACTTATCGAGAACCTCTCTAGCCTCAGAATCCACAGCCACCATCGTCGCCGCCATGTCCATGAGGTCCACCATGTCCAAAAGGTCCACCGTGTCCATGAGGTCCGCCGTGTCCAAAAGGTCCGCCGTGTCCAAAAGGTCCGCCGTGTCCAAAAGGTCCGCCGTGTCCAAAAGGTCCGCCGCGTCCAAAAGGTCCACCGTGTCCACCATGTCCGCCGTGTCCGTGATGGCCACCTTGTCCGTCATGCCCGTCATCTCCATCATCGCCGCCATATCCGTCATGTCCGTCTTGTCCGTCATATCCATCATGTTCCTCATTACCACCATCTCCGTGATCATTCTCCCAACCCTGGCCCTGCTCGTAACCACAGCCGTCATCGTCGCCTTCATGGTATTGACCATCATCGCCTTGACGAAGCACACGAGTTAGCAGACCGTCGACACAGAGAGAGGTATTCATCACTGAAGGCACTTGTTCTTACCATGTCCTCCGGCGGCGTGGAGATGATTGAAGAAGTCCTCGATATGCTGTAATAGCTCCGGTCCCCGCTCTAACAAATCGTGGACGCTGCTGGATCCGTCAGAGTCGTCATGAGAATCGTCGTGAGAATGACCGTGAGAATCGTGGGAGTCGCCATGGGAGTCGTCATGATCATTCCCGTCGGCATAGTGAGAGTCATCGTAGTCCTCGTCGTGGCCCATTTTCACAACTTTGCAGGAGAGATTTGGGATGTCTTGCAGGTGAGTTCACAGACGTCTGGAAGTTGATTGCTTTCGCAGTGGACTTGTCGTATTTGAGCACCGAAGCACAAGACTGCCGACGGTTCGAAATTATATCGGCCCGTTAGAGTTGTGGACGTACAGCTGACCTTTCAAATCATGATGCGGAGACTTGGCCCGTACCAAAAATACTAGGGGCCAGCTAACAGAACGTGATGAGTATGCTGTATGCAAATGGACGAGAGAAAGTAAGCATTGACTGCCCTACAACGTATGGGGCCTTGTCTGCCACGCTAGCCACCTGGTAGTATATAGGGGTACTGTATCCAGTAGTAGGTATTGCGTGAGATTGGCCGAGCCCCTTGTGGCGTGGCTGTGACCGGTGCGTGTGTGCGCCGTTAGAGCAACTTGCTTTATCCATTACTCCGTGCACAGTACACGTATACTCTTTAACTAGACCAGAGATAGGAATAACTAAGATGGTGATTGTTGCACATGGAGCTCCGATATAGAAGGAGGTCCAAACTATTTTCAGCTTTGGTTCCCCGATTGGCTACACGAGCACAACTTACTCGGTGGCGCAGTGTATATGATCTCGATTCATTAGAGATGGAAAGGGCACAAGATATATCAACCAAAAGCAGTCTTGCCTCTCTCCATCGCCCTCGTCCAAGACTGATTCGCTGAGCTTCACACCTGCACTACAGTACATCTAGCAGTCGAACAACACCGCACCGTCAAGATGGCGCACGAACAACATGACCATGACCATGACCAAGACCAATCTTACGATGAATCCTACGAGAGCACCTACGACAAGACGGTTGAAATCACCCTGAAGCTGAAGGAGTCAATGCTCGAGGGCTTGCACGACGACCCTGACGACAGCAGCGACGATGACTGCGATAGTGACGACGGCGCCCACCACCCAGAAGGCGCTGACGACTCCCCTCCGGAGCACATCCAAGAACTTCTCCAGGAGGTCAAAGACGCCTTCCAGGAGGTTAACGATGCCTCGCAGCAGAGCGGTAAGCTTCCATCTTCACTGAACTGATTCCTAAGTCGCTACCCCTCCCTCGACGGATCTTCAACTGACGGAGTTTCGGCTGTCAGATCCCTCGTGCCACCATGAAGACGAGAACCTCCAACAGACATTGATCAAGCTGCACCAGTCTTTGAAGGAGCTCAAGCCTTTCGGCCGCCGTATACCTGCGTTCCGCAAGTTTCACAAGCTTGTTCACAAAGCTATGAAGGGACATGGACATGGACATGGACATGGACACCCGTCAGACGCCGCCTACGATGAGTAAAGCATTCACATGAGAGATGGTTCCGGGGATGGATGGGTGGGCTAGCGAGGGTGTGGCGAATTGAAAGGGTGGGTGGTTGAACCTCAGATGTAGCAGATCATTCATTAGCAGTCTAAGTCGTGCGTGGATCGGCTTTGTAGGAGATCCGCAGAAATGGGAAGAAGTGGTAACCGGTCCTTTTCGTTTTGTTGAACTCTCGTGGATCTCAAGACCGCAGGTTTTTTTGATCGACTGTGTCCAAGGCCAAGGCGCTGGCCCCAGCAGTTCACCCCCTCTTCACGCTTCAGGTCTCCTTTCTCGGAAGCTCCCCAGTAGCCGGTAAGACGAGAACCCTAGCGGCTAGCGATTAGGGATTGCGCGCCGAGAACAGTCATCCCTGCCCGGACGGTGTTGCTCGCATCCTCCAAAGATTGACCGTGCCTACTCGTAAGCGGTGGCCGTTGGATCTGGGCTTACTTCTGCCAAATACTCCTCTTCCACCAATAGCGGCAAGCACGTGGACTGGAACGGACCTTTCGGTAGCTGTTGGTTCCAGTTTCAGACACAGCCGTAATGCTTGATATGGCGACCACTTAGCTAAGCCACGGACCACAGCTATTTCCTCGGTGCCCGGAAATAGCGATACCCGACCTCGGTATAGCTGGGAACCAAGTGTCGTCAAGACCGCGATGCAGAAGCGGAAAGTGACTTGGCCGTCGACAACCGGCGTTGGAGCATGCCAGGATCAAGCGATAGGAGGTGGTTTACGTGGGGGTCCACACCAGGGATCCAGCGTCTTTAGATTTTGAAAGAGCAGGAGTGGCATCAGGTGGGAGACTGATGGGCTTCGGACTTCCGGCGATATGTTTCAGGAAATGGAAAGTGGGTAACAAGTAGATGAGTCTGCATTGCCACAGATTTAACGTCTTTCTAATGCTTCTCCAAGGGGCCCGTTGTTGTCTTCCTCGACACCACGACAAAGCGAGACTTCAAGCCTTACCTCGTACTGTCATCAAGCAAGGCCGCACACTTCGCCCCTCCGATGACCGGAGTCTCGGCGAGGCTGCCACCATACTATGTAAGGAACACGGACACTTGGTAGATTCTATCCTCTTGGGTGACCAACCTAGGTCGGAAATACGAGTATGAGGCCGAACACGAGCTGACACTCACTTTCGTTAGCGTAACAGCTGCCTCAAGCCCCGTGCAGGTGAATCCAAAATCGTCAGGGACAATGACGTCAACAAGCATTTAAGCTCATGCCTTAAGCTTAAGGAAGGAGCTGCCGCTTAACACTGGAAGGCAAGGCCACAGCATGTGTCACGTGACTTGTCGCGTTCCTCGTCGCGGTCTTCAACCGCCTCACATTTTCTCACTCTTTCTCACTCTTCCTCACTCCATCACGTTCCTCACATGCCATAAATCTTTCAAATCATTCTTGTTCCACTCCCAATCCACCTTCTCAAACCGTCTCTCCAACACCTCTCTGCTGTTTTGTAGTTTACCCTTCAAGTCGTCCCAATCCACCCTCAGCAGTTTGCCCTTGCGTTTGACCATCTCGCCGTTGATCAGCACGGTATCCACGTCCGAGGCAGCCGCATGCGTTACCAGCGCCGCGCCTAGATCGACCGCTCCCACCATGGACGGCGAATCCCTCTTGATGAGGACGATATCCGCGAACTTGCCCACTTCGAGACTACCGACCTCATCTTCCAAGTGGATTGCGGCCGCGCCCCCGAGAGTTGCCATGTAGAGCACGTCGTCCGTCCAGGCGGGTACGAGGTCCGGCAGCTTCCCCCGCGCGTGGTAGGTCGCGTTCTGGCGCATTCGCTGCTGTTGCAGCACGAGACGCATCTGGAAGAAGAGATCACCAGACGAGATGGCGGGAGAATCGATCCCCAGCCCGATCCGGCAGCCCGGCGTCCTGTAGAAGTCGAACGCCGAGGGAATCCCATGGGACATTGCCATCTCCGATTCCGGCGTGGCGACGACGCCAATCTGATTGTCCTTGACGAATTGGATGTCCTCCGCGGTGGGTTCGCACGTGTGAGAGAAGGTGACTTGCGCCGGCAGGGGCATGGACTTGTCACGCAGAAAGGCCAGACTAGGAAGATTGTACCGCGGCACGTCATGCATGGTCACGGGGACGTCGTTCTCCTTGACAAAGGTTAGAATCTCACGGGCCTCGTCCTCGGGAATCCAGTGCATGGTATCGAAGCCCAGGCCGAGGGTGAGGCGTCCGTCATTTGCCTGTCCGCCTAGAGGCTGTTGTTTCAGGAGAGATTTGAACAGCTCCATTTGCTCCTTGTGCCGGATCGTCATGTCGGGCAGCTTCATGGGGTTGAGGGAGGTGGGAATAGCGAATGGAGAGGCGCAATAAACGCTTCTAATCCCGGACTCGACCGTAGCTTGAATGCAGCGCTCGGCCCGCTCTGGGGTCGTCACCACGTGAGAGTGGTCCATGACCGTCGTGACACCGCTGGAGATGGCTTCTGCAAGACCCGATAGCTGCGAGAGGTACATGTCGTCGGCGTCTAGGAAGACCATCCGTCCCTGAAGGAGGTGGGCACAATACTCGAGGAGTGTATGGTTGCTGACAGTGGAGCGAAGCTGGGATTGAAAGACGTGTCGATGCCCATCGACAAACCCCGGAGTCACGATATACCCGGTCGCATCAATGATCTCGATTCCCGGATCTTGGACGTCGAGGTTGGGGCCGATCTGAGAAATTCGTTGTCCCTCCACGAGAATATCCACTTGAGGAAATGATGACTTCCTGTCCTTGCCCCAGATCAGGACCCGTCCGTTCTTGATCAGATATCCTGGCATTGTGGTTGAACGGGCCAGTTTCTCGCCACGAAGATTCGGACCATCCGAGAAGACCAGGTCCTGTGCTGGTAGCATGCCACTCTGCACGGGCCTCAGCTCTTATATGGCATGGCAACGTCTGGCTGCAGTGGTAGTGCCCAATCGATGCCACGTCCTGCACGGGGTATTGTCGTGATCAAGACTACCCCAGCCAACCAACGATGGCATCAATCACAGGCACCTGGCCATCACTATCAAAGTCCCAGTAAAGCAGGCGCGGCATTGGCGGCCGAATTCAATCCCGTCGAAAAGGTGAGGCCGAACAAATTTATCCCGTCAAATAGACCGACGTTGACAACCGAGCTGCATCATGACTAAGAGAATACTGTACTGTAAGATATGTATGTTTCCTGCGCGACCCCAATTCCATAACCTGAAGCTTACTGGCTTCGTTCAGCCAGCCCAGCCACAAAATGCACATCCTATACTATGATTCTGTTCTGACGGACCCTGGCCCGGTCGCCGATGCAAGTCCGTGCTGTGTCACGTACGAGTTGGACGACGTTGCCGATGACGGTATGTGCATCTCTGATGCTCATCCTCATGCTTATGTTCATGTATATGCATGCATGCGCAGTGTGCATGACTCTCCCTGTCCGCGGAAATTTTGTCGAGTCATTACCGCATCGCACAGCGGCGCACACCAGCATTACGCGTCGTGCACCGCATCACTCCTAGAGGTCCGCATAGAGGAAAGGCCTTCGAACACCCTCCGTCGCGGCGGGAAGTCGGAGTACTATCCGTATACACCGGCGGGGGCGAGTGCAGGTACAAGTGGAGGTGATTACGGTACCGAAAAGGTCAGTTTTGGCGATGAGGCGCCCTGGACCCTCGAGACAGAGAACAGCACCGTCGCAAGGATGGACCGCAAATAGTCACCAACGATGTATATGCGGCGGAGCTCCGCGTACGAGTCATGATTATATGTGCGCGCCTGTTGTGAGAACGGGGCCGGCCCAACCATCAGCGACCATATTCTGTACGAGAGGACGGTAACAGTACTGTACTGTGCTGTAGATGTGGATTTACCGGGCAGGTCATGTAGGACCCAGATCCAATCCGCCAGATTCTACAAGTACAAGCGCCGTGAGGAGGTGCAGGTAGGCATTGCATCTCTAGGGATATACCAAGTTTGTCATCAACGGCAGTCGTTCCGCTGGTTTCAAACGGTTGATCACCGGCCTAGTCAATGTTACCCACGTCGCGCTACATACAGTGTGTATGTATGTATGTATGTATGTATGTATGTATGTATGTATGTATGTATGTATGTATGTATGTATGTATGTATGTATGTATGTATGTATGTCTCTGGGATCGAAATTTGACCGAGAGAGAACAGAAGAGGGGAGCAGAATCGAGCAAGGAAGACAGTAGGGAAGAGTATAGTACGGTAAGGGGAGCTTTTCTGATCCGAGCAAGCGGGAGGCCGTACGACCAATTCGAGCAGCCGAGCAGTCGAGCAGTCGAGCAGGAGAGCGACAGGAGCTCCGTCTGGCTGGCTGGCTGGCTGGTTACTGTACTGTCCTCCAGACTCTGTAGGTATAGTTGAAAACACCACGAACCGCGAAAAATGGGCACATACCTACGGAGTACATAGGCAAGTCAAGTCACAGTGTTTCGATGAACGTGGATGATCGGGGGGGGACCGACGACGTGAACACACGAATCTGCCGGATCGGGCACTGGGCCGGTTCCGGCTGAGCCAGTCCTCCTAGTACGAGAACGAGTTACACACAATGATCGAACGCCACCTTCCGTCCATCCATCCATCCATCCATCCATCCATCCACCCCTGGGTTGACCCCGTGGGGACTCCGCTCGGTGGGAAGCTTCGGTGGTGCGTGGAGAAGCAGCAGCAGAAGCAGCGAAAAACGGCCCGGTGGGAGAGAGACAGATCACCGAGGTTGGGACCTAGCATCCACCTGAGAAAGGAGAGCAAGTGGTGGTCAATTGATGAACTGGTTGATTAATTGATTGACTCAATAATTAGACCGATCTCAGGCGGTCGGTCCGGTCACATGTCGCATGTCGCATACAGTACCATGGACATCTGCCCTAAGGTACAACTCCCTCGTTCTCCTCATTATCAGTCCTTGGAGTTGCTGGAAATCATCGAGACTGGACTAGGTACTCTGCTCTGCTCTGCTCATGATCTCTTGAAGTTGGCTATTTTGACGGGGAGACTTTCTGACTTCGCATGAACCGACAATCCCTTGCCCTTGCTGCACGTCGAAACGCTTTGAGCTCCACAATCCACCACCAAAGACCCCCACAATGCTGATTCTCATCGTCGGAGTCACTGGCAATATCGGCCAAAAACTGATCGAACCCCTTCGGCAGCGGGGAGCCCAAGTGCGCGGCCTAGCCAGGCACAAGTCGAAGATGGCTGCCGGGAAATTGCAACTTCTGGAAAGCTTCCACGATATGGAGGCGTGGCACGACGTGCCTGCCATCAGAAAGGCGCTTCAGGGTGTCGACGCCGTCATATGTGCGTATGGACCCGTGCCGGAACTGGTGCTGGAGGGTCAACTGCTGCTTGTGCGACTGATGGAGGAACAAGGCATATCAGTGAGTTATCTGAGGCCCCCTCTTCGGACGATGGCGCGGGCGCCTCTTTGCTGAACCTTGGTATTAATTTGTTCTTGTCTGGCGCGCGCAACAGCGGTTCATGCCCTCCGCGTGGAACCTTGACTGGACCGCGCTCGACTGGGGGGACATTGTCTACTATGACTTGTTCCTCGCCACGCAGCGCCAATTGGCCATGTCGTCCACCATCAAACCGTTCTACATCTTCATCGGATTCTTCGCCGAGACCTTCTTCTCCCTGCCTGAACATGGGGTCTTCAATCCTGCCACGCACGGCGTGTGGGATTCCAACAACGGTGCACCCAAGGCCGAGTATTGGGGCACTGGAGACGAGAAATGGCAGATCACCACGGAACAAGAGGCGGCCGAGTTCACCGCGGCTTTGGTTTGCGACGAGGCTCGCGAGCCGGGTGTGTACCGGTACTGCAGCTGGGAGTACAGCATCAAGGAGATTGCAGCCATCTATGAGAAGGAGAAGGGTGTCGCTGTTCGGCTCGAACGTCAAGGGACCGCCGAGGACCTGAAGAAGACTGCCGCCGCTAGTCAGCAGGAGTTGGGCTTGTCCAGGTTCTGGCTGTGGATGGGATATACTTACCAGATACATCAGATGTCGCAGAAGACCATGATGAGCAAGCTGGACAACAAGCTGTGTCCGGATGTCAAGTCGATTGGACTCGGGGAGTTCTTGAGCATGCATCCAGAGATCTGATGTATAACTACCCGGTCGCCGTTGCTAGTGCCAACGAGCATTCAAGCACACAACTTATCTCCAAGCTTGCTTTCCAAATGTGCTTTTATCGTGAATATCGCGAATTATTGAGCTCGGAGGAAAGTCAGCAAAGGATCCGTCCAGCCTACACTTTCAGACTTTAGTCCTTTTATGGTGAATATTGTGATCATTGAGCTCGGCGAACCGTCAGCAGAGGATTCGTGTAGCCTACACTTTCAGACTGTTGCAAAATATCAGGTGGCTGCCAATGTTGACGGGAAGAAGTCTGCCAGCTCTTGGCCCCAAACGTCCCAGTTATCGCCACAGAAATCGTACATGAAAGCGTGTAGCTCACTGTCGTTCGGTTTGTCAATGTCTGCCGGAGCCCCCGGGTCCATCTGATAATGGCCTCCCCCACCGCAGTCGAATACAGTTGGTAGCACGTTGTCACGCGAGCTGCTGGCCAAGGTATCGCTTTGGTCCAAGGAAGGGAGTCGCATGGTGGTAGTGGAGTGACGGATTTTACTCTGAGAAAGTTCCGTCTCTGCAGACCCTATTGGGGCGCGAAGGGCGCCTTGCTGCGCTCCAGTCAATCTGGCCTTCAGCTCAGCAAGTCGCTTATCCAGGGTGTCAATGTTCTTGACCATCAGATCGGAAGTGTGCCAGAATCTGTGACTGTGATCGAGAGTAAGCCTGAGGAGGTCAAAGTTGGATTGTGCCAGTTCCTGGGCGGCGTCGTCTCTCGCGAATGTTTTCTTGAAGATCTGGGTCGCCGCGGCGATCCAGAACGTGCTCGCTAGGAGCGGATGACCGTATCGGATATGATTGGGAGAGGCGTTTCGGATAACACGCATGATTTCTTCTGCCGCTCCAAGATATCTGTCCCAAGCGATCTGATCATTCGTGAAGCCGAGGGTTTCTCGAAGCCTCTCGCTCACCGATGGTTGATTCAATGAGAGGCAATCAGCGAGGTCTTCGTCTCCAGAAAGTCGTGTAGCATTTTTCTGGCCGCAGAAGTGATGAAACACCATCAATTTCCCCAAGTGAAGCATGGCATGAATGAGTTGTACGTCGCAATCTTGGCTCGCGGATCGACCGCCGTATGCGGAAGAGATGGAAAATGTCAAATAGTCGCCTTCGTAAGCTAGATGCTTCGGTAGTACGGTTTTGAAATATAGAAGGAAGTCATCCAAGACTGCCAGCTTCCGTTCGTCGACTGGTTCGGGGCCCGTTCTGCCAGACGACATGCCCATATCCTGCCTCGAGGCCATGCGATCGCAATGCGCAGTGGGATTCGCGGTCGTGTGTGCGTCATGGACCAGTGAGTTTACGACAAGATACCACGCCTTTCCACTCGTATTCCCGCTTTCCAGGAGCTTCCGCGTACGATGGAGGGGATCAGGATCCAGGAAGCAGCTTGCCTGATGATTGCCTTCAAACCAACTTGCGTCGTTTACTGGCAGAAGCACAGCGTGTTCGCCTGCGTGTATAGACGCAGGGCGCCGTCGTACAGTAGAAGCGAAGATGTCAAGCTCGTATAATGCCCACCAAACTCGCCGTTGTTCCTCACTCTGACGCCACGAGCCTGCCTGTGCCAGAGAGCTTTGTTCTTTGATTGATTTTCCCTGCAGCATTGCATCCGTCAAGTGGAGTTCCAATTCATGCGCAATGCGGACGCAGACCCCCAAGGACCTCCAAGCCCGGCCTCGAGCGGATATGGTCATTTCGTAGAATGTAATCAGGACATAGGCTTGAAGGAGAGCCAAGGGAGGTCTGCTATCACCACATCGATCGAGCTGATCGTGGATGGTCGCACGAGCAAGTTTATAGAATCGACTTGGAGTGAACATTGATTCTGATCTCCCGGCATGAGGTCCCTCTCGCTCTCCTGATTGTGCTGGCTCCATGTAGTGAGCGGCGAAGGCGCACATGGCCGCAACTAGGGCAGATGCGACACCGAGTTCGACCGTACTGTAGACTGTAGTGTCAAATGTTGGCCTATGGAATAGAGACAGAAAGGTCATGTTGTCGAAATACGTGCGGATGCTAGACGAGATGTTAGCAGACGTCGCGTAAAAACAATACATCCGGCTCTTACAACGCAGACAGCCTTTGCCGCGACAGTCCGAGCGCTTGACAGATGGACATCATGTTGTTCTGTGAGGGGGCTCTGTAGAATAGAGAGTCTTTGGGTACCGCGGGCTCTGACGGCGGAAGCGGCGAAATAGTGTATGACTGGTTCTCGTGGAAATGATGAAAGACCCACGACTGTGCTGTGGTGGATTCTGGACTCGAGGCGGCGGATCCAGTGGTACTTTCAGCGTCGCGAAAGAACGCGGGTGGCGAGTGCTGGACTCGTTGATTCCTCGTTGCGGTCTGGGCAGGGGCCTGGATGATGTCGTCGTCGTCATGGTTCACGGAGTCAGTAGTGGAACGCCAGGAAGACCGCTTGCGATGTTTGGCCGAATGCGAGCCTGTCGAGGACATCTCAGTCGTTAGACACCCGATCATTCGTACTCAGGGCGAAGCATATCTACGTACCAAGTTTCGGGCCCGGCTTATGCTGGACATTCGGATAGCAGCACGGTTGGCCATTTCGGGTGCAGACGATGCAATTCGGCAGCGTCTTGTCGCTATATGCAGAGGCGAATATTAGTAGCTGTATCCAGTGGGCAGTACAAGCGCTGGCCACTGTGTGCTTGGACGAACCATTTGACCTTGCGTCTACTTCATTGTTAGCGACGAGGCGTGTCTTGCACCGATCTGAGGTGAGTCTGACTTCCTACAGGTATAGCATGCGAGGTTCGACTGATTGCCCGCAGTCATTCTCCTTCCTTTCGCTGCATCTCGGCCATGAGCAGCGCAGGACGGTGCCCTGCTTGAGAGCTTTGTGAGATGTGGCTCATCCGGCATCGCGTCATCAAAGCATCCGCACAAGGAGGAAGGGAAGAAAGGCGCATGCTGAGGATTCATGCAGAGCGTTTCCATTGCTCACGCGACATTGCAGTATGCCCGTCATGTTATTGCAGCGGCGAGGGTGTAAGACGCAAGGTGGTTAAGACTTGGATGTCGAGAATGATTGCCGTCTTCCCCGTTCAGGAAATACACCGAAGTCACAGCGAATCCCGGGCTCAGGCGCGAAGGTATCGAGCGTCGAGGCCATGTCGTGTGCCAATTGGCAGAAGAGGCTGGTCAGGTGAAGAGGCGTACGAGCAGCTATGTGACTGTCGCCGCAAATTACACTGGAGTTGATATCGCAAAGTCACAGTTTTCCAGGCAGAAAATGTGTGCGTACAAATGGCCCCATTTTGCTACCAAACTCTGACGACTATGGAGACAATGAATGCCATGTGCGCAATACCATGTGCAAATGACCAGTGCTGGGATATAATTCAGATAACCACCAACACGACTGGGAACCAGCTTGACCCGCGCTTGTCCCTCGCCACGCTCAAGCCGTGGCAGCCCATTGATTCCTGAAGTTGTTCAGCCCAGCCATCAGACCGAAGAAGCCGACCAAGCCAGTGTTCATGCCTGGAATGCCAGCGGGGTACAGGCTGTAGTGGATTGCAACTGGCATCCAATATGCCGCCACCATGAACTCGTTCCACCATTTGCGGTCAAAGTCTTCTTGCTCCTGTGCCGACTGGCTCTGTCGCTTCTCCTTGTTGATCTCGGCCTCGCGCCAGAGGCGGAGGAAGTCGCTGGCCACGCCTACGGTCCACGCGCGACAGCTCCAGGCAACCCATTTAGCCACCCCCCCACGCTTCTCGACGACTGTCAGGGGCACGACGCCCTTGCCGGCCAGGTGGTAGACGTTCTCCATGGCCTGAAACCCAAGGTAGCCGGCACACTGCACCAGCGCAATACGGTGAAGGGCCGGATCCATCTCCTTGGACGACTTCTTGGACAGGAGTGTTTTCAGCCATATGTATAAAGGAATGAGGCCCGTCAAGCGCAGCGAGGTGCGAGTATCGGAGATCAAGGCTCCGAGTGGAGTCAGGAACGAGGTGGGCGCGGCGGGGGTGAGGACACCGGCTGGGAGCTTCTGAGGCGTGCGACCGATGAGCCGGGATATATATGCGACGAGCGCAGCGCGTGTCGGCGCGTTCGCATGCAGGTAGGCCGCAAGGTAGATGGCATAGTTTAAGGTCGAGAGAGCTGCGCCCAAGCCCGCGGTGGTCTTGATCAACCTGTTTCCCACGTGTCAGTGCACCCTTTCTGCCCCAGCATCTCAAACGTCAGGGTCGCATACTTGCTGATACGGATCAAGATCTCGTCGGCTTTTGAGATGGTAGTTTTGACTTCACTGGGGACCTTGCTCAACGCCGGAATCTGGCCCGGCTTGAAGGGTTCAACATCACCCTTCGCCTCGGTAGGATTCTGAGGGACGACGCTGGGGTCTGGATTGGCGGCTTCACTGCTGGACATGACTGCGACGTGACCAACTTTGGAATAAGAAGAGGCCAACTTCGAGGAATTTGGTATATGTACGGTCGACGCGGCCGAGAGTACCGAAGTAAGAAGTAGTCAGCCCAGTCAGCGAACAAGGGTTACGTGGTACGGCGGGATCGCGCAGCTGTTCTCCTGCTCAGGATCGGAAGGTGGACGGGCGCGTCAGAATATCAGCAATGATTACCACAGATGATGAGAGCCAACACCGATAAGAGGTAAATGGCAAAAAGCTCTGGTGTTTGGAATTACGAGTCGAGCCATCATAGCACCGTCGATCCTCCTCCTCTCCATGCGGAGGTCATTTTCCCCTTGACCCATTCAACCGAGGTTCACCAAATACGGACTAGTGCCCTCGGTGAAGGCGGTCGTGGTCGGTCCGAGCTACGGTCAAGCAATGGGCCATCTACGCATCCAAAGCCATCAGTAAGCTGCCAATAATGGACATGCTTGGACGTGGCGGCCACCCCGGCCACCTCCTGGAACTCGTCAGCCTCGTCGCTCAGCCTGGGGTTGTTGTGACCCGCGGTCAAGTGCAAGAGCATTGACATTTCTCGAAGGATTTGCTGAAGCCGCACGAGCCCACATTCGGCCTCGTCATGGATCTGGGCGCTCCCAACCCGCCTGTCCGCGGGAGGTCGGTCGATGGACTGTGCTTAAGATGAGTATATCAACAGATTGTACGGAGTATGGGCGAGGTTGTTCCCGATCTACAGCAAACAGCTTCGGATACGGAGACATCAGCACCTGGAACATCACGCCACCGTTCGTACTTTGGTCTGAACGATGAGAGTCGCCTCGAATCTTTTAATTGGTTTTGTCGCCCTCATATACGCTTCACCCATATCACCACGACAAGCCGTCACAGCATTCATAACCCCCCCCTTACCTCCTCCACCGGGATGCACGGGCTCTTTTCCGTCTGTCTTCGGCATCGCAGTCATCAACATATCCCTGCCTTCTTCATCGCCGAGGCCATCGCAGACATTGCAGAGGCGGCAACAGCCTCCTGCCGCGATATTCACGGTCGGCACGGTCGACCAAATCGATGACGGACAAGTACAAGGCGGGATGCACACAGTGTCCATCAGCATAGAAACGGCTTCGACTCCGCCTTCACCTCCGGTGGCAATCCTCCCACCAGTGACGCAGATCGGTGATGGGCAGATCCAAGGGCCCATGGCCACCAATGTACAAGCTGGCTCGACAGCAACAGTCACAATATGTTCGAGCTCTCCTTTACCGTTCCCTCCCTTGTCAGCCGCAGCTGTTTTCAGCAAACCCCCTTCCGTGATTGAGCAAGCTTGTGGGATCTCGAGGATATTGACCTCGCCGACACCCGATCCAACAACAGTCGCAATAAAGCCAGGATCTGCATTTTCCAGTTATTTCAATACGGTTCTCTATACCACTATTCCAGTTAGCAACACCACACCTTCGCCATCAGTATCAGTATCAGCACCATCACCATCTCGTTCCACAGCCACCACGGATGAAATCCCTACCAGACTGTCGCTCGTCTCCTGCCTCACAAACTCCACCCTGAGACTGCACCTCCAAGACAACAACCTCTACGACGGCCTCAATCGCACAGGCTACATCGCGTCAAACTATCAATTCCAGTTCGACGGTCCTCCCCAATCAGGCGCCATCTACACCTCCGGATGGAGCGCCTGTGCGGTGTCGAGCGCTGCGGTCTCGACTTCACCACAACAAGGCGGAGACGAAGAGAGCGACAACGAAAACGACAGCAATGGCAATGGTGGTGATGGCAACGATGCTGCACCACTAGAAGGCGTAATGACCTTAGCACTAGGCGCGTCGACCACATTCTGGCAATGTCTCAGCGGAGACTTTTACAATCTCTACACGGAGAACTGGGCCGCGCAGTGCAGCCCTGTAGAACTGCGAATCACACGACTGGTGGAGTGTGAGTGACATGCCGGGAGGCTGGGCAGGGAGGACATATGCGCTGGAGATGGATTGATCGCGCATTTACACTCTAGCGCCGGTGCTGAACCGTCGACTGTGCTAACCCAACGGGTAAGATTAGCACCCTATACTATTTTCACAGTAAAGCCGTAAATGCTCTCTTCGGTTAGCGCGGTCGACGGTTCAGCACCGGCGCTACACTAAAAAGCTTGGGGTCACGTGGTGTATTCAAACCTATTGCACCCCACTGTAGGCACGCCAGGTCTAGTGAGGGGCGGTGTTGCACACATGTCATCACAACTTCAAAGCGAAAATACCACCTGACTTAATTTTGGCCCGATACATGCGCCCGATCCGTTCGTTCAAATCCCTTTGAATCCTATCTTTCGTCAGATTACCATCTCCTTACCGGAAACAACATCGAATTGTTCTAAATGGAGAGGAGCTACGAAGTAAGTTGAGACCAGTTCCTGGATCTTTTCGCTCAGGCGCCGCAGTCAGCACTCCAGCATCTCAATGGAAGGAAGAGTGGAAGGAAGATGGGCGAGAGACAGAGTATAGATGACATGCGTGGCTCGGACGACATGTTGAAATGGCTCGAACGTATTGGTTACTCGGTATACCCCAGTTCATCCTTATCAACGAAGAAATCTCGCTAAGGTAAAAGCGTAGGTTGATCATCTTGCCGACCTTAAAATCATTCATGTGTCGGGCACGAAAGGAAAAGGCAGCACCTGTTGTTTCACCTCCTCACTGCTGATATCTCATAGGAGAATTAGCGGCTACCCTAGAAAAATCGGGCTCTACACTTCACCCCATATGAAGGATATCCGCGAAAGGATTCAAATTAACGGTGAACCAATATCAAAAGAGTTGTTTACAAGGAGGTTCTTCGAGATTTGGGAGAAGCTCCCTGAGCGAGCAACACCTCTATTGGATATTCCTAGATATTTGCAGCTGCTGACCCTACTCTCATATCATGTCTTCCTCACCGAAGAAGTGGATGGAGCGATTTATGAGGCTCATATGGGAGGGGAATTTGACGCTACTAACGTCGTCCAATGTCCAATAGTGACAGCTGTGACATCTGTTTCGATGGACCATGTGCACCTACTTGGACCAACCATTGAAAATATAGCCTGGCATAAGTCGGGGATTTTCAAGTCAGGAAGCTTAGCCTTCTCAAGCTTCCAGCTACCGGAAGTCACTGCTGTTCTCAAAGAGCGATCATCGGCGAGAAACAGCAACCTGGAGTTCATCAACATTGACGAAGCTCTTCCGACTGACCAGGCTGTTCTCTCTCCGCCTGTGCAGAGGCAAAATTGCTCTTTAGCTCTGGCACTTACTCGTGCCTGGCTTCAGGTAGTGACTAAAGGACAAAGTGCTTTGACCTCCCAAGCCATTGCGAACGGTGTCAATAATTTTCATTGGCCTGGAAGGTTCCACAAAATAACGGAGGGGGATTGCGAATGGTACCTCGATGGAGCTCATACTGAACTGAGCGCGAAACATGCGGTGGATTGGTACGCAGGAGCTACTTCAGAGAGTCGAAGGTGAGATTTGAGCTCCGTTGACCCCTAACCTACTAACAATTTCTTGCACTTCGAGGGGTTCCGTCCCGGTACTCATTTTCAGTCATTACTCTCGGCGAGACGGGACCGCCATTTTGCGTTGTATCGCAAGATGTCTGCAAGCACATACAGTTCGACCTGAACACGTCATTTTCACATCGTATGACGAACGACGGGACGGAAAGACTAGGATTGGTAAACCGCCTTCTGGCTAAGTCGACTGGGGTAACTGATTGTCCAGTAGATCGAAACTTGAGGAACCGCTTCGTGCCAGAGATTCAAGATCTCTACGTTCAAACATGGAAGGATCTCGATCCCAGTGCGATAGTCTCGACTGAGCGAACCATCGAAGGTGCATTGGATCGAGCGAGAGATATTGGCCATGGTGTTCAAGCATTGATAACAGGAAGTCTACATCTCGTCAGCGGAGCTCTTTGCCTGTTGGAGTCCGATGACGATAGTCGCCTCCCATAGGTTCCTCACGAGTCTGACCCATTACTCACTATCAGACAGCCTACGAAGACGTGCCCGTGCTTTGAGCTCCTCAACGACATACGTTCCCATCCCTGGTATGAAATATATGGGGGAATCTTTGAAGGCTTTTGCGCTCTGGTAAGCGGCCAGGCTTTGCTCCCGCTCCCCAAGCTCATCGAGTATTACCGCACGGAAGAGGAGACTGATATGTTTGTGAAAGCTGTCGGTTGAAAAGGTCTGGTACTCTTGCATGAGGTTAAATACCTTGTCAGTTCTTTCAAGAGCGCTGAGCCATCGTCTTTGGTAACAGTCTATTCGTAGTAAGCCGAACATTGAGCGAACATGGCCGAGCTGGTCGGTGATGTCTTGATCGCTTAGTTGCCTAAAGCGTTCCTCGAGTTGCTTCAAAACTGATTCGGCTCCCTGGAAGTTTTTTTTGTAGAATGCAAGCTTCGGCGAACGATAGTTGTAAGCGTCTGAAGGCCTTTGACTGCCTTTTATTCGTGGTCTTCAGCTGTTCGATGTCATCCCTCAACAAATTCTGAGCTTCCGAAGGGCTTTGTAGCTCACAATAAACATCTGCCAGGTGATGTTTATGGTGATAGCGACCAGCAGTGTTTTTGACCGTTTCAAGGCAAAGCAGCAAACACTCTGCAGCATGTGGAAAATCCCCCGCGTACCGCGATAGTCTGCCATGTACAGTGCTTTTCAAACGCACTATTTGAAACTCCAATGCGGATGGAGAAAGCTGCCTGATCGGTATCTCGCCCAGATATGACAGAGCCTTCTGGAATTGCTCTTGCTGTATCGCATTCTCGATGTTGGAAAGCAAGAGTCGTCCGTAAAAGCATCGTGTTCTGACATCTGCGGTAATCTCCAGATTAAGCGCTTCCGATTCAAGCGCTTTCAGTATCAAAGCTTCTGATTGAAGTGAACGTCCGTTCATTCGTAAAGTGACGCTCTTTCTGTGGACGAGAGTGAGTTTCAAGTACGTGGGCAATCCTTCTTGGTGCATCTTCTCCGCCACTGCCATCGCCTCCTCTGACCCGCCGAGCCGAGAGGCTGCGAGAGATGCTTCAGTCAAACTTTCGCGAGCCAGACGAGGAATCGGAGGACATCTCTCGGAAAGAATGTATTGCCAGAACCGTTTCAAGTAAGGAAGCAGAAACTTTCCGTCTTCATGATATCTATGAAGATTCAGCAAATCAACTGACAATAGATGATACTATACTCACGAATCATGTAAAGCCGAGGTCCCTACAGATCATGATAAAGCGTACTGATGTCAAGAATTCGTCTCATTTCATAGTCTCCCAAGCGTAAAAATACAGAGTAAGCTTCTCGTGCTCGTTGCCCAACCCGTCCAATACATCCCTCGCCGTATCTTCATCCGCTCATTATACCCAACCGGAACTCAAAACTTTTGTAGCCTGTGTCCAGACTCGTTGAACCGACAAACCCCCAAATCCAGCTATAGTACACTCATCCGTCAAAGACATCTTCATCATTCGCTGGAGTGCCGCATGGGTTCTGCTGGTCAAAGCTACCACCACGTCCACAGCCGCTCTGACTTTCGACTTCGTTGATAATCCCAGGAGTCCGCTTCAGTAGCACTCCCTTGGTGGTCAGCCTGGTCCATGTATCGTCGTTCGACGCCAGCCGCTCCCGCCGAAGAGCAAGTCCATCGAGTTGTACCAGTTCTTTGCAATGCTCGGCAAGCAGCAACTCAATGGTACGTCGTTTCAGCCCCGTCACCTCATCGAGCACTTTCATCCACACTGCGTCTTCTGCATCTGATCCGGCGGGCAGACAATATCGTGCCTCGCATGACTTTAAATTTGTGACCAGGCCGGTTGCAGGACTGTAAAATCCCACAGTCAAGGGATTGTCTCGGAGGTCAATCTGCTTCAGCGATGGAAGCCTAGACATGACAAGACATGTCCGCCTCAGTTTTTGGATGCGATTTCTGGCCAGCAACAACGTGTTCAGATGCAACATCTTCCGGAGGGGCCCGAGCTCTTTTATGGCGTTGAAGTTCGCGTTCAGATATCGGCAATTGGGAAAGAATAGACCGAACCGTTCAGGAAGATCTGAGATGCCGCAGGCGGCTATTTCGAGCTCACGAAGATTGTTTTGAGGTGCTGCTGGCAGGTTGAAAGTGCCATTGACCGCAGAATTAGACGACAGGCGGATGTGCCGGCACTCATTCGGAGTGCTCAGGACAGATTCGACAATCGCAGATTTTTCTCTCTGCTCTCTCACCGAAAGGAATTCAAGGTGGTATGCAGAGCTCAACCCCTGTACATCTTTGATCTTGTTGCCGTCCAGATCCAGATAACGAAGGGCTGGCATGTGCTTCAAACCAAACACTTCGAGTTCATTGTGTGAGATTTGTAGCTTCCGCAGCGCGATTTCCTCGGTCTCTGCGAAACTTCGTATGGCGTTGTGAGAGACATCAAGCTCATCAAGGGCGGGCAAACAACTTAGGCTTGTGATGTCTTCCAGTTGGTTGTGGCTCAAGTCCAGTTTCTTCAATCGAGTCAATCCAGATCCTTCAAAGTCGAGGCGGGTAATATCGTTGCTGCTGAGCTCGAGCTCAAGAAGTCCATCTAGGTCCAGGATGCCGTCGATATTTGAGATACGATTGTTGTTCGCCTTCAATTTGCGCAAATGAACTAATGAACTGAAACCCTCCAAGCTTTCAAGCTGACAGCTCGACACATCGAGATACTGCAAGTTTCGCAAATGACCCCATGACGTTAGGTCGTTAACCATACTGTCGTGGATGTCGAGAATGCGCAGCGAAGTCGGGAGTCCGCCAAGCTGAGAAATTTGGTTGCCCGGCATCGCCAGTTCTTCCAAGACGGGACAATAGTCCTTCAAGCTGTGAACCGAAGGCACACTGCTCGGAGCCAGGTCCAGGCTTCGAAGCTGATCCCAGAATAGCTCATCAGGAGCAGCATCGGTTATTGCTTTGACAAGCTCATCGACAGCGAGGGCCAGCGAGCCATGGGCCTGGCGCAGAGCGTGTGGGTGCTTTCTTTCCTCAACATAGCTCTGATCGAGATCTTTCGCCTTGTCGACTTGGTGGACCGAGAAGTCAGATAAAGGTGTCAGGCAAAGAATGCTTGAAGCTTTGTTCCCACCCTTCTGGAGCTTCGCAATGGACCTGTTCGGTGCCGGCGTCACGACCTTTGATTGCCTGATGTGTATAAGGCTGAGTCGTGGATCGAGATGCTCCTCCTCGTCTTCCAGAATGGGTGAAATGGTCCGATGCTGAAAGTTGCTGGCTTGCTCGTGGTCGAGGACCGGCACCGAGCCCAGCTTTGCGTGCGGAAGCATTGGTTCTGTGGTGGATTTCTCTCGTATATTTGCTTCACCATCTTCATTTTCAAGCTGGATCTCGGAATCGTCCAGAGGCAGGTCCTCCTCTCGTGGCAACTCGCTAAAGTCTTCTTCGGAAAGATTGGCGTAATTGACGCCCGAGACCACCGGGGACGAAAAGGCGATTGTGACGACCCGAGCTTGCCTTCGATCGTCCTTGAGCTGACCGGGGGGTTTGGATGGGATGCCGTTGTGGAGATTCGCTTCATGCTCTGAGGTCTTTGAGCGAAGGGAACTTCGGTTGATTTCCACAGTATTGTCTTCATCTTCTGATACGGTTGGGTCACGCTCTTCGATGTGTACCGTGCTCACGGGTAAGGAGGTCCTCGGAGGAGACTGCGACGTAGCCTTGATGCTCTGAGCCTCAACTTCAGTTGAGTGTTCGGTCTTCTGAGATGCGGCTAGCTTGAGAGCGCGAGCTTTGGCTTGTAGCTCTTGTTGCTCATCGATACTGAGGTCGGGTATGTCCTCGAATGGGTCAGGCTCGGTCAAAGTCTGCTGGTCACGCCTGCTCTGAGACTTGGACCCAGACATCTTCTTGACCCAGATCTTCTTGTCATGGTCGAACGTCATCGTGCCAACATGGTCCGGGATGGACACTGTCCCTGACGAGATGACGCCCTTGTGGCCGGACGCGGATGATTGTGTAGGAAAAGAATGCTGGGTCGAACTATGGGCAGAGTTGTGGGCCGCCGATTGTAGGTTCTGCGTCGGATCCTGTTCGACGGTGGAACTTGAGTATTTGCGTTTTCTCATAGTTTCAGATTGGTTCAGGATGCGCATGTTGGGAGGGTCGCTTTCCTGAAGCTCTTTGACAGCATCTGTCTCCTCCCCCTCCGATTGGACTTCGTGAGTTCCCGTAGCGAGAGTACCAAATACCGAAGTGCCACCCAAAGCATCCATGTCATCCTCATCGCGATACTTCCGCAGGTAGCTCGCTGTCCGTGAGTCATGCCGGGCATGGCGGCGATCGACGGCCAGCCTTGGTGTGTGATCTCTTGATGGCGGCCGCGAGAAGTCGTCTTTCGTGGACTCGGCGTCCAGGTCTAGATCCAGGATGGAATCTGGATTGATCTCTGATACCTCTATAGGCTCACGGATTTCGGGAATGGTGGCCGCAGGCTTAGGCTTTCCTCGGGATCGAATAAACTGCATGACCTTGTTTGCTTCTTCCATGTAGTCTTTCGTGGCGAGTGAAGCCTTGCGGGAATCATTGTTGACTTCAACAGCGTCGTGTGTAAATGTTGCAAGTTCCGCAGCTAGAGCCTCTGTAAGGTCTTCGTTTGCGGCCTCGTTTTCGTGTGGCACACCATCTGACTCAGCTTTCGAAGTGGACGGGACGCGGCTAACGGATGACTTTCTAGTTGATTTGGGTCTTAGGAGATCTCGAGACGCAAGGACATCTGGATCTGCTGGAACACCCTCGGTGCCAGGTCGAGCATCTTTCCGTTTCTTGCCTGCAAGGGTAGCTGTCTCTTCGAGCTCGCTGACTTTAACCTCGATCTCGTACCCAGGTGGGAGTATTTCCTCCTCAAGCAAGGTCTTGCGTCGTTTTGTCGTCCTGTCTTTCTCTGCTCCAGCAAGCTCAACGGTTTCAGCCGCATGCTCTTCCACAGCCGCAACGATCAAAAGATGATCGGACTCAACAGGTCTGAAGATCCTATCTTCTGGCTTCACTACAGTGGGCTGTATAGGCGACGGCTTGCGGACATTCTGCTCAAAGCCGAACCCATCGAGCTCACCCTGGCCAAACTGACTCATCCTTAGAGCATGCTCTTGGTCTTCCTCAGCCGATCCCTCTTGCCCCGGTTGCCCAGGTGAGGAGGCGGGCTCTTCGAAATGACTCAAGATGCGCATCAACTTGTTGTTTGTGTACGTATCTCTATTCCCAAATAGCTTCAACGGACTACCGGAAGACGCGGGTCGGAGAAGGCTGTCTGTGTGATGAACGACGCTGGTGTCTTGAGGGGTTGTTGGCGCAGAAACACTGATCCTACTGTGGTCAATGCTCTCATCGAAATGCCGGGAATGTAGAGGCGGCGAGCTGTTGATCTGGATCTCAGGTCTTGTGTTTGAGTCGAGACGTGACTGCTCCTGGCTCAAGCTTAGGCTCTTGCGGAGGAACGAGGCTTCATTTGAGCGACCACCACGACGGGAGTTGATGAAGCCTCCGTTTGTCTCGAAGACTTGAGTGCCCATCGACAGGTCGTCCGGGAGAGACTGTGAGGTCAGGTCGGGTAGGGGTTCATCTTGCAAGGCCTGTTCAGCGTCGTCCTTCCTGGCGTAGTCGATATAACTGTCGCTCGCGCTGGAAGATGGACGTACATCATCCTCCAAGCACGCCTGCTGAAGCTTGCCTTGCAGTGCCTGTACATCGAGATCGAGAGGATTACGTAGCACCGTATTCCGAATGGAGTCCTGTTTGGATACCGTGACCGGGCTGATGACCTCGTTCCTCAGCTCTTCTAGTCCGCTGCTCGTATTCCATCGGTGATCCTGCGCAGAAGAAATATTTCGTGGAGATGACTGACCAGAGCGAGGGTCATCTGTGCGCTCGAACGATTGTACCCGCTGCTTGACCAGCCCTCTAAGGGAGCCATTCTTAACAACGTCTGACGACACTGCCGAAAAGTCGCGTTGCTCCGGCTCCTCATCCTCATTGACCTCCTCCAGCACTTCAAGGTTCAGCCGAGTTCTGGTGGTGCCACGGTAACTGGAATACTGTTCAAGGAAAGGATTGGAGGCGGGTACGTTAAAAGGTTTGCGGTTAAAGCTGGCTTCCGTAAGGTCAGCATCCTTGTCGCTGTGAAGTTGTGAGGAGTTTGGTTGTTTAAATACGCCTTCCAACTTTGACGGCGAGAAGAGGTCGAAGCCATCGCTGTTGACGTCTTCGCCTGCAGCAAGGCGCTTCTTCCACTCAGGCGTCTCTGCTAGGGTTGCTTTTTCTCGCACCGAGTGATGTTGCACGGAGTTTTGCGACTCCGAAAAGGCGCTGGAAGCTCGCCGTGGCAGGCTTGAGTTCTTTTGCGAGCCGAGGGCCGCGGGGAGGTTCAGACTTGACGCGCTGCGTTCTCGGAGGATAGAATGGCTTTTCTGGCGAGCCCTGCCGTGTGTTGACCGGTGTCGCAGGAAGCTGCCTATGGTAGAATCCTTGCGCATGTTGTTTGCGAGGTGTGGAATCCGGCTTTGAGAGCGGGACAGGGCGACACTGCCATGATGGTGGCTACCAGACAAAGACGGTGCCGGCGACGACGAGCGCTGTTCGGACTTCCAGTCCTCTGACAGCGAGTCGAGCCACGGCTCCATCTTCTTCGTGATGAACGGTAATTGGGGATTAAGACGAGGGTGACAGAGGAGGGGAGATATCGATGTGATTCGCGCGTTGAGCAGCCGGTGGTGCTCAGGCAAGTGTTGTCGTTATCGCATACAGAAAGCTATGCTGTCTATAACCATGGCTGGGAGGAGAATGTGCTCTCGTCGACTGTGTGTTATGTCTATTAGCATGTGTGACATAAGTGGTTAATTGCCCTGTTGCTTGTTCGCGACGCGCCTCAGTTTCACCGCCGTATTTGGGTGGGGCACATCCAATCTTTGTTGCTGGGCAACGACAGCCTTGCCGTTGAAGCTCGCCCGCCCCATGCACCCCGCCAGTGCCCGCCACATACCTCCAACTTTCACAGTATGCGTCAAACGTCAAATCATCTTTTAAAAGAGCCATTCATATTCATGAGCAGCAGAAAATGTCATACCTCCCCAGGCAAGCCACTACCCTTACTGGGGGCTGTTATTGCAAAGCAATTCGGTACAGCATCAATGTTCCCTCGTGGGAAGACCGGCCCACAGTCCCTGGCGCCCTCGATACCCCCGTGTCAGCCACCGAAACAGTCCAGACTCGGATGCCCATGGTAGACATCGACCACTGTAACAGCTGCCGGAGGCAAGCCGGGTGCCTGGTTCAATGCTGGTTCATAGCACCAATTGACTGGGTCGAGTGGGATCTCGTCCCCAACGACGGCTCTCATGGTGACGTCCTTCATCTGTCCACCTCTGAGGCAGTCGGACCACCCAGTCAGGATAAGAGATTGCCTCAGACCTTTGTGTCACGGTTCGGTTGCACAGAGAGAGCCACGCGATCGTTCTGTTCCCGGTGCGGCACCAACCTTTCGTATATCAACCACGAGTACCTGAGCACCCCGATGGCATTCGTCGACGTCAGTGTCGGCAGCCTTGACCCCGACTCTCTGAGGATGGCAAAGGTAGACCGACATGGATGGTGGGAATCTGGGGTTGATTGGATCAAGACCCTGCTCAGCAAAGGAGATGGCGGCTTCATGATCAAGCATCAGACGGGAGACGTGACTCGGTCGGTTGAGGGCTGAGCAAGGAAGTTGGGATTTTCCACATAGCCAGGTAGACGGGATTCCCTCAAGATGCTATACATGCTTGCCAGATTTGTCCCTCGGTAAATTTGAGAAATCGCAGCCAGTTCCTGACCTGATACTCGTACTATGGCTCTACGTAATGTAAAGTACCGAGAAACAGAGCACAAGACAGATTTCCTCATTCGGCGCTTGGAAGAAGAAGTTCAGGTCATTTGAAACCAACTTTGACCTCTCAGCCAAATCAGAAATGTGACAGTCTACACTGCTTGGATTCACTGCAGCTCTGCCTCACATCGGCCAGCTGTCCTCCGGCATGACTGGGCAAGATGTAGCTCTACAAGAAGCTCGACGACCCGTCGTGACCTCGCTATGGACCAGATCCCTCATTGTCCGTACCTACCCTCATCCAAGTCTGCCCGCAGTTTGATTATCTGACGATGCGGTAACAGGCAGGCGCATTCGCCGGCCTTACAGTTGACTTCTCGCTCTATCCGCTGGACACGATCAAGACCCGACTCCAGTCTAATCTGACGAGTACCAACAATGGCGGCATTCTACCGCGCCATACCGTACGAGGCACGCTGCGCAGCATGTATGCCGGTCTCCCCTCGGCCTTGCTTGGGTCCATGCCCTCGGCCGCATCCTTCTTTGTGGTCTACGACGGGGTGAAAAGAGAATTGATAGACAATGACACACCTTCTACACACCAAGCATATGCCCACATGCTGGCCTCGTCGCTGGGAGAAATAGCTGCGTGTGCCATCAGGGTACCGACAGAAGTAGTCAAGCAACGGGCACAAGCAGGCCTCTTTGGAGGATCGACGCTACTCGCCTTCCAGGATATACTGGGCCTCCGGAGGTCAGATGGCTATACGACCATGGTTCGGGAGCTTTACAGGGGTGGTGGGGTGACCATCATGCGTGAAATACCATTTACGATCATCCAGTTCAGTCTATGGGAAAATTTCAAGGCCTCGTACTCGGCACGGCAGCATAGAATGCATGGCAGACAACCAGCGATGGTCTCAGCCGCGGAGAGTGCAGTCTTCGGCAGCGCGGCCGGTGCTATTGCTGCTGGACTGACGACGCCGCTGGACGTCCTGAAAACCAGGATCATGCTAGCACGGAAGGAATCAGGCGCCTCTTCGGAGAGAGCTGGTGCCGTGACAGTCCTGCGTCAGATCCGGGCACAGGAAGGCATTTCTGGGCTGTTCCGCGGCTTCGTACCCCGTGTCGGTTGGATTAGCACAGGAGGTGCTATTTTCCTGGGGACGTACCAGTATATCAGCAATATGCTGGGTTCGGACTGCAGATAGACTACCATGTGCTTAGACGGGCTCCTGAAAAATCTATTTTTCAAATCTTGAGCCAGAGCGGTGCTGGCCAGGCTGGCCTTCAGAGTTGGCTCATCATTACGACGGACGAAATCCACGACGAGAAGGATCCTTGCCATCTCAGCAGAAGCTGTAAGGTCGCCGGCTGTTATCAGAAAAATCTGCGGTAGAACTTGCAGGCTTGGTAAATGATATGGCGAAAGGAAGCATTCAGCTCCAGTAGCATTATGACTATGTATTGATATCGTGGCCCATTTTGATTCGACCATATTTGCTCCCCATCGTCGTTCACACGATGTCCAGGCCACCCACCAGCTTTTCCAGTTCCATAACCCATGTCTCATAGCATCCTAAAACATAACCCGTGGACCACGTATCTCATTACTCAATGGACTTCCAGATAGAGATGTTCTTTTCAATCTCATGCCTTCGGTCAATCCCCGCCTGCTGATCCATTTCATACAATTTATGCATCTCCTGTAGCCGGTGCTCCATGTGGTACCGGTACTGCGCCACTTGTTTCAGACTCTCCAGATTGTTCCTGCTTACAGCATCGTGAAAGGCTCGTCTCATGCGTTCACTGTACAGTTGACAACTTGTGCCGGGAAGGAGTGAGCTTTTGCGCAGCGGAGGTACAAGCTTCAGCGTCTTGGACACGTCGCGTGCGATAGGCCGATCGCGCAGTGGCCAAACCACCTCTTCATAACACTCCTCGCAAATCGTGAGCTCAGGGATTTCAGGGTGGAAATGCCATGACTGAGTTGCCAGTAACGTGTCCTTCACGCATTGCCGATTTCGAGAAATGCGGCGGATGTAGTCCACGAAGTCTTGGAAATCTCGATGCCTGATTGAATCCTTCGACCGCTCTGACAGCCTTTCCAGTTCGTTCAGGATAGGCAGGAAGTGTCGACTGTGGGTATTCAGATTGCAGATCTTCTCGACCTCCTTTTTGTCTTGCGGTCGGTCGAAGACGCAGAACTGAAGCTTCGGGAAGATCAGGTCGATGTTTCTGACACACGCGGAACATATATCGAAGTTGTCCACTGCTCTCTTCGTCCTGGGATCTGTCAGATGATACCATCTTCTCAGATCACTCTTCGTGCCAGAGCATGGCTTTGTTCCCGCTGGTGGACCGTGCGCAATGTGCCAGATGAGACCTAGATCCTTCCTGTCTTGCTTGATTGACTGGAGCCATGCGACACGCAACCAAGGGTGGCTCATCGCACAAATGATTGGCTGGCGAGGATCTTTCTGGAAGCTTGGGATGAAGTAGTCTCGGAACCGGGTAGACCCAAGAAAGCCCATGCACGAGGGGCAAAAATTTAGAAAGGACATGTCCCGAATGGTGTACCAATCGTGCAAGCCAGCAACGGGCCTTGACCGCGGACAAGGTGGTAACGAATTTGGCCGCGCGGCTGTATTCGGTAGCGCTGTACCAGCCTCCAGATTCAAGGGGCTTGATAGCAGTATCTGTTGAGCAGGAGCGGCACCTGGCTGCTGGTATCCTTGAGTCGTGGTCGTTGAAAATGCTCTGAAGGGCGCTGGCGGGCGCGGCTGATCAGGAGAGTGCGAATAGGACGATGCTCTAGAAGCAGTCCGAGGAGCCTCGAGAGGTGCTGGCGTGTATTGTGCGGTCTTTGGCACTGCTCGATCCTCATGAACAGTGTATGTCGTGGTGCGGGTTGCAGCGCTGTCATCCCGGCTTGTGACAGAATTTGTCCTGGATAAACTCTGATACACTGGTTGACTTTCTTCCAGCAGGGGAGAGGGTCTTCTTGACCGTTGCCCACTACTAGGTCTACTTTGTGAGCCGCTGCTCGGCGTCTCGAGCGACTGGGACGTGTTCGACCGAGTCAATGCGGGAATAGCTTTTGCCGCAAGTGAGGCACCTAACGTCGCCACTCCAAGAAGAGAGGAGCTGACATTCCGGAGGTCTTTCAAGTGAGTTTCGTCGACCGACGGTGGCCGTGACCTTTGCCTGGATGGCTTTAACGAGTGGTGGCTCTGTTCGAAATAGTCTCTTGGTGATCGGTCGTCTCGAGGCGTTTGAGGAGGGCTGTGAGCCGGAGAAACACATGGTGAGGCACGACGAGATCGAGCATCACCGTTCCTTGAGCCCTTGTTTTGGTTGGCAACGAAGGCATTTTCAAGCAGCCCCTCCATAGTCAGCGGTGTCCGAGCCGATACAGGTGTCTTGGTGCCGCGACGGGGTTTCTCGTCCGACGAATACTGTTCTCGACTAGAGTCATCTTTAGAAGGCCTGTCACGTCGTTGAGAGCGCTCTCGTTTTGACGAAGATTTCTCTTCTGCCTCGCCACGTGCACGCGAACTTCGCCTGGACCGAGCTGATCTGACGCCATCCTGCTCTCTTGGACGCCGGTTATGGCTATCCTCGGCAGAGGATGTGTTGGGTGAGTCAGTATTCACTCTCCTTGGAACATGGCGGCTGTTTGACTGCTCAGAGACGGGAGTCTGCTCCACTGCAGACGAGCGCGCCGAATTATTGTTCGGCTTCGGAGTTGCAGGAGGCGTTATGTGATCTTGCCCGGTATAAGTATAGCCGGAGAAGGCACCTGGTCGTGGCGCAGGGCTTTGATAACGATGAGCACGCCGTGAGAACCTGCTGTCCGGGCTCTCGTCTCGCTTGGTGGACCTAGAACGCTTGACCTTCTCAGAGTCTGATCGATCTGAATGAGAGAAGCTTTGCCTCGCGGCTCGACTCCGGCTCCGGTCAGGCCGCCTTCGTGATGTCGCTTTCTGATCTGATTCACTAATGTCAGGGTTGGCGACGCGTGGTCCGGGGTGAACAGAAGCCGCCCTTCTTGCCTCGTGCGCGTGCATTGGCGACAGCAAGTTATCTTTACGGTTTGCATCCGGCGAGAGAGCATCCCACGACGCGGTCGGCGTATGAGAATAGGGAGAAGGAGCCCGTCGCTGCCCCGTCCGCATTTCATCAAGACCAGCACCAAGATCCGTGTGAATTCTAGTCACATGAGGTCTGCCTCTGGCAACATCTGGCTGGGGCAGCTGGGTAGTCGACTTTGATCGATGCAAGCCATTAGCGGGTCGTAAAGTTTCCGGTTCTGATTCTGTCGTTTGCGAGGGTACGAGCACAAACCTCTTCTCGGTGTTGGCGACTGGTTCCTGGCCACTCTTCCGAGTGGCACTACCGGGACCATGCTCCTGACCATGCGAGGGTTGAGGTGCAACGTGAGTGTCGTCAATGATAGGATACTGATCGACAGAACCTCTGCTGCTCGCTGGTTGGTTCTCGCTCTTCAGCTGGTTGGGAGCAACACCAGGCATATGTTCCTTCGCCAGAGCCACTTCCTCGTCCTCCACGCATGGAGACGGAGGCCATGTCTGTGTCATCTCAATTCACTCAACCCAACATCCGTAGCCAAGATCTTGCAATCATTGCCAGCCCACCCACATACAACGAAGCCAGCCCTATATACTGATTTCTCAAGCCGCTGAGGCTACACACTCAAGAGTGGAATGATACCGTAGAGCAAGATATGGCCTTTAAGAGCTGTTTGACGACGTGCCGTCACCTGAGAAACTCGTATTGCAGGGCGTTGGGAGCTGGGATGGTTGTGTTTCGAATTGTGTTGCGGGAGGCGCAGGCAGTGTGAGAGAAAGACAGTCCAGATGGAAATCAGCACACCACATGCAACCAAGGGGAACCGCTGAACTCGGGGCCGTAACGGGAACAAGGGAAACCGCAATAGTCTTAAGGCAACCTCCTTGGTACAGGATATCGGTTGCAGGTGCTGGTAGTGTTGTTTCGAAAGGCGAGGCTTGGAGTCGAGTTAGGAAATCCTCACTTCCACATGAGCGCGAATGCAGATGGCTCGGGAAGCTTTCACCGGCTTCGCGTGGTCCAAGCAGGAGAAGGTTATTGTGCAGTCAATGATACGAAGAAAAGCGAACAATGGGGCAAGCAGAGGACAACGGTAACGGGCCGCATTGCCTGCGATCCGGCGGGGACATAATGGTGTTGAGGGTGGGTACAGACGCCCGTGAGTTTTGTCTGAGGCGAACCTCGGTGTGGAGTTGAGCTCGATGCAAATGGCGGTGTCCGTGGAGGATGAGGCTTCTGGTGCTGCAGCACTGAGAGTGGAATGAGGAGGGATCTTCCGTGCGGTACTGAGGTAGGGCTTCAACTGTTGTACCCAGTACTGGGAAGAGGCGACGATTGGACGGCCACGCAGCCTTCAAACGAGGTCAAGACGGGCGTAAAAACCCCACACAAAACTAAACACAATCCAACACCACCAAACTTCATCCTTGCATGATGCTAATGCACTCGCTTCCTGCCTTTGCCGCCGATTGCGCCTCCTGCGGCTCCCATTTGTAGGGCGCAACAGCCCTTTACGATCCCCCCGAGCAAGCCCACGCCTCGCCACAGTCACGGCACGGACCAAGGGCGTTCCGCCGACGAACTGATCAGGTACTGACTTGAAGCCTCGCATGCCGTGTACTTCCAGTAATCAGCGGATGCTTTGGACCAAGGGTCGGCAAGCACGTCCTGCAGCGCGACGTCGTATATTTGTCGACACGGGCAGCCACCGTGCATGTCTGCACCGGACAGCTGAAAGGCGCATGCATTCGGACGCGACAAGCAATCCTTCGGTCCAACTTCTCTGCTATCATGCCAACTACCTGGCCTCAGACGGTTGTCAAAGGCTCGCCGTGCTGACGCGGCCAATTGCTTTGTCTACGCTTTCATGCCTATTTAGAGTCTTACTCTGCAACGTACTTTCTCGCAAGAGCGCTGATGTGAGGCGTGGTCCCGTCAAGCACATGAAAGTCCCTGTCGGCCTCGAACCAAAGTCCCTCACAAGTTCTCGACCCAATTAGGGCCACCGGTTTCTACGGACGTTTCGGCGAGCCACTCATCATTGCAGAGTGCCTGGCATGATCGACTAGATGAAAAAATGCCACACATGTTTACTGCATGACACACTGACCTAGGCTCTGGAGGCTTCCGCTGTCAGGGCACGGCCACAGCAAGTGCTGGGACCAGTCGCGAGCCTCGCCATCACAGCGGTGACTGCCCAAGCCTCGTTGGCAATTCTTCAATGGCAGCATTTTGTTCAGTTCTTATTGCCACGAAGTCGTCTTCCGTTCGCGGGGTGGATTCGTTGCAGAATATCTCTCAAATCAACATGGATGACCCGACTTCTACGCCCATGGCGAGACCAGCCCATACCTGGACGCTAGCTATCAGCTGAAGTCATACAGAGGATTTTCCTACACCCCTTCATGCTGTTGGCGTCGATCGTATTGCCCGGTTACACAGACCTCACGGGCACACTCGGCTTAAGTCTCTGATCTCATGACGGTTCGTGACGCGGGATCCAGGACACCTGGAACCTTTGTGCAACGTTCTAACTCGTTGAAACGATGATTGACGGCAACCGGTCACAGACGGCTGCTCTTTGGCTATATAAATGGGGCGCTGCCTCGGGGTTCTCGAGGTCGGCGGCAGAAGCAATGTCCGATGCAATGTTCGTTGATTACGACACGTTTCACGGCAGCAGCAACGGCAGCCTTCGCCTCCTGCTTCATCCCACAAGACACAGCAGGACCGAAGCCCATGGCAGGGCAGCGCATTTCCAAACGCAGGGGCGGGATTGGGACCTCTAGTGTTGGCTTGCCGGCGTCCCGAAGCGTCTGCGATAAGGCGTCTTATCGCAAGCCATCATATGTTCGCGGCGTAAATTTGAGCCGCCCCTCAGTTTGCGCCAGCATTCTATGCATGAATACGTACACCGGTCCTGGACAGCTGGGGGTGCCACAGTCCGATCTTATACCCTGAATCCAAGGAAGGTGAGGGGGAGAGAATTACTCAGTACAGGGCTCTATCCGATGCCCATCATTTTGTCAGCAGTGGTTTCAGGCCTATTCAGTGGCGTCCACCCGGTGACGGGACGGTCACCCTATTGGGAAAATGCTGGTCTTGTACTCCGTACACGCACCCATTGAGGTAGATGTACTCCGTACTAGTAAATCTAACTCTACGAGGTAACGGTGCGGAGAAGGTCAAGCTCAAGCTCAAGGAGTCCAGTGATGCTTACGAGATCTACTCGTTATTGAAACGGCTATGTCGCCGCAGCCGCTTCTCCTCATACTCCGATCTCGCTGACGACAATTCCCAATGCCGGGATTTGATGAGTCTCCTTTGCATGCCTTGGAGCTGTAGACCAACAAAAGGAGGGTGGAAAAATTGTCAGCGGACATTGCAGTTGTTCCACCGACAGCAGTTGAATTAATTGCCCCGAAATTGAAACGACGTCGTCTTCTATTAAACCCCATGTCTTTGCGGCCTCGCGTGCCAGTGCAACCGCTAATCAACACAGCAACGACAATTACTCGTCTGCGAACACTGACCTCACAGCTATCTCTTCGTCAAAGCCCACCCTCCCGACGGTCATCAAACTCGGTCGTCGTCCGCGCCATGTCTTCCCTTCCCTCCACGATGAAAGCGGTCTCGTTTTCCAAAACCGGCGGTGCCGATGTGCTCGAATACAGCGAATCCGCGCCTCTCCCGAAACTCCAAGATGGCGAGGTGCTGGTGAAGAACAACTTTGCGGGCGTCAACTACATCGACACGTACTTCCGCACCGGCCTCTACCCCGCACAGTTCCCCTTCACACCAGGTCAAGAAGCTGCCGGCACGATCGCGAAGATCCAGGGAGACAACGCGTTGGGATTCAAAGAAGGCGACCGAGTCGTCTGGATCAAAGTGGGAGGCTACGCCGAGTACACGGCCGTTCCCGCGGATCGAGTGATCAAGATCCCCCAGGGCGTGTCGGACGAAGACGCCGTGGGCAGTTTTCTCATGGGAATGACCGCATTGTCACTGATCAAGGAAGCATATCCCGTCAAGAAAGGCGAGACCATCCTCGTGCACGCTGCGGCGGGCGGGATGGGCCTGCTCCTCACCCAGATGCTGCGCGACGCCGGATGCACTGTGATCGGCACCGCTGGCGGGCCGGAGAAATGTGCCCTCGCAAAACAGAACGGAGTCCACCATGTGATTGATTACAAGGCCACAAGCGGGCCGTCGTGGGTCGAACAAGTCATGAAACTCACCAACGGAGTGGGCGTGGACTGCACGTACGACGGCGTCGGCAAGGACACATGGGAAGGATCCCTCGAGGTTGCCAAGCGGAAGTCGAAGGTCGTATACTACGGCAACGGTCAGTCTTAGCGCTCCCCCTTTCTATTCACATCCTCTACCTTTTCCTTCCCGTCCCCCTACATCTTACTTACACTCTCGCAATAGCATCCGGCGCGATCCCGCCCATCAACATCTCCCGTCTCACGGCGAAGAATCTGTCCATAATGCGCTCCACGCTGATGGGCTATATCGTGGCGCGGCATGAGCTGGAATACTACGCCAGCGGCGTGCTGGACATGGTCAAAGACGGGAAACTGAAGATCAAGATCCACAAGATTTATCCGCTCGCCGAGGCGAGGCAAGCCCAGGAGGATTTGGAGGGCCGACGAACCACGGGCAAGCTGTTGTTGAAGTTGTGATGGATGAACGTAGGGTGGCTCGAATCGAATGGAGGAAGCGGTCGCGAGAGAAGGCCGTCAAAAGTCCTGTGAGCCCCCTCGAAGTAATCACGGGTTGTAGCGCTTCGAATCGCTCTCTGGCTGTCAGAGTTCACGCAACGTAGCTGTAGAAGGCCCAATAACGGAGCTTACACAGTACACGGATATATCTTCCAACCGAGGGGTGCACAGCACGTCCTTGTCGACATCTTGTTTATGGAGGTACACGGCATTGCAAGGCTCGTGTGATGCAACACAATTCGTGATGTGGGATAGTTCGTGCTACGACGCTCGGATATATGAAATTTGAAGCGCTCGGTGTCATCATCTGAGATCTGCATCGGTAACTATATTGGTGTCGATTTCAGTTTCCCCAAACAGCACCACGGTAGACAGGCGTTGTGACACTCTGTCGATATGCTGACTTTCCAACAATCTTACTACTGTACAGCCCTTGTGTATGTCGGAATGACACTGGTGTGGCCTGACATATGAATCCGTGCCTCCTGTCGTTCTGACCCAACATCTGGACTGTTGCTGGTGTTGCCATTCTGGACATTCGACCTCAGCCCATCGTATTCATATTCAGCCCGCTCGGTCTCTCACTCCATCGTAGCCTCCTCTCCTTTCTGTCCGTTCATGGATTCAATCTTGACATCTTCATTTCCCGGTCATATTCAACTCCTCCTCCCATTCCTAGTCTCCCGGGAACGGTGCGGCTCGTCGCCCCAAGCTGTTCCATATCCAAATAGAGGCTGTCCCATCTGTATTGAGACTGTCAGCGATGCTGAGAAGAAACTGAACTA